AGGCTATAATCCGAAGGAGTAATCTTTTAGTTCTAGCTCCGAGGGCGTATATAACGTATATCGATAATCTTTTTACGGAATAGAATAATCTAGCTTCTACTCCGCTCGTTATTAACGAAGTAGCTATTCTAGTCCGATGTTAGTCGTTCCTCTACTCCGGAGTAGATAAAGCAACCGTAACGTAGTTAACTATAAAGTAAAGCTTTATAAACTAGAAGGTATACTCTTTGCCTTTAATAAAGGGGAGTCTACTTCGTTACTAATAAATAGCTATAGGTAATTATTTAGAAGAGGAGCTAGTACGTTTTATATAAAGCGTTCTAGGAGGATTTCTCGGAAATCCGGAAGGGAAAGAAAGAACGTATTATATATACTAACCTTAAAAAGCGTCTCGCGGAGAGACGAAAGGTTATAAACTAGCGTAATTATCTAAGGCTTATATATCGTTTCCTACGAACGGAGATAGAGAGGCTATATCCTAGGTAGAATCCCCCTATTCCCTAGTGATATTAGCGGGATTACGATTCCGATTAGTTTCTTCTACTATTCGTTAATAACGTATTATCTATATAAAGCTTCCTAAGGATATATACTCGGCTCTAAAAGACGTTTAAATATATATAACCGTAGGACCTAGAAGTAGATAAGGATCTACCCTCTAAATATATATAGCCTTTATTTAGAATAAACGAGGAGGTCGACTTTTAGAAGGAGCAGATTAATATAAAAGATCTCGTTATAAAGAAATTAGTACCGTACGAAGATAATAAAGAAGAAGAAGAAGAAGAAGGTAAAGAAGATAAAGATAAAGACGAAGGCCTATTCGTTATAGCTAAAGAGAGGGAAGAAGGTACWAATAAAGATAAAGATAAAGATAAAGATAAAGATAAAGATAAAGATAAAGATAAAGATAAAGATAAAGATAAAGATAAAGATAAAGATAAAGATAAAGATAAAGATAAAGATAAAGATAAAGATAAAGATAAAGGCCTATTCGTTATAGCCGAAGGGAGGGAAGATAAGGATTTAGATATATTTCTTAATACTACGTCGTCGTTTATTAGGCTATCTAATTTAGATAATAGTTCGATTATATAGCTTTACGTCCTTCGGTATAAACGTACGAACTCGAATCTAAAGAGCTTTATATACCTCCTTCGCTACGAATATACGAACTCTACGCTATATATACGCCCTTCGTTATAAACGTACGCTTTATATATGTCCTTCGTTATAAACGTACGAACCCTAAAAAGTAGACTAGAAGAGACTTAGTCTACTTCTAGCAATAAATATTAGCCGGATTACCCTTTACCTAATTTTCGTATACGCTTCGCGTCTAATAAATAGTATATTTATATCCTAAAGTTAACCGAGTCCCTAATCGTCTAGTCTATCCGGTATAACCGAGTAGAAGTAGGCTTTAAGACCGTTCGTATAGGGCGAAGGAGATTTACTAGAAGAGGTTTAGGGCGACCGTACGACTAATACCCTACCGATTTAGACGCCGTACGGCGTAAACGAACTACCGTAACGTAAGCTCGCGATCGGGATACGGTACGTTATAGGCGAAGGGGGGTAGCGCTAGGAGAGGGGGTAGTAGTAGGGCGAAGGGCTATTAGATATCGGAGCGCGCGGGACGGGTAGCGGGTAGCGCTACCCGCCGTAGACTCGGTTAGCTTTCTCGAACGCGATTCTACTTCATACTAACACTAACACCTCTATACCGACATCTGTCTTTATGCACCTATAGTTTGTGTACACCTCTCTGCTCTACAAAATTTTCTTCGCAATTTCTAATAGGATTGATGCTCTTTCCGCCCTTGTACGGATTGCACTAAGGCCATCGAGCGACACGGCTCTCTTCGAGGGAGCGGACGAGCTGCCTTATTTGACTTGGCCATACCATAAATCGGGGCAATGTACGGTAGAAGACGCTGACACGGACACCGGAAAGGTAATACTATATGAGCGGGGGCCTGTTGCCGTAGACTTTCTTCCAGGTGGAGACCCTCCCTTTCAACACGACTGCCATCTACTGGCTTACGAATTTCCCCAGCGGCGGCTTGATCTTGTCTTTCAGTTGTGAGACCAACTTGCTTCCGCGAGAGGGAGTGCACGAGTCGCATATGATCTATCACTACCACGTAAGGATGAGCTACGTTGTTGTTCCTTGGTGCATGTTGTTATGATAATGTCACTTGTGGACTGATTTTCTGCCTCAACCCGGCGATACTCCACTAATCGCACAACTTCCCTTTCTATCGCATCATACAAGACTCCGATGGAGACCTCAAGATTGAGCTCGCGAAGATCGCAAGCATTTACAAGGGCTCCCGTTTGACCATCGTGGCTCGAGGAGCTGTGCATGCCATACAGGGATTCCTGCTCCCGCCTAGACAAGCCGATCAGCCCTTCGTAAGTATTACAGTCGAGAATGACGCTGGAATAGTTCACACCTGCAACGTCTACAACAGGGAAGAATAATTCGGCCATGATTTCGTCGACTTTATGAACGACCCAATCGCAGGTCGGGCCTAGTGCTTTCACGAGGGCAGCCCAGCGCTCGATATCTAGTGTACTCCACTGACGATATGCATTGGCGCTGTCGACACACGTTCTATGGCCGCCGCGAAGGCACGACGAAAGAAGATCTGGACTTTTGATCAGCGCATGTCAGCATAAGTATGCCGGACGTCATTGGGACGGGCACTCAGCTCACTTCTCATGATCGCAAAGAAAGAAACTCCAGCTCAGTAGCCAAAGAAGTCCTCGGTCGCCACGAAGGTGATCGGATCAGCCAATGGCCGTATCGCAAGCAGCATACAAGCAGCTTTTCCACTCAGCTCTTGCGCCATACATTGCCAACAAGACGTTTCTTTGCATGGTCCTACCTCCTTCTCAGCCTCCTAACTTGTATTCCTACGTCGACACCTCTTGAAATTGACCTTAGCCAGACACTCGCGTCGATAAAGATTCGCAGAAGGCTGTCCCTAGATGCTGGACACCATGGATCTCAATGAACAGTTACCTCTTGAAGGTACGAACCGGACTGCTTCCTCTCGGCCCCGACTACACAAAACCTTCCTGATATGCTATTTTGTACTCTCGGATTGAGAAGAGCGATGCGCAGCTTCGAGACTGATGAGCCGACTTACCAAGTCTTATCTCTTTGCCAAGGGAACAGTGTCACATGCTGAGCACTTCATTGCAGCTGGTGGGTACCCAACGATCACGAAGGCCCTTTTCTGCCTTCACGTCCTGTAGTCGACTATCCCCGGAGCAGGACACAGAACGGTCTTAACATCAAACAGCTCTGCATGACGTATCCGAAAGTGCATGCTGCGTATCAAATGGCTTTTTGGTAAGTAACCAGGATCTTTTGTAATCAACGTATGTGCGGAAACGTTCGGAATCAGGACGAGAATCAGCGTGTACATAGAGGATCGGAATACAGAGAATGCTCAGTTAAGTCCATGATACCGTTATCGACTCAGCGTCTTTGCACACCCGAGAACGTGCTCGCTGCCACAGACGGCTGCCACCATGGTTATGTCTTGACACATAGGGAACCGCACTGCGAGCACGGGCTTGGGTCACCCATGATGCAGGATGGCTGAGCTTGATCAATCATGATTCAAAGGATGATATAACGTTGCAGAGTCGTGGTGAGAACAGACTAGAGAAGGCCGGCGTCGGCTCCTTCGCCGCGATCTGAGCACTTTAAAGGCAGCAAAAATCAAGATTCACCGTGCATTGCCAAAGCTGACGTTCGTGCTGTACGAGCTCTTTTTCTCGTAGTTTGAGAAGTAGTGACAACACCTAATCTTCATTGAAGCATAAGCTGTGAGATCGAACATGGTACGACCGAGTTATCAGCGAATGCGAGGTGACGAGCGGCCTCTGTACAAGGGCCTGTCACCCTTTCGACGATGAATCGCTGACCAGCAGCCTCCTTGTTCGCCGGCAAGGGTTTTGATTCGAGCAGTGGTGACGAAGAAGCTGATGTTAATTGTGTTAGAAAAGCTCTTGAAAAGTGCGCCTCAGTGGACGATGCTAAACCATAGGGGCTCAGGGCGGTTAATCCTCGGGCTTCAGTGTAGAGCCTCATATTCGAAATTGGCGTCGCCAGCTTATATCGAATCATGGTTGATTAGTGTAGCGGTCATCACATCGGATTCTGACCATCAGAACCTTCCGGGAACCCGTGAGTACACCTGCTTGGCACTGCTATTGAACCTCTCGTGCTAACCCATGACAGCGGTTCGATTCCGGGATCGACCTCAGTCGTCTTCCCTCTGGCATCATGTCAGATAAATTCTTTTTGATTTAATCCAGAGGCACACAACCACACTCTTTTGTCATTTTGAGACCCGCAATTTTGGTCTTGGCAGAATACCACATGCAGGCTACAGCTGATCTTTTTGATCCAACAGCAAGCAAGACATGAGCTCCTCATTAGCTTAGCACAGTCGCTTGCCTCAGACAAAATGTGGTCGTTACGTGACTTACAGCAGAGGCTCGAGTCTGCAAAACCACCGGAACAGGTCGCGACAATTCCGGACCAACATTCAGCTTTCGATCACATCGTATTGTACACGGCAAAGTAGATACAGCCAACTGCTTTCAACAACAGAGCTGCGGAAGATCGCGTCCGCGTGATGCCATGTACCAGACCGGCCCAGCCTGTTCGCCATCCCCGACCTTTCGCCTAGCTGACAGGCGTCTAAACAGGCCTTTGCACCGTCAGCATTGACCATCAATGTCCGTCACCGACATCCAACCATTACTGGAGGTGAAGGCACGCACTGCAACTGGCCCGTCTCGCGAGCTCAGTGTTACACGTCACTCTGAGGCTCTTCCTCCACTGCAGCAGGATTTGAAGGTGGATGGTCAAAATAAGGTTAAGGTTTCGAATCAGCGCTAAGGCATGCCATCTCGGAGGAGTTGCATCTGCTTCCTTCCTCCTGTCTCTAACAACCCATCACAAACTGCTCGCGATGAAGTCGACAATATCGTTTATAACGGGGCTGGTCGCGATTGTAGCTCAGGTGGCTGCTCAAGATCAAGCTGTACTGAAAGCGTCCGCAGTAAAATCTGCAAATAATGCCATCGAGACTGGTGTAGGGCATTTCAGCGAGTGGAGCAGAGCAACCAAGCGGCAGTTCTTGGTCGACTGGCAGGCAGGAAAGTCCTCGGAATGGACGATCGTTCAAGGGAATGAGGGCGGGGATTTGGACTCGATGACAGCAGCACGTAAGTGAGCCCCAATAGTCGGACAATGCTCTTTTGTCAACTACCTCAATTCAAATCATTGCGGCTGCGGAGAGCTTTAAACGAAGCAATTCGCATTGTTTCGTGATATCAGCTCCAGTACTAAAGTATGAACAGTTACCTGGGCCTATCACCTGGAACATTCAACCCAGAATACCTCGCATCCCGTCAAGGCTATTGCCCTTCTCCAGACTCCTGTAGATGCACTGGATCTTCGACCCGAGAACAAGCTGGCCCTTCACAACTCTCAAATGAGCAGTGGGCATTCAGATCTTCTCACCATCGATGAACTTCCACAAAATCCATTGACTCTCTCTCGCGAGATCAAAGGCATAGTCATTGTTGACCATGCTGTTCCACTGCGAAAATGGAACGGAGCAAAGATCTTGAGCATTTTCGATCACCATCAAGACTCCGGAGCAGGACCTGACGCAGAACCACGTATGTTGACATGCATTGCATTTCCTGAAGACCTTGGAATGTAACGCTGACGGTATCAACAGGCGTTTTWGAAAAGGTCGCTAGTTGCACAAGCCTGGTAGCACGCCAGATGTTTGACGAGTTTGAAAAGCTTCCGCAAGAATATCACTTACCGCATGAGCTGCTCGAGCTGATTCTCAGCGCCATTGCCATCGATTCTGGTGGCCTGGAATCTGCCACTGACGAGGATCGCAAGATTTCGAAGCGAGTTTTGGCGCGTAGCAACTGGCATAAAAAAGATCTCGACGAGCGTATGCAGGAACTAGCCGACGAACTTAAAACAGCCAAGAAGGACGTGGATCATCTTTCACTCCGAGATCTGCTTCGAAGAGATTGGAAGGGTGATCTCGTTGATACCCCTTCCCCACTCACGCCGACTGTGAGCCTAGGATTCTCCTCAATCCCCTACTCCATGGACGAGCAAATCAACAAGACGGAATTCGAGGCTCTCTTCGATTGGTTCGCCATCGAAGCAGCCTGGACTTCTCAAGTCGATACTGATATCTCCGTCGCTTTGAACAAGTACAAGATCAGAGACGAAGATGGCAACAAGCAGAAGATTCGAGAGATTGTCCTCGTAGTGCGGAGCGACGTGCGCATTGACGAGGCCCAAGCGAACGCTCTGTTTGACACTGTGTCTGATGCTATCAACAAAGAGCCTACGTTGCATGCGAAGCCTTGGCACCGAGCTGACGAGCTTGGAAAGAGGCAGATGGTGTGGACTCACGAGCGCAGTGATGCTGGTCGGAAAGTCATTCGGCCTATTATTGAGGCGGCTGTGCAAGCTTGGGATTAGTACAGTGCACGAATGTACATTGATGGCACGCTTATTCCGATGAGATGCAGCAGACGGGAAATGGAGGGACAACATTGAAGTCAGGTATTCTGAGCAAGACCTATGAACCCTAAATACGGAAGCAATATGAAATCGGCGAATCCACACCATTGTGGATATTTCCTGCACTCGAGCGAGCTGCAGCATCGACTGCGATTCGATAGCCATTCCTCCCGATCATCACCACTCTCCATCCTTCGACAAGATCTCCCACCCAAGCAACCGCCACATCTCCTCCTTGAACCATTCTTGCACCTCCGCCTCCTTGATTTTTGGCATCGAGATCGACCCTTTATCGACAGGCATTTTCAGGCATTCGGCGAGGGTATCATCGTTTGACAACCCATCGACGTCTCCAAATATGCACGTCACCAGCGTTCTCTGCAGGCGCTCTTTCGCCTCAACCACCAACGCACCTTTCATCGATGCTTTGTTATGAGCTTGCTTTGGCTTGCCGGTTTTGGCGCTTGTTGCGGCGCCGAGATATGATGGTGCCACGGCCATGATGCGGACTAGCAAAGCGATCAGATATGGGGCCTCTAGACGTACTTGCTTTCGGTCATCCTGTTGGTCCGAAGGTCCTTCATTATCATCCGTATCGTCGGGCGAGTGGCTCTGCTGAATCTCCTCCTCCAGCGTCTCTCTTCTGGCATGACCAAACACGGAATGGTACAAGCGACTCCCAAGTCTTTCCAGCACGCAAAACGCAAAGCCTTCGAACAATTCATGATGCGCTTCGTTCTTGGAGTCAAGCAAATCCATGATGCCATGGAGAAATGTCGTKTAGAGGCTGAGAATCGGGTTCTCTTTGATATTCAGGATTCGCGGCGTCTTGGTCTTGCTCTTGGACTTTTCAGCAGCTATCTTTCTTGCGGCAGCCTCTACTACGAGTACTCTTTTCGTCTCGACGTCCGATAAGCCGGTGAGTCCAGCAAGAAGGCTTCTGAACATGTGTACGATGGCATATATGGCTTTGCCCACGCTGTGCGCTTCATCAGAGGCTTGGCTAAGTCTGGTAAAGGCAGTGACAATCGAGGTCACTGCACGCCTGACGAGCAGGAAGACTTTCTTCAAGTCATCGCTGTCATGCGAACCTGACCTTGAGAATGTCTGTATCTCATCAAGCACGACTTGCGATATCGTTGTAGAGGCTTGGACAACGCAAAAGGCCAATCTCACCGGCTCGATCTTGTTGTGAGTCTTGAGGATGGCATGAACTTGGAAGAGACTGCGCAGAAGAGTGTTCCCTAGCGTATCATCATCAGCGTCGAAGCAATTGCAAGTCGTCCAAAGCTGCAGGGTACTGACCTATTTCGCCAGCCTGGCTGAACTCCACTTCACTCGATACATCAAACACGGCGAGAGTGCCACCTCTCGCGGACGTGGCATCTGCTTTCAATCTTTTCGGGGATCGAGGATACGGAATGRTCTCATCATCAACCTTCTTACGCTTCTTGGTTGGAAGAAGTGCCGACTTGGCCGCATCAAGCTTCGTCTTCAGCATTTCGACCTCACGCTGTAGGTCAACAAATCTATCCTCGGAACTCTTTAGCGCACTCTTCATGCGCTCAGATTCAGAGCGCCAATATGCCGACCGATCGAGATGCTGATACGTCGAACTGACAGCTCCCGCTCTGCTTCCTTTGGCGATGTGTAACCTGAGAAGTCGGATGTACTCTGCAAATCGTCAGCGTGGACAATCAATCTATTGTGGGACGAAGGACTCACCGCCGACGCTCAAATCTGGAGGCTTCGACTGGACGATGGAGACGGCGAATGCGATTACTTTTGCGCCGGGCGGTCTTGGTGGAGCGTTTGCCCCGATGTTCGCCATACTGAGGCAGGGTCGAGACCAGATTCGAAATGGAGAGACGTTGGGATGTGTCTAAGTGGGGTGGAAGTGTGCAATGTAGAAGGAGGTTCGGGTTTCTCTCTCATCCTGAACACGTTCTGGGAAGGTACGTTGGATGCTCCTTCCCAAATTTCTTGTCTTGACACTCACCGGCACCTCGCCTGGACTTTCGACATTCTCTCGCCTGAAGGAGGTCGATCAACTCGCCTTGGCGACTATAACCAACGCGACTCACATCTACAATATCCCAAGGCATCGCTCTCTGCAGTATCTATCGATGAATCTAGGACTGCTAGAATCCTAACAACTAGCAGAGTATCCTGTAAACTTATCGGGGGAGCAGTTCAGCGAGCTGCTGTTGATGACAAATCCTCATATCGACAGCTCTGGACGCCTACCATGAGGATTGCCAGGTGGCCCGCCCTGTATGAAATGACATGCCCTTTGCTGCCTGTCCCGCAGAGTAGCTCCTTCCTTCAGAAACACGACCTCCCTGACATGATCCGCGGACGCTGCAATATTGTGCTTGGCACGGGCGACCACGACCATGTCAATTACGCCCAGCAAGCCTTTGATATCTTCACACAGCTCGCCGACGATGTATGTAAGCTCGGCCTCGTTGTTAGAACGTCTTGCTAATCCTGGGTTTGCCTGCCTAGTACCATGATATGCCCACTGCCTATCTCGAGGAAGCGACGAAGGCGCTCGCTAGCGCCAAGGAGCACGCCCAGATCGAACAAGATGGAACTCTAGTCCTTGACCGCGAGGAGAAGGAAGAAGAAGAGGCGATTGCCGGCAATGAGGACGAATTCGTCATCGATGGGGACGAGCTCGCGAGGGAGCTTGGCCTGGACATGGGAGTGGAGGAAGCCGTCGTCGAGGACAAGGGCAAGGGCAAGGCACTTCAGCCTGAGTCGGAGCCTGAGTCGGAGCCTGAGCCTGAGCCTGAGCCTGAGCCAGAGCCAGAGCCAGAGCCAGAGATGGATCGAATACTAACTCGCCCACCAGGCATGAGCGCTGCGGATTATCGCGCCATCAAGGATGCTAGCGAGGGTGCTTGGGGTTCAAAGAGCGGCGTTGGTGTCAAAAAGGGCGGTCTCGCTACGCCAGGCAACTCTCGTCGGGCTCGCAACCGCATCTCTCGCCAGTCTAGTCGTCAGAATGAGGATGCGGGTCCGAAGCCCACTCTGCCAACTCCGAAAAAGGACATTATCCCAGAAGAGCCAGAAGTCGAAGACTGAGATGGATGCAAGTAAGACTGCAAAGGCTTTGCGGTCTTGCCGGGTTTATTAAGCAAGTACAATAGTCAAGCGAGCTGAGCCAAGGGGAGACCAAAATGCAAAATGCAAAACCTCACACAAGCCCCCCTCCCCCTTCGCCCCTATTAACTCTGCTTTCGAATTCTCTGTCGTCTATACCAAAAGCTGAAAATTTACTTCTCCTGCTCCAAAGACATTCTCTACAGTCGACACCGGAAACCTCAGACATCTCTCTTCATTCCTAGTGTATTTCTCTTTGATCCCTCTATTATCTATCCTCCGCCTCTTCTTTCCCCTCTGCCGTCTCCTCTTCCCCTACTGCCCTACTGCCGTCTCCTCTGTTCCCTCTGTCGTCTCCTCTTTCCCCTCTGTCGTCTCCTCTCTTCTCTCTGCCGTCTCCTCTGTCCTCTCTGTCGTCTCCTCTGTCCTCTCTGTCGTCTCTTCTGTTCCCCCTGTCGTCTCTTCTTTCCCTTCTTCTTCTCTGCCATTTCTATTCCTCTATCCCCTCTCCGCCCCTTCTTTTCTCCCTATCGTCTTTCCTATTCCTCCTTCGTCTCTCTATTGTCCTCTCCTATAATTGATGCTATGGACACAGACCGCTCTACTATCGCCTCTCAATTTCCTCTGCACTCCCGGGACATCTGCTCTGCTATCGACATAGATTGCTACATTATTACCCCGACATCCTTGGATATTGTTACTGTTCTTCTAAAGTTTCTGTTGCTATCGAATTGAAAGACTGCGCCGTTTCCTCCTCTTGTAGACGTTTTTAGTTATATCTTCTACTCCAATATTACGACATAGAAGGCTTAGATTAGGTATGACACGARATTCCCGCAAGCTATCGACATGCGAGACTTTGTCATCGCCTATCTTTTCCACATGCTATCAAACTCTCATGCTGTGTCAACACCTCTCAGGTCGATACGGGAAGCTCCCAAAAGGTAGGTAAGCAATGCTCGAATTTTGGTTGGCACTGATCGTATATTTCYCCTAAGTATAGTGATGTCCGCCGTTCGTATCGACTTAATCAACCATTTTCCTGCATCATCGATCTGCCATGCTCGCTATCATATAAAATGCCCCTTTTCCATCTCGAAATCGACCAAATCACCACCACGAATCGCTTGTGATATAAGATATGCTTGCTYATAAAGAATACCCCTTTTCCCACCAAATCCAAAAATCATTTTGCTTTTCATATAAATCATGCTCACAGAGATACCTGCTTTTCAACTGCTATATCAAGCCTTCCGGTAAATGACAAGGACCTCATCCTTGCTGGCCCGTCTGCGCTTCTAGCCGGGCATCTCAAGACCTCCATCGAACTGTGACGCTGAACGCTTCAATCCGGATTAGACGGATGTGGCTTGCATCGTAGATGTGCCGTAATGCACAAGGGAGCCTCAAGAACAGCAGCTGGCTCCACAATAGCAGCTGGCTCTACAATAGCTGAGGACTCTGGACTGATCGACTGCTCACGCCGAGCTAGTGCATTCTCACCAGGGCTAACTTCTTGGGTTTGAGCCTCAACAGCAGCAGAAGGCTCGGGGGTGGTCGACTCCTGACGCTGATCGGATATCTCCTCGCGAGCAATGACTCCTTGCATATGAGCATCTACAAATGTGGAGCGTCCGGGATCGTTCGCCTTGTGAAGCTTAGCTGGTGCCTTCTTAGGAGGGATGACTTGCTGAGTTGGAGTCTCAACACCTGCAGAGGTTTCTGCATCGGTTGGAGTCGCATGCTCCTTTTCGATCTGGACATCGACGTGCGGGACCGAAAACGGGCCCCTATCCCGGTATGGCTGTCCATCCGTCGACTTGTGAGCCTCGAGCAAGCATTCCCATAGCACGCGATCGGTACACCCAGCGGTTGGAATGTTGTCCTTGAACCCAACAAGCTTCCGCTCCGCAAGTCACTGCCTTGCAGCAATGTGTTCAAGCTCCATGTGGGTAGACTTGTCGTCTGTAGTATTCAGACCGTCGAGACCCAGGTCCTTCGTCTTGCACCGAAACTTGTCGTCCAACTCGTGAAAACGTTAGGCAGAAGGATTCCTAGCGATCTGTGAGTCCTCCCTGGCAAGCGCCTTTTCTTTGATTGCCTTGTACTTCTCGGTAGGCGACGGTGCAGCTACAGTACTCAAACTCTGCTGTTCGCGGAGATCATCCAGCCACACTTCCGTTTTGGCTCGAAGAGCAGCGGCGGGCTTCCATATCTTTGGGTCGACGACGTTATTCGGCGTGGTGATTGATCTTCACCTTTTTGTAAAAGCCGACAAGAATTCCAATGGCCATGAAGCTGGTTTCTTCCTCACATTCCAGGACTTTTCCACGTGCCCTCTGCGCGGGACTCTGATCTCAAGCTTTTCCTGGCATCTTGTCGCCTTAAGAAGCTGAGAGGAAGTTGCGAGATCTGTGACGGCTGTGAAGATTGGCCCAAGAAGGAGGCATTGATCATAGTTGACGTCCGTGACGATTGACTCGCAGAGCTACGATCGAGTGACGGTCTGTGGTGTGTTGATATGACTGAATGTGAGGTGGTATCTTCCGCAGCAAGTTTGGTGATGTTTGGAAGGATGATGTTTAGAATAGTGGTGGACGACTATATGTCTGTCCAGAGTGAAGTGAGCTGAGCGCATGTGCTGCTTGTGACACTCGGTCGACATAATTGAGTGAGGCAGTGAGTTTATGTGCTTGTGAAACCCCCTCAACATGTGCCATCTGACTGACTGAAGATCACCGCTACAAGGGACTGGCACATGTCATCAACATGGAATTCCAATACAACTCGATCAATCGTGTAGGGCACAGCCTCCCACCTAGCTATCTGATGGGTTTCTCAAAGAAAGTAGTAGTCGTAAAAGCATTGCGTTCCGCAGCTGGCTTCCTCAGTCGTGGGACGGCCCCTGAAAGGCTCCGCAGTAAAACGAATGCAGCCAAGCGATGCAATGGTGCCAAATCCTCCGTCTTTGCCCAAAAGCCGTCCAATGAATGAATGAAAGCGCCACCGGTGTGATGTGTTTAGTTCATGTCTCCCATCTGTACCTACCTCCCTTGGATTCTCGAGCTTCATCGACACTTGACCGGAACATCTTCCACAGCTTTTTCACCTCGCCATCCCGTTCCATGCCCGTCAAGACTTTGTTACTGTACTTGCCAAGTTTTTTTATGCTCCAACCTTGACGCCTCTTGAGCTCACTGGCTTCGAAGTAACCTTTGTTGGAAAGCCAGCTGTGCACGTACTCACTGAGATGGAAGCGCCAATGCTGCAGCGCATGAGAAGTGGCGGCGTTGCCTTTGCAGAACCTGCCGACGAAGAAAAAGTGATCAGTGCTTGCGATCTCCACGCCGTTGGCGTTGAAGTCGGCGTGAGAAGCTTGGCTAGCCTCGTCGGCGCTATCTGAGTCCTCGTCGTCGCTTGCGATCTCCTCCAAGGTGTCGCTGTGATAGGGTTTGCCATGAAACCGGATTTTGAACGTGCACTGGTGGTTTGAGCGGTTACAAGCATCACACTACAGAAAGGATGATTAGCGTCTTGTTGTGGTCTCGAAGATTGTGGCCAAGGAGAATGAAATGATGATCAGCCCGCCTACCTTTTCGTGGTCCTCCATTTCTTCACTCGATAGCTCGAACTCGTCGATTTGTGGCCTAGCCTCCAAGGCGGAACGGAATCTAGCATTCCAAGAGGAGGATTTGAACTTGCTCCCAGCGAGGCCTTGAGCCTCATCATCCAATTTGCGGAACGTCAAATCGTACAGATCATCGCGTTTTTGAAACCCCGGGTTCAAATTCTTCTGTAGCATCCAATCGACAGCGAACTTGAAAAGCTCGCTAGGTTTTAGTGATGCATAGCGAGTGAACTGTAGGGGTATGCCAGCTGGCACCCCAAGTGGACCATCTTCCTCTTCTTCCTGTTGAACGTTAGCTGTATTTTCCACACGTTCAGCCGCCACTGAAAGCGATCTGTCCAAAGCGCAGAGCAGATAAATTTTGGCCCAGAGAAAGGCACGCTGCTGACGGGACTCACCTCAACAAATTCTGCATCTTCATCACGTTCCTGGAAAAATTGATGGCTGCTAGTGAAGGCCGGGACATCGTCTTCAGGCAGTTCCTCGTCTTCATCTTCATCACCAGTCGGGTCGCCCTCTTGCTCTTCTTGCTCCTGCAGGTCTTCAAGCGGGATTTCTTGGCCCGCTCGCGCACGCTTCAGTCTTTCCAGGGCTTGCTGCTTTGCAGTCTTCTGAGCGGACTGCGTGTTACGGGGAGCTCGGCCACTTGACGGCGCCTCGTCGTCGCTAGGTCCGAGGAAATCAAGATCRTCTTCCAGGTCTTCCTTCTCACGCCGGGTCAATTTTGTGCGTTGCCGCTTCAGGCCGCGCCGTCCTGGTGTCTTTGGGAGCTCATCGTCGTCATCATCTTCGGGTTGTGCGTCGCCATCACTCTCACTTCGAGCACGCTTCCTCGAATCAACGATGACCAAGTCATCATCACTTTCGATGGCACGCGGTGGTGAGTCGCTGATGAAGCTATTGCGCCGAGCACGCCTCGTCTGGCGCCGCTRCTTGCCTTGTGTTGTCGGCATGTCGCTATCGTCGTCGTCCTCTCCTGCGTCGTCGACATGTATCGGCGGGACACTCACCGATCTTGTGGGTTGGCGCATTGGCGCATTGCGTCGCTGCCTACGCTGCGTTCTGGGTAGGTCGCTGTCGTCCCCGCTGTCGTCCTCATGCTGCTCCGGTGTGTTCTTTTGGCGACCACCGGCCACAACGATCTCGTCGTCTGAAGATTCCTCCTCTGCAATGATTCGTGATGTACGCCTAGGTCTTTCCTTCTCCTTCGTGCTCTTTGAGCTCTGTTTGGACTTCTTCGCAGACTTTTTCGCCTTCAATATTTTTCTGGGCGAGGGAAGAGTATCGGAGCCGCTGTTTGACTCGATATCACTGTATCGGGCCAAGTGACCTTGAGCCTGTGAACTGAACATACCAGCCTTGTCGGGGACTTGTGCACGAGTCGTCGATGGTAGGCGAATTGGAGAATCGAAGGAGGAAGGCTCGCGAGCGTTGTTGAAGTCAAGACGTTGTTGTCTGGGTCGCTTGCTTCTCGTACTGCGTGGTCGTCGCGTCGACCGAACCGGTCCATTCTCGCTGCTGCTGTTCTCATCGTCCTTGCCATWTGCTTTCAAAGACGCAGCTGGTGTGGGTATTGGAATGTCGTCGTCCGAGACTAGATCGACCGTCTCGCGTAACCTCCGCATGCTTGAGCTCGGTGATCCTGCCAGGGTTACCGCTGCGGCGCGATCTTGGATCTGCTTGTGATATCCTTTTGCAGCTGGCGAACTTGAAGGTATCGGTGTGAAGGCGAGGCGTTGTTGTCTCTTGCGAGGCGGTCGCGGCATTGTTTTCAAGGTATTGTGTCGGATGCAAGAGGATAGTTACTCCTTCGAGACTGAACCAGCGGCGGAAGTGGAACCAGTATTGGTATGCTAGAATAGTCAATGTTTGTTGGTGATGATGTAGTGAAGATCGCCAAAGTAGCACGACGCGAAGCGCGAAATCTTCACGCGATCCGACACCGGCCCGGAGCATGATCCGGGAAGTGGGGATGGTCATGCCCGCTCTCGCCGCTCAACGACCTTGCGGGTCTGTACTCAACTTTCACACACCCTCTATTTTTGAGATGAAAGGAATCGAAGAGGAAGTGTGGATGATGTGCCACAAAGTGCTTTGAGCACGCTAACAAAATGCCCAAGGCTCCGGGCCGCATACCACGAGCTCGTGACGAACCGACGCAACATGCCTCAATCTCCACGTCAACAATGACGCGCCCTCAAAAGCCCAATGCCTGTACGCCGCTCACCCTCTGGACGATACGAACAACACTGAGCTCCATCCGAAACAGTTGACGTACTTATGGCGCCCAAAACGCGAGCTACTACCGAGCCCGTACGCAAGACGGGTCATGGACCCAGACAGAACACATGGGGAAGAGAAGGCCTGGGCGGCTATATTTGGGAGCCCGATGCCTGGCAAGCCACCAGGATCGTCAGACATACCGAGAAATTCGTCGTTATTAAGGACATGTTTCCAAAGGCCAGCGTCCACTACTTAATCCTCCCGGTCGACAATAGCACGGTCATTCCACATGATGCCTTTGAGGACCCCAAATTCTTGAGCGAGTGTAAGGAGGAGGTAAAGGCAGTGCGGCATCTGGTCGCTGAGGAATTACGCCGGCTCTATGGCCAGTTCTCGGAATCAGACCAGCCCCGTATTGCTGCGATGGAGGCGGCAGATCTGGTTGTACCACTTCCTTCTGGCCGTGACTGGGAGAAGGAAGTCATCAGCGGGATCCATGCTCGCCCTTCCATGAGAAACCTGCACATTCATGTCCTCAGCCGTGACATGGTCAACCACCACATGAAAACCATCGACCATTATCAATCGTTCACAACGGACTTTCTCGTGCCCTTGGAGGAATTTCCTCTCGTGCCCGATGATGTTCGAAGGCCCCAAGGGTTTCCTCCGGAACACAGGGACTTCCAAATCGTAAGTGTAATCGTGTCTTCGGCCACGCCCGAGGAGTCTTGCGGAGCCACAGTGGGCCGATCTGCACAGGCCTTTGACAGCGTGGAAAGAGCCACCCCGCGTTGTGAAGAGATGAGTGATCGAATTCAGAGAGAGATTGACTGACCAATTTTCAACTTTCTCTAGATTCGCAACAAAGGCATGACTTGTTGGCGATGCGGTGCAAACTTCAAGAATAAGTTCGCGGACTTGAAAAGGCATTTAGCCATTGAGCTGGAGGAATGGAAGCGGGAGTGACTGGTAGTCCACGATACGCAGTACGGAATTGCGCCGGGGTGGAGCAGCGTGCTGTCAAACGGCAATGGATGCCTATCGGCTCTCACATGAATCCTTTCCAACGTGTCTCGCGATCCGAGGCCTCAATTCTTTCCCAACGCTCCAGATTCCTATACCGAAAGGTTGGCAGGAGTGGTCCGCCGTACCCTACTAGCTGTTTCTTCCAAATGGTAGGCTCAGCTTCAAGCCGAACATGCGGGTATGTGCATGACTGTGGAGGGATGAGCGGGTGCGTCAAGATGCTAAACGCCGCAGCTTGGTTAGGTTTCCCGCGAACTCACAACTCGCATTGATTGAACACGTCGGCTGGCGCATGGGCGATATCCGTGTCTAGTAGACATTGAAGAAGCGGGTGGAGAAATAAGAGCTGGGGGCCAAACCGCCAGCTGCCTGAGCTGAGGCTTGGTCCAGACTCGTGGCAGTTCAGTAGTGAGTGGGGTGGCGCTGTTTGACAGCCCACCAACCCGGAAGAGCATCAGTATCTACGTTAGTTGAGTGGACAAACGAGATGCGGGTACTTCAAATGCTCCACCCCCATACCTTGTCAGATTTGCTGATCCGCTATAGATTAGAGGGGCTCAACCCCAGCTTATTTTCGCGGCAGTGTGCAGGAAAGTAGGCGGTCTGCGAGCCAGCGTTTAGATCCACCTTTGCGTCGAGTGTGCGCTGTATCGGTTGCAATGATGTCGTAGTGCAATCGCTGCTCTCATTTTTCCAGTAAGTATTTTTTTTTCTTCTGATTCTCCTCGACCAATAAAAGGCTTCATCCCGAGCTGAGTAGCTGTTTCTACTAAAGATCGCTAGGGGAGATCCAGTTGATCCGATGTTCTCGCAGCTACTCGTCCGTTTTCTGTCCGAGGCAAACCTCGCCTAGAATGTTCATGTGCTGGGATCGGTCTCAATAATAATTCCGACGTCACACGCGTCTGGTGGATCCATGCATTCGACCTGTCCTTTGAGCTTCTCGCATGGCGCATATGCATCATCGTCGACAGGCATTGGACTGCGGTGCAGGGCAGCGCGGCGCGGCTCAGCTGCCGATTGGCTACCGAAGGAACCAATCTTTTGAACCATCGATTTTCCACGCCAGGGTTTGCGAACACCGGGCAGCTTTAGAAAAAAAGACATTTGTATAAAACAACAAAGACTCGCTCGCGACCCGGCCAGAGACCTGAAATCCGCCCCATTCACCGCCCAAATCACTCGCCTCACTGCCTGGAGCCTTGGCGCATTGCATTCACATTCACCGCTCGCTGGAAGAAACCTTTCTGTTCATAACCTCCTGCGCCACAACATCACTCTCTGCTCACACGAGTAGCAACGGAATTCGGCAACATCATCGACATGGCGCCATCGGCTCTAGGACCTTCGTTGCCTGACATCGACTCGCCGGTGAGGAAGTCGCTCGACCCAGTTGGCACTCCGCGGCGCAGCGGCTCCATGGCAAGCACGACAAACACCATGTACTCGCTCTCAAATCCCGGCGGCAGTCGCACTGCTAGTCGCATGTCCGCGCACATGCCCAGCGACAATGGCAGCGCGGCCAGCGCGGCCAATTTGTGGGCGCGCTACACTCAGATCAAGGACATGGACGTAGCGAAGAACATGCTCCTGGAGGTATGTATTACCGGCGCGCTGGACATTGACGAGATGTTCAAATGCCTCTCGGAACAACCCGCTCACCGGATGTTCATAGGAAGTGATTACTCGTTATGCATATCTGCAGCAACTTCACAACAACTACTTGCAGGCCACCGAGCAGCAACTCGCGGAGAGCAACGTCAATGAGCTCCGCAGAGTCAAAGAGATGAACTCGGAATTGTTCGCGATGCTGGTGAGTGCCCACTAGATATATATTCGCGGCCCGGCTTAAACTGACGGCATCACAGGAGGCTGATCCTTTTGTCCTGGTTCTCATCGACGGTGACGGGATGATTTTTGACAACTACCTTCTTCGACTCGGAGAGGATGGCGGCCGGCAAGCAGCAAACCTCATTACCAATGCGGTCGATGCTTGGATGCCATCGCACGTAGACGGCTACCCATCGAATTGTCGCATTGTTACTCGAGTCTATGCCAATGTCAAGTAAGTCAGGATCGAAGAGCAAAAGGTCGAGTGTGTGCGCGAGCTTGGCCCGCAGTTGAGAGCTCAGATGCCTGCTGCTGTTGTAATCAACGCTGGAGTCACTGAGACTGGGCTTCGGGATCTCTCGACACTTGATTGTTTGCTTTGAAGTCTCACTCCCTGTGTACCACCTGCTGACTTCATGACAGGGGACTCGCTGACACCTGCACTCGCGCCGGCATCGTCAGCTCGCCTACCATCATCGAAGACTTTGTTCGCGGATTCACACGCAGTGACGACTATTTCGACTTTGTTGATGTCGGCTCTGGCAAGGACCGTGCCGATGTCAAGCTTAATGCATTGCTGAAACTACATGTGCGGGGCCACCAATGCCGCCACATCCTCTTCGGTTGCAGTCATGACAACGGATATGCTCGCATTTTGGAGAAGTACTCGATGGACCAACTCGCTCTGCGCGACATCACACTTCTGGAAGGCGTCCCCTTTGAGAAGGAGCTGGTTCAGTTGCCGCACAACAAGACAAAGTTCCCCGGCATATTCCGTGACACCAAGATCAATATTAACGGCATCGACCTTTTGACGGAGAACACGCGCACGAGACACGATTCCCGCAGCAGCTTCAACCCAGCCAGCGGTGTTTTCACTCCATTTTCCCAGACACCAGCCCGGACACCGCCGGCAGTCAGCTCTCGCCTTGGTCCCAGGGTCGGTAGTCCCGCTCTTAGCATCCCTATCCGCGATACGTTGACGCGCTCAAGCTCAGTCACTTCCTCCTCTGCGTTATCCGAAGCCCCTGCCAATTCAAATGGAAACGGCGGTGCCGCGAATGGCTGGGCAAGCATAGCAGCAAAGGCGGCCCATCGTCCTCTGCAGGAATTACCAAAGCCAGCACCCGAGCCCAAGCTCGTCGGACCGGTTGTCCGACAGAACAAGCTTGAGCAGCGCCTCGATCCGCACATGGACTACGACCATGATCGCGTGTATGAGCTGAAGAAGCTGAAGCTTTGCAATCAGCACTATATCGGCCGTGGCTGCTGCCACCATCAGGCTGGAAACGGTGCATGTCCTCACAAGCATGACCATCCCCTCAGCGCCAAGGATACCAAATGGCTCAGAGTTGTCGCTCGAGAGACAGTTTGCAAGAAAGGAACTGCTTGTCTCGATTTTGACTGCATTTATGGCCACCACTGTCCTTATCCAAAGGCCAACGAAGGCTCTATGCGCGGCATTGGTTGCATCAATGGCGATGCATGTCGCTTTGCCAGAGAAATGCATGGCATGGATATGACGGTCGCAAAGACCATTCAGCAAAGCGATATGGACTACATCTGAGAGCCATGCAGGGCGATATCAGCGGACGAAAGGACGCATAATACCATGGAGTAAGGGTCGGTTTTGTATCTAGTTTCCTCGGCTTTGAGCAGCTGCGGGCGATGCTCATTCATTGTAGTCATATGCAATAGGGTTCGGATTACTGTAATGCTTTTCTCCTCTCGCTTGTCAAGTTTGGTTTAATAATCGTTGGTATTGGCAGCTTTTCTGCATGATCGGCGCCTGAATGCTCCCTTCATGAAAGAACCGTAGACCACTAGGCCTTTAAGTCGTATAGCGTAAAACATCCACTGAAGCGCTCTTCGCAACCACACAACTCAAGTATACACCGTCTCGGTGAACGAGTTGAGACCCAACCCCTCCTTGGCGATGTCTTCCTCCTTAAGGAACATCAATGGCATCTCAACCAGGTTACCCTTGATCCGACTAAGGATCTCTTTGACCTCAGCCAAGCCCTGTTCGCCAGGTGAAAAGGACTCTGCGACAACATGGCCCCACTTCCAAGTACTCGGCCTCTCAACGTCCTTTGCTCCCTTCTTCGCGTCATCGGCCTTGAAGAATCGGCCGTAGTAGTTATCGTAGTCTTTCCAGTTACGGACTGAATCATCAGGAACTGGGTGGAAGACCTTGGCGAAAGCTGCAGTGTTGTTGGCAGCGGTGGTCTTCCAGAGAGCCTCAAACGACTCCGAAAGCGGGTCCGCGACTGCGTGATCTTCGCGACTGCCCCAGTCGTACACATTGGGTTGGCCGACGGGAGTGAAATTCGCATCCGGTCGCTGGTAGTCCTGGGGGGGTAGTAGTCCGAGATGCTTTCGAAAGATCTGTCGTCGCAGACTCGCGGCGTAGTAAGACGCTTTCCATGGGCGACCTGCCATGGATGAATCGATCTCCTGTGGGTCTTCGATCAACATGGCAATCTCGCTGTCATGGTAGCCGAGCTGAGAGCGATCATTCAAGTTTGCACTGCCGCAGAGAACAATTCTGTCGTCGGCTATGAGGAGCTTAGAGTGGATGTACAGTTCTTCCGAAACGAAGGCATCCATCTCCTCTTGCGCCGTGCCGTCCCAAGGCACAGAACGAATATCCGGACCATTGAGCATGTAGCACTCTGCGACTGTGTCCCAACGGCCAGGATCACTTCCACGAACCTGCTGCGCTGCGTTCTGGTACCGATTGAGTGCATTCTCATTATCTTCAGAAGCTCCGGCGTATTCTTGTCCGTACTCCTGAGAGTCGGTGGTGTTGCCATATTTTTGATCCTATTGAGGATTAAATTAGCTCTGCCCATACTCCACCAGATAAAGTTGCGGAGTTTGTTTCCACTTACATAACCTTTCCGAGCATCGTCATATGAGACACCAGACCGCTGCTCTGCCTTAGACATGGCAGCGTTTGTGTTGATCCGATCGTAGCTGCGAAGGTTGTAAAATCTGATATACCGCATGGGGTCCACTCCCTCCCTTGCGATGGTCTCCATGATACTGTGCCCTCCACGGTTGATCGAGTTGTATTGGAATTCCATGATTGCTCGAGTACCGAGCGAGCCATCCGCTTTCAGGTCACCAGCAAAGGCGGGCACAGATGGAATGTTGATAATCATGTGCCAGTCCTCGTTGTTTCTCGCGGCACGAAGCGCCCTCTCAACGATGGCGGCGCCAATGAGGTTGGTGATTGGCTTCTGTTTGTCGCCAGAGGCAGTGATGAAAAATTGCTGCTCTAAAAATATGAAGTGCTGCGAGTTTTTGATGACTTCAATGTAGGCGTTCGCAATTGAGTGCTCGACCGCAACCCCATGACTCCACTTTCCACACGAGCGCAGGATCTGGCAGTGCACGCCTCCCAGGGGACCACTCGGAAGGTCTTCCGTCTCGCGGAACTCCTCTCGCAGACCTGCTTCCAGCCGGGCCCGGCCAGTTTCCAATTGCTGCTTCATCTTCGCCTACAAAGCGAAGATTAGAATGATTAGCGGAGTCTGAAATTGCGATGTAGGCAGAGACATAGTGCAGCTCGAGAGACACTTCCGAACTGCTGTCTGCTTTCTACCCTATGGTGACTTACACGAAAGCCATGATACTGGCCGTCGATTTCATTTTCAGCACCACCCTCAGCTTGGTTGTATGGATGACCAATGATGCCTGCCCGCGTCGGTTTGTACACCAGAGGTTGATATCGGGCTTGCTGGCGTACGTCGTACTTCTCGTAGTAGATGAAATTCCAGCGCTGAACGAAATGGGCCTTCAGATCTTCTGCCACAGGACCTTTAGCGCAAAGAGCGACATCAGACCAGCCCATTCGACTGTTGTATCTGCGATCAAGCTTGTTGTTCTCCCAATGCGAGACGTCCYCAAAATCAGATATTCTAGCGTTCTGGGATTTGATGTTAGAAAAGGGTTAATGACATCACGTGACGCACGTACGTTGTAATCTTGGCCGGGAAAGACAATTTGCCCCAAGTCCTCTGGATGAGCGTCGCTAATACTGTGTTGGTTCGTGTCCCATCTTCCATAGCACAAGTCGAGGCCGCCCATAAAGGCAGTCTTTCCGTCGACCAGACACAGCTTCTCATGATGAGCCCAGTAGAGGATCGCATCATCGTTCATTCCATAGATGGTTTTGAGTGCATCTCCAGAAAGCTGTGCAAGGCCCGCGGCGCTCATACCAGTCTGCTTGATGCTTGTCATGAAACTGGATGCCAGATTCTGCACATAAAGGGGTAGAATTAGTAAATGTGTCAAACGCAAGTGGCCAATGTTTTGGTTAAAATTACCCTGCAAAAGAAGTTAGCAATGCGACAAACAGGAAGGTTTTATGGTCGTATTTATACGTACTGCTTATCTGGTAAGTGATCAGGGTGGCGGAAGACTTTGATGTTTCCAGTCTTGTCATTGTCCTCCAGCCAATGCTTCGTATGGTGTGAGGATAGAGTCAATGCCTGTGTGACTTCCTTGTAAACAATGATGTTGATTCGGACGCCCCGATTAGCGGCCGCGAAGAGAAGACGGTCGAGCCGGTACTGCTCGTTTTTGGCTGGTGGTCGGCGAAGATAGAGTTCTGGTGAAAGCCACCTGCAATAAATGTCATTCACAGCACAAAGTATCTTTCAGAGCAAATGACCAACCAGTCAAGGATCCAGATCTCTTTCTGGGCGTGCTCTAGAGCCATGCTGACCGCCCACATGTAGGAGCGTTTTGGCCGTCAGCGATTGTAAGATCCACTGAGTTGCGATCGACAAGTCCATACCAGCCGTCCACAAACCACTTCACTTCATTACCCTCGCGCTGTGGAGCGAAGGACTGATATCGGTGCATATGATGCGAATCATTGTCTGAGCATTGCTCATTTTGATGGGTATGAGAATGCGTTGGCTTTCCGGTGGTGGTGGCTTTCATCTTGCTCTCGACATCGCTGACCGCCTGCTTGACTTTATCGAAAAGAAACGCCATGATCTAGGCGGGTGGTGGTGATTTTGGCAGATTGAGGGCCTGAATGTTTATCTCACTAGAAGCCTAAAGGTGGAGTGCGGTCGGAAAGCGCAGTTACCTTAGCGTACGACTCCTTTGTCATCTTCACATGATAGATGCCTCAGGCATGAAGTCAGGGTCCTCTCAATGACAGCCATTTACCGCCGGTGAAATTGAAGATTGCCGCCTCTAATAAGTGCTGTGAGTTCCTGGTCACTTCGAGAAATGGCGAAGCTTTCTATGTATGTCGATCACAGGCAKAACCTAAGCACAACCGAAATTGAGTATGAGATGAAGAAATAGTAAATGTTTTCATGCCGATGACAAGCAGTGAGCTTAACCAAAATGGGGRTGGATGGTTGACCTCTGAGCAGAAATCTAACTTACTAACTTACTGCAATGCCTAGAAAGGATACGATTCCAATGGTGATGTTGCAAAGGGTATAAGCTTAGGGGTGACTCCCGAGCTTGAAACTAGAAGACCGGTAGACCTGGGGTTGATACGAAGGGAGGCTCAGGTTATCGACCTAAAGATGCTCTTGGACATATCAGCAGACGCCAGGCTTACAACCTACTGCAATGCCTAGAAAAAGTACAGTCTTAAGAGCTGGGATTGGCTTTTCTACCATAGCCCTATGATGTACAGAAACGCCAGGACAATGCGACGCCTTTCTCCTTCCCCTGCCTTCTCCTAATACACCCCGCAGAGCTCTAGTAAAGTACAGCTAATACAACCATTCCATCCTCAAAGTTGAGTGCAGCTCGCAGCCTGTACATGGTCATCTTACACATCCTCGTTCACCGTCAGGATCATTCAGAGGCCGTATATGCCTGGCGTAGAGGCAACGACCACCGAACGCGGTTCGTCGCGCCGTTCATCCCTACTGTCGTATCAATTCTACTTCACCGTCTCGTCTAATCCAACAGACGAGTGATKAGTCCAGTAGCAACGGTCCTGCCACCTTCACGAACATTGAATCGCTGACCCTGCTCAATGGCAAGCGGCTTGTGAATGTTGCAAACCATCTCCACGTTGTCTCCTGGCATGATCATCTTGTTCTCAGCGAGTTGCTCGCTGCCCTCTGGCCAGCAAAGTGTCGCTGCCTCATCAGCCGTTCGCACGAACAGCTGAGGCTTGTAGTTGTTATGGAAACCAGTGTGACGTCCGCCCTCCTCCTTGGTAAGGACGTAAAGCGAGGTCAGGAACTTGGAGTGGGCCTTGGTGGTACCCGGACGGGCGATAATCATACCACGCTGAACGTCCTCACGCTTGATACCACGGAGAAGCAGACCCGAGTTGTCACCTGCGCGGGACTCGTCACAAGACTTCTTGAAGGTCTCGATGTCGGTGACCTTGGTCTTGATGGGAGCGGCGTTCTTGCCGACCAGCTCGACTTCAGAATCCTTCTTCAACACACCACGCTCCACACGGCCAGAAGCAACAGTTCCACGACCGGGGATAGAGAAGACATCCTCGACAGACATCAAGAAGGGCTTCTCGGTATCACGCTCTGGAGTAGGGATCCACGTGTCGACTGCCTCGAGAAGGTTGTCGATTYGTGTAACGCCAATCTCCGGCCGACGACCGTCCAAAGCGCAGAGGGCAGATCCCATAATAATGGGAGTCTCATCACCCTCGAAGCCGTACGAGGAGAGCAGCTCACGCATCTCCATCTCGACGAGCTCCAACATCTCCTTGTCCTCGATGGCATCGACTTTGTTCACAAACACTACTATGCGCTGAACACCGACTTGACGCGCGAGCAGCAAGTGCTCACGAGTCTGTGGCATCTGTCCATCTGAGGCGGCGACCACGATGATAGCACCGTCCATAGAGGCGGCTCCGGTAATCATGTTCTTGATGTAATCGGCGTGACCAGGGCAATCGACGTGGGCGTAGTGGCGGTTGTCGGTTTGGTACTCGATGTGGGCGGTTGAAATGGTGATTCCACGCTTTCGCTCCTCGGGAGCCTTGTCAATAGCGCCATACTCGAGGAAGCTTGCAAAGCCCTTTTCTGCCTGTCGCTTGGTGATTGCTGCTGTGAGGGTAGTCTGCATCCTGATGTCAGTATTCCATATCGTGGGCCATTGCTTGCTGGAAACCATTCTTGACACATTGTGTCCTCGTTTCCGGCTCATTTTTCCATACCTTTCCGTGATCGACGTGACCAATTGTACCAATGTTGACATGTGGTTTATCGCGAGTGAAAGCCGTCGCGTATGAGCGCGCAGCTGCGGACAAGAACTGCTTCTGGGCGCATGGTCGCAGCGCTGCCTGTAGCGGATTTTGGTTGGCAGCACGCAGAGCTCCAGAAGTCCGGAAAATGCGAGCGATGGCGGACGACATGACTGGAATGAGTGTGCGTGATGGACAATGGTCAAGTTGGATACAGTACGGAGACATCAATGAGGCGAACTTTTAGAGTCCGCGCTAGGAAGTCAGAACTTTGGAGGAGCGTGCACAAACTCCAGCTTGCTTCGCAGCGATGATCTGGAAAGACATCCTCATTTCCATCCACTCACCACGGCTAATATACCGGCTCGCAGGACTACACCAAACTCCGACACAGACGAGGAGTACGGCATCTTCAGTTGATTCAATCGCGAATTTCACCATAAGAGATCGACGAAGCCGAGGTCTTGATGCGTTGCGTTAGGCTTGGAAATAGCTCGAAGACAACACACCTTAAGCATTCGACCTGCCCGGAAAGGTCGTCCTTTCAATGTTCTCAACCTGCTGTCGAAGGATCGCATCTGCGCGTCCCATCACGATGCCTTTAAGAGCAAAGATCCAAAGTCCTGCGATGGCGATGGCATCTTCTTCGAGAACTGTACGCCTGCGAAAGTACACTCCACCACATGGRGACTGACTGACTGACCTTAGCCAACGTAGTTTGCCAGCGCAAGCGAAATCAAAGAACTGCCCGGAGACGAGCCAAACGATGTGCTCTTCAGCACCCAGGGAGGCGTCCGGAGCATCACCCTCAACCGGCCCAAGAAGCTGAATTCGCTCAATGGCAGCATGGCCCGCAAGATTGTCCCTCGTCTACGGGAATGGAGCAAGAGCGACCTCGCGAATGTGGTGGTGATCAAGGGCGAGGGTCGCGCCTTTTGTGCAGGAGGAGATGTCGCCTGGCTGGCACAGCGTAACAAGGAGGGAGTGGAGGGCCAACAAGAGAGCAAAGACTACTTCGCCCTGGAATACAAGCTCGACCACCTGATCTCCACCTACTCCAAGCCATACGTTGCCTTCATCGACGGCATCACCATGGGCGGCGGTGTAGGCCTCTCCCTGCATGCCCCCTTCCGCATTGCGACCGAAAACACCGTTTTCGCTATGCCGGAGACCACCATCGGTTTCTTCCCAGACGTCGGCGCATCGTTCTTCCTCCCTCGCATGGACGGAGAGCTTGGAACATATTGTGCCCTGACCTCTGAGCAGCTCAAAGGACCGGCTGTCTTCTACGCCGGGATTGCAACCCACTACATTCACTCGTCCTCTCTTCCAGACCTGGAAGCCAGATTAGCCGAGCTGTCCTTCAAGGACTACGACAACCTCTCCGCGCGCTTCCGTATCATCAACTCCACCATTGAGGAATTCTGTACGGGGCTCCCTCACGATCAACCCATTGCAGCGCCCGTGGGAGGCAACATTCGCGCCGCAATAGACTACGTCTTCCAGCCCGCCAACTCGCTCTCCCAAGCTCTAAAGGCTCTGGAAGGCATGATTGGAATGAGTCCCGAGAGCAAAGGCGGTCGAGAGATTCCCGAATGGGCCGAGAAGACGCTAAAGACCATCCTCCAGCGCTCTCCCACCTCTGTCAAAGTCACCTACAAACAGCTCCGTCAAGGTAACCAGTGGAGCATGGCGCAGACATTCCGAAATGAGCACGCCATCGCGTCAAAGTTCATGGAGCACCCGGATTTCATCGAGGGTGTCACTGCTCTTCTTGTGGACAAACCCAAGCGCACACCAAGCTGGACTCCCGCGACACTCGATAAGGTCTCCGATCAGGACGTCGATGCATTCTTTGATTTCAGCAACTCTTCTAACTTTGAGCTGTTGGGCCAAGACGCAGGCAGCCACGGCAACGATTACAAGGGCTACCCTCACGCTTGGCTTGGTCTACCCAGGGAAAATGARGTGAGGGATTTGGTGTTCGAAAACAAGACAAAGGAGGAGATTGTGGACCACTTCATCCAGAAGACTGACGGGAAGCAGGGTGTCAAGGAGAAGGTCGAGGAGATTCTGTTGAGGAAGACAGACTCCAACAACGGCAAGCTTAGCTGGAAGCGGTAGGCGCATGCCTTTACCAGAATGATGTACAAATACAATCGGACTTTAGCTAGTGCGTACAATTGTGGATGTGGTACACTCTTTGTCAGGTGTGTTGTCCCCTCTGCGGACTTCCGAAGAACTTCATCTCGTACGTCGAAAAGTTGCGATATATCTATCCTATAGATTATATAGCTTAAACGCGTTATAGATCTAATTTCTAGCTAGAAGTATACGTATTCTATAGGTGAATTATCGTTCTCATCGCTATCGACGATATAATACCTCGTTGTCGCTCACACCAACCCTAATATTATAACCCTAAAAACAGCGACAGCGACGATTATATAGTATTTATCTATCGGAACCTACTTAAACTATAGGTTTATAGTAGATAAGCTTACGACTCTAGTTGAAGCTATATACATTGTGAAATACATATATCTTAGAATACCTTACCTTAGGTTTTAAAAAGTGAAAGGTCGCGGAGGTCCGGCGAGGGAACAAGACACTTGATAAGTCCTATATCTACTGAATGACAATCGCTCGCTCGCTGTGCTATACTATGCTTAAAGGAAGTAATAGGCTCAACATTCGGTCTTCGTCATGCGGCGTGGTGTCGTCTTTTCATCAATCTCTCGCATGTTGATCGTCACAAAGGTCGCTTCCATCAAGCTGGGGGCCGCATGTGTGCTGCTTGCGCAGAGCGTTCCCCAAAAGCTTGGTCTGCGTCAGCAAGCATATTTACCTCCCAACCTTCCACCCAAGAGATCTCAGTTGCCATTCAGCTCTCCCAGCATCTTTCTGCTCTGACCCAGCATTCCAGTGATGGTTTAGACCGCTCCAGTACTCTCCCTCTTAACTCCTTTAGTCCGMTCCAACACAGTATCCAGTCCACTCTCCTCAACCGTTGGAAACCTGTCCCGATCGTCCTGGACCTTCCTCTTGAACAGTCCAATATCATTCAACAGAGCATCAACCTCAGCCTGCCAATCCTCGTGCGAAAACTCTCCGCTCGCGTCAGAACACTCATCGCCAACACCACTGTCCCAATCATCATGGTCTCCCTCGTATCCCTCCTCGGGATCACGATTCTCCTCGTCCTCTGCGGCATACACTGTCTTTGGTAGAATGATCGGGTTCTTCAGCTCTCCCAACGCGAGCGCCAAATGTCTCCTCAATGCCTCCACCTCCGTCGTCAAAGCAAGATTGGCCGGTCTCAATTCCTCCACCTCAAGCGTCAAAGCCCGGATCTTGACGTCTGAAACCGCACGACTCTCCTCCATGGCTCGCTGCATCTTGCTGACTTCCCGCTGGTAGTCCTCCAGCTCATCTCTCGCACGATCTGCCTCGTCTCGCTTTCTGGCCGACGCAGCGCTGACACTCAATTGCAAAGACTTGATCGTCTCCTGCAGATCCATAATCTTCGCATCTCGCTCAGCTGCTGAAATGGCATCCTGGTTGACGTGTGCCTTGGTTCTGATCTTCTTCGCTTGATCGGCGTAGCGGAGTGTTGAGAGGGTCTCCTCGTAATCGGTTGGTGAAATGCAAGCAACCATTGCAGTCTTGCTGTTACCGCCGAGGGAATCCCTGAGCAGCCAGGTGAGGACACTGTCTCTGTAAGGTACCACATCTGCACGACGCTTGGTTTGGTTTTGAAGGCCTGGTGCACGGGAAGCACGTTGGCGCCTTGGATCTGAGAGAGCGCCGATCACACGACCGAGGGTGCTGAGAGATTGATTGATGTTGCCTCCTTCGCGTAGACGTTGACCGGTCGCTTCTGTACGTCCTGCTCGCTCGGAGCCTGCAAGATCGACGAGACGCATTCGGGCAAGACGCTCAATTGTGCTGTCCGTTGCGATGTCATGCTGAATCTGCTTGAGGGTGAGTGTAAAGACGGCGTGGGAACGTGAAGATGTATCGTTCATCTTGGTGGAAGCCGTGGTGCGATTGAGGTCGCCCATCTTCATCAAACGCTCGATATCCTCATAGCTTTTGACTGGCTCGTCCGTGAGGTTCTGGACGTATACACCATCGCTTTTGCTTTCGCGGATCTTGAGATAAGCTGGAGGTGTGACCCTTGGAGTGAGCAAGTCCTTGACATGTTCGTTGTAGATCTCGAAGTAGGAGACATGAACGTTGTAGGTTATGCTGCCGTTCTGCTCCGCTTCGACACGTTCGAACAAGCCCCTGCAAGTGCGTGGGATAAGACCAGGCTCGTTCGGTGTTCCCATCATCGTGTACGACTTTCCACTGCCGGTCTGGCCGTAGGCAAAGATACACGTGTGGTAGCCATCGAAGTTGTGATCCAGAAACTCCTCTCCAAAGGAAGAGAAGATGTCCTCTTGTTGTGCGTAGTGGGCATCCTTGTCGTCATGCGACCAGAATGACTTGTCGAACGTAAAGGACTTCTCTTCTTGCTGGCGCCGAGAGCCAGGAATGACTGCGGGTGGGAGAAGTTTCGTCTCTTGTGTTTGTGGATTCATTCGCACAATGCAAGTCGCGCCCACGTCAAGGTCGCGTTGGATGAATCTGCGGACGCGAACGACGACTTTAACGTTGCCTCCGCCATCACAGTCGCTCTCCATCAGGGAGGGGTCGATGGGGGTACGGCTGCGTAGACTTGGGGAACTAGCGGTGGAGTGGTACTCTTGCATGGCCATGACGGCGGGAGGGGTGGTGGAAGTGTCGTGGACAGTCGAAATCACAGCGTTTGTTGTTGATGGTAGGAAAAAGGGCGGGAACAGCAGCAATGCAGCCAATTCGTCTTGTACAGCTTCGAGAGAATGTTGGAATCTTAGGCAGAGAGGAACATACATGACATCCTTACCGCCAGTGCCACGATATCCAGGCGTTTGTGATCGACACTGCCAGGTCTTCCAATTGGTACGGCTCTTGGAAAGTCAAACGCAAGTTCGGACTGTCAACAAATCTGTCTCCAAGGGCGACGGCTGCATGACTCGCGTCACCCCACCTTTCAGCTGATAGATCTCGAGCCAAAAATTAATCTAGCTCGCGATCCAAGCTGTTCCACTCCACGACATCCACTTCACTCCTTTGCCGTTGAAGATGCCGCCCAGAAGACCACCTCCACCGGCCAGCAAGCCCTCCAATGGCGAAGGAACTCCCATTACAAGTGTCGAACAGGCCACTATCGCAGGAGCTTCAGAAACTCCTGCTGCGACTCCAACACCGTCGGCTTCTTCAACACCTGCCCCTACAGCACGGATGACTCCGGCATCGCGAGGAAGAGGGAAGCCAACCGTCGCACCTAAATTCGCAGGACGTCGAAGCGCCACCGAACGTCAAAAGATTGCAGAAGCAGAAGCGAAGAAGAAGGCGGCAGAAGCAGAAGCAGCCGCTGCACAGGCGAAAAAAGATGCACGAGAGGCTCGAAAATTCGGCTACAGAGGCAATGATCGGGGGAGAGGTGCTGGAAGGGGGAGAGGTAGAGGAGGACACATGGGCGATCGAGTAAAGGAAGAAGTCGTCGCCAGTGGTCCTTTTAGTGCTGGGCAGGTCGGTGCTGATCCCAAGGCAGCCTATAGCAGGAGATTTGGGAGTGGAGGTGGTACGTCTAGCGCCTTTGGTGGAGGGGGAGGAGGCGGTGGAAGCAGTGGCGGTGGAGGTGGTGGTGGATCAGGTGGCAGCGGTATCAAGAGAGAATACGGCATGGGAGGAGAATATACTGCGAGACCGCTCAGGACCGAAGATGGCGGTTACATATCCAGCGATGCCGAGGATGCGGACCCTGCTATGCCCAAACAGGACATCGATCAGATGCAGGTCATTGATCTGACTGGAGATGATGCGAAGGCGAGACGAGCAGATGCTCTTGCACCTGTCCGCCTAACGCGAGTGCCACATAAGGACCGCACTGTTGGTCTGAGCGCAGAAGATGCTGTACCCGTGGATAGTAGCGATTCTGCCGAGCTATCAACAACCGAACGGAGGAAGGGAAAGCAGCGAGAGAAGGATTTGGAGATTACTGGCTCGAAGGACAACACTCGCCCTGCGGCATACAGCTMCTCGGACACCGAGAACGAACCACACATCAAGGCAGAACCCACCGATGACGAGCATCAGACGCGGCCGACAACTCCAATCCCGTTCGAGGGCGATGGGATTACAGCGGTACCAGTACCCGATTCAATGCAAGACCCACCATCTTCGCCCGAGACGAAGCGCAAAGCCAAAGAGAAGATCAAAGCCATCGCAGACGCCGTCGACGATGAGGACGATAGTGACGCTCCTCTGCCCGAGCCTCCTAGATTCCAAACCCAGGCAGAATTGGACGAGTGGAAACGGCGCTACAAAGATCTGAAAGACGTCCGCGCCGAGCTCGGTCGCCAGACGCGAAGGAACGCTGCCACCGCTGATGGTGATGGCGATGGCGATGTGACCATGGCTGAGGCCGGGATGAGCACTCTCTCAATGGAGAAAACCAAGACTCAGGAGGCGAATCGCGCGAATCATGTCTACCTTTTCCAATTCCCGCCTGTCCTACCCTCCCTGACGCCAGTCTCCGTGAAGCCTGATCCCGAGACTGCTACAGCAGAGACACAAGATGCTATGGAAGTCGACACCGCGGGCGACGCCGAGAAGGAAGAGGAGAAGGGGACAGCCAAGAAAGACGACAAAAAGCATCCTCACGGGTCCCTCAACCTTCCTCCCGGCCTGGTCGGAAAACTACAGATCCACCGGTCCGGAAAGGCGACTCTGAATTGGGGCGGGACTCCTTATGTATTGACCATGGGTGCTGATTCAACATTCTTGCAGAATGTGTTGATTGCAGAAATCCCGGAGACGAAGCCGATTCCCGATCCRCCTAATGACAAGGATTCCGCGGCGGAAGCGGTGAGGATCAAGAAGGAGGCTGAGGAGAGGGAAAGGGAAAAGGATAAATTGCCAGAAATCGGGAGGGCGTTAGGAATGGGCCAGGTCAGGGGCAAGTTTGTGCTGACGCCTGATTGGGGGCAGATTCTCTAACCAATTGTGCGAGGCGATGGAAGGAAAACTGAGTGGGCGATGTCTTGAAATTTAGCGAGGCGTTTTGTGCTGGGCAGGGCATATTGTGCATATGGGAGAGATGTGTCCCGTCGTGGACTCCATTCAGCTAAAATGATGTTACCGTGCCATTCATATTAGCGGCAATGCAGACGGCGGAGTCGAATACTATCTCAGTGTCTCTGATAGCTATTTTGTATCCGGCAATGGTATTACGCAACCTATATGCTGCTATTGTACTGTCCTGCTGCAATGCCCTTCTCCCAAGTGGCAACGACCTGATACGCATGCCTACCTATAGTGGTACCCTTGAACATGAATGTCACACTGTTAAAGACGACATTTCCATCATTCAACGTAACGAGCGGAAGATGAAGAGAAGGAGAAGAGCGGACATAATGAGGTTGGCTTCACATGCGTGGCGTGATTGGTTGGTATCGTGCCTTGTCTGTGACTTGGATGGAGAACCGTGATGGACAACCATACCTAAGCAAATGATATGTACCATTTTCAGTACCTACAACATCAACACTCAGGAAGTTATGTCTTTGCCGTCACGTTGCTGCTTTAAGTAAAGGACGGCTGGCCTATTCTGCTTGTGCAGATAAGGAGTTCATGCGTTGCTGAGCTCGTATAGGGCTGTGGTGAGTGTCGTGCTCTCTACCATCTTTTCCAAATGCAATGCTACTCTTCCAATGATATTCATGGCTGTGAAGGATCTCCATGGTCGAAGTCGGATCACTGTTGGACAACATTTGTTCATGACATGTCAAAGGAGGAGAAGAGGCAGGTAAGGTACCTTGGATGCTCGCCGGATGGCGGCGTTCGGGCCTTGGCAATCGAAATCCGACACCACAAAATTCGAGATCCACGACACGACCAACAGCACTCGATAGCATCGGCAATTTCAGAAGACCAGGAACAACTTCCCACAAACCAAACACCCACCACATCACCGCCAAGATGTCTCACGAATCTGTGTTCGTAGCGATTCCGGTCCTCTAACTCCAGCCAGCGCGACTGACAATTCGCACAGTTGGTACAGCCGCCCACGCACATACGGAAAGGGAGCCCGCGAGTGGTAGGTCGAGCAAGATTGGAATACAYGAAGCATGCGCAGGAGAGGATACTGACGGCTTCGTAGCCGTGTCTGCACCCACAAGGCTGGTCTCATTCGCAAGTATGGCCTGAACATCTGCCGTCAGTGCTTCCGCGAGAAGTCTACCGACATCGGTTTCACCAAGGTGCGTTGGACAGCCCGCTGCAGACGCGCGCAGCAACTAACACAATGTAGCACCGTTAAACGCGCACACGATGGACAATGTGGAAAGAGGATAGCGAGGAAATGTCGGAGTTGGTCTGACGCTGCTGATATGCGGCATGTCTGTGGCAGAGAGGGCACTGGCGTTCAACGGGCATGGTGACAATTGCTTGAAACTGCGGGGTGGAAATACTGGGGCAGATGCACTGCTCCGGCAATACATCACATCTACGGAATGACATGAAAGCCCAACTCCGGCCACACTCTTCCTCGGGAGACCTCTACTACTCCACTGTGACTCTCCCGTGTCTCGCGGTCCTTCGTGCGATGGAACTCCACCAGCGACAAGAACGAATGAATGAATTATGCATTGACATAACTCGTGCAACACTGGGTCCAATCGGGCGATTTCAGACAACAATAAAGGTAGTGTAATGACAGCGCATTGATTCGAGTCCCAGATAGGAAGCATGCGGCAGCCGATGTGGCCACAAGCTTCTGTGCAACGGTCGGACGTGGGTTTGAAGGTATGCAGCCGTTTCAAGGCATATGTCACATCCTGCTGCTTCGTGGCTTCACTCCATACAAGCCATGCAGTTCATCGTGTCTACATGATACACGACATGAGCAATGCTGCAAGTCATTCAACACAATACGCTCAAAGGTGTTCACACTAGAGCTGGTGAGGATCTACGGCGACACCGCAGGAGCTGCAGGAAAACCGCCCAATGTCAGCCCCAATCCCAATTTGGTCTTGTTCCTTGKGCATCGGGCTTGGGCCGAGAGTGAAGATCAGTGATGATACGACGAGGATAACGAGGTTGTTGCAAAGATGAAATTGGGCAAACAATGACAGTCTAGATTTCGGCATCAATGATCGCAATCGTGAGATGAGCCTGCAATGGCCAACCAGCTCTCCCGACCGGCTAGCACCCACACACCCATTCTCCGGCCCAGCTTGCCCAGCTATGATCCTGGCAGTCAGGAAATCCGCTGCTCTCCTAGCCGCCCACGGGCCGGCGCCGACAGTCGGTGTTGGCGAGATGCAGTGCAAATGACAGACTAAAAGCCATTGGCGGAGAGGAAACGGTTCAGCGACAATATCTGTATCAGTTGCGCTGTACAGTAGATGTAAATAGTTGGACGAGCAGGTTAGGTTGTGCAATTAATCGAGTAGTGAAGATCGTGGACCGTGGAGCTACTAAGTTCGTAATTTGGCCCGAGCGAGGAAGGAGTGGTGTCGCTTCCCGCTCCAACCTCACGCAATCACAACCAACTCACAAACAACTCCAAACTGCTGCCGACCCTCTCCAGGASGACGCCGACGACGACGTCAGGCACGTGAATCGCGAAGGCACGCGAGCGGGGGCTATCGACGACCAGCGCCCACCCTGTCCACCAGCCCGATTGCTACCGTTTGCGGCGCAGCACGCCCTCGACCTCCAATTGCGCTGCCAACAGCCCGCCACTCCACGCCCGTCGCACCTCTGGAACACGCCTGTACGCTCACGACATGGCGGACCAGAATGAGAGCGTGCAGCAGCGGATTCAGATAGCGCGTCGCGATGCCGAAGCTCTCAAAGACCGCATCAAGAGGAAGAAGGACGAGCTGGCAGACACAACCCGTGAGTCAATGCCCTACGTCGTGGTGCCTGGCGTGTTGTGCCGGATGTCTGTATGCGCATGGCTGACCATCTTCTTTACTACACAGTGCGCGATGTCGCGAAACAACGCACCGAGCAGCTGCCGCGACTGACAATGAAAACGAAACGCACTCTGAAGGGACATTTGGCCAAGATCTATGCGATGCATTGGTCGACGGACCGGCGACACCTGGTTTCGGCCTCGCAGGATGGGAAGCTGATCATCTGGGATGCTTATACAACCAACAAGGTACATGCTATTCCCCTTCGCTCCTCATGGGTCATGACGTGCGCATATWCGCCGAGTGGAAACTACGTGGCGTGTGGTGGTTTGGACAACATATGCTCCATCTACAATTTGTCGGCAAGGGAAGGACCGACTCGTGTGGCCCGGGAATTGAGTGGGCACTCTGGCTACCTCAGCTGTTGCCGCTTTATTAACGATAGGCGCATACTGACGTCCTCTGGAGACATGACCTKCGTGCTGTGGGACATCGAGACTGGTCAGAAGATCACGGAGTTTGCAGACCATCTTGGAGATGTGATGAGCCTGAGCATCAACCCACTGGATAACAATCAGTTTGTTTCTGGCGCTTGCGATGCGTTCGCCAAGCTTTGGGACATTCGCCAGCAGAAGTGCAGTCAAACTTTTGCTGCACACGACTCAGACATCAACGCCATCCAGTTTTTCCCCAATGGCAATGCCTTTGGTACTGGTTCAGACGATGCATCGTGTCGGTTATTCGACATTCGCGCAGATCGCGAACTTCAAAGCTACACAGTAAGTCGGTCGGAGGATCTGCATGCACACGGCTTCTAACATTCGCAAAGATTCCTGAACCTGTCTGCGGCATCACATCTGTGGCATTCTCTGTGTCTGGTAGATTACTGTTCGCTGGCTACGACGACTTTGAATGCAAGGTAAGGCGCACATCGGCCATTTCTTCGTGAAGAGTACTGACGACCACCAGGTTTGGGACACCCTTCGTGGTGAGCGGGTCGGAACACTACAAGGACACGATAACCGTGTGAGCTGCCTGGGCGTGAGCAACGATGCCATGTCACTGTGCACAGGCTCGTGGGATTCAATGGTAAGTCATCTGGACCACACTCCTCCTCGCAGGCGCTAACATCAGTTCACAGTTACGTATCTGGGCATGATCGACACATCAGAGTCTTTGTCGTTCAGAACCCAAAGCTTCAGGCTTTGCCAATCTGTCCAACACTTCAATCGTGCACAGCACAAGTCCAAAAATCTTCSATTGGCCCGTGTGTTCCCACTCCCCTATGGACAGAGCGCTCCTGTCCGGTGCGGCGCAAACCTTCTCGGGCTTCACTGCTTTGGATGGAGCAAGCGATTCTATTTCTCACTGGTCCGAATTCTGGGACCAAGTCTGTTCAAAGACACCTGGCTGAGGACCTTTCTTTCACACCACTTTGCTTGAGTACCTATGGGAGCACCAGGGCGCGACCTCGGGCGCCTTGGGGGCATTTTGGGGGCAGTGGGACGTCTTGTTAGCCCGCTGGCAGCATTCACCCGGCGCAAGGTTGTGTTTATGTACCTGTATGCGAAGCCTCAAAAGCACTCGCATCTGCAAGTGTCGTGTGGATAACACACCCAATGGCATTAAGAAGATAGCGGAATGTAAAATCCTCATCAATTTAGATCCAAGGTGACAATTAATCGTGCAGGGGCTGGGGTTTACCTCACTTGTTGGTAGTCTTGCTAGGTTCCAAATGCCGGGCACTGATTCAAGGTTTTCCAAACACCGGCTTTAGCGGCCTCGATTGAGATACAACCTTGTCTGCCGAAGTGGCACGCCCAATCTTGTTCTATTAATTGCACATGGGAATGGAGTGGTATCATCATGGGCTGGCTGAAGCGGTCTCGGTAGGGTGCTCACCCTGCAACACGCATAAATTGGTATCCCTTTGCAAGTGGTTGAGCGACTGCTTATTGTACCACACATCCTCCCTGCCCAAGGCGTGCCACGGATTCCAATTCCTTCGCGCTCCTCACCATGTCGGCCGCGCAGGATGAGTTCAACGAGTTGTTGCGAGACAAGGAGCACCGCATGAGACATCCAGAAGACGACGACGATGATGATGCGCAATCCATCCTCAATCTCTCCGACGATGACAGCCCGCCATCTCCATCTCCAGATCTGGATWCCGTCACGCCGCGGGCGAGCATGAACATACCCACTCGACGATACGCTRCCAACACCGGGCCCAAAGGTGTCATCTCTGATGCACAGAATTTTCGTGACTCCCGCGCCAGCGCGAGGTCATCCATGGCCAGCACACGACCACCTCAGCAATCCTCCCGATCGAGCCCTGAGAATGGAATCGTAGAAGAAGACGAGGAATTGGACGATGATGAAGGCCCGGGAGACAAAGGATTCATGGCGAGATGGAGACAGAGCAGGATTCGGGATATGCAGGTTGGGTCGCGGGAGAGTAAGATGCATCTGAATAGTCGCAGCAGGAAAGCATACGGTGGTATCACAACTGTGGATGGGGAGGGCTATCTGGATGCGGTCGACAAATCTGGGCCAGATACGATCGTTGTGGTGTACATCTACGACGAATACGTAAGTTCTGGCGAGACTACCAATGTCTTGTATAATCTAACAAGCAGCAGTCTCAGGTTAGTGACCTATTCGAGAGGTGCCTTCGCACTCTGGCGAGCAAGCATGGGGATACCCGCTTCGTGAAACTGCACTACGACGACGCTGAGATGGAGCCCGCGGGCGTGCCTGCAATCATTGCATATCGGGGAGGTGACAAGTTCGCAGGCCTGGTACCGTTAATCGATGAGATGCCTGAYGATGCAGAATTGAATGCAACCACGCTGGAAGCGGTGATGAGAAGGTTTGTAATTCGAGTACTCAATTTCTGTCGAAATATAGGTATGCTGACTATCTGCGATCAGGCACCAAATTCTCCGATGAATGCAGGTCCGCAGGACAAGAGAACCTCTCGCTCGACATCTGACGTGATCTCACGTGCAGGTGATGGACAACATCCGCGAGCCCGTCAGGGTGCTTCGTGCATCATAGAAGCATGATGTGGCGTGAAAGAATCAAACGCGCGAGCAAAGCGGATCATGATCCTGAGAACGTCACATTCACTTGAGTAAAGAACGACGCGTATGCTTCTGCGGTTGAGCGAGGCCTACTGCTCCGTGGTAGGTAGGTCGAACCTCGTTTACAATCCTATTCAGTTTCTTGGAAACAGAATTGGAAACAGCTAGGTCTTACCATAGCAGGAAAACTGTACTGGCAAATATGGAGGGCTTTGACCGCCAAACAAGATGCGCTTCACGCGTAGAGTGCTGTGAGTTTCTGCAGGGCAGGCCTGTCGTGTCAACTCAGGGTCGAGTACTTGGCCAGGCAGAAGAGACAGTTGAAGCTGTGTAGCAGGGACCTTCAAGTTTCAACACCTGAGGGGTTGATCATTGTCTTTACTACAAACAGGCAGACGTCAGCGAAATGCTATCAAGTGCTATTGCTTCTCAAAGGTGTGGTGCAAGATGTAATGTCAGAAATTTGCGTATAGGGTTTCTCCTCAATCTCCATGGAATGGAAGTACAGACAGCTCCAATATTTGAGTATCATCATGTTGTGTCGCGGCGTGATGGATAAACAGACTGCTGAACTTACCAGAGAAGACGTTGCTCAGTAGTATGCTTGCATACTCTCATGGCCGTGGGTGCCGTTCGAATACCTGGGGTATCGTGGACTTTGCCGACATGTCTGTGAATACGATTTGTCTCGTYGAGAGCTTGATCGCAAGGGATGCGTCCAAAGTTGACTCGGGAAAGAAGGATCTTCACGTGCCCTCTTCGGTATCATCAAAGGCGAGTTTGACCGCTTTCGCTTTCTTCTTTGGCTTCTTAGCAGATTTAGCGACGCTGGCTGCATCCTGAGCCTCGGGCTCCTCGGACTCGCCAACGATCTTTGCTGCCTTTCGCTTCTTGGACGTGGCGCCGTTAGTGACCTTGGCATCTAGTTTTGCGGCAGGCGGCTCCTCGTTGCCAGGACGTGTTTCGGATGCCGAAGTAGCAACGTTGTTGCTCTCTTCCGCAGCAGTCGGTGAGGCTCTAGTGAGTTTTTTATACTCATCCTTGGTCAAAGTCTCCCCGGTCTCGTCAATCATCGTCGGGCCATCGTCGTCTTCCTCATCTTTGGCCTTTTTCGGACGCGCTATGGCACGCTCATGGCGGTCAGCATCTCCGAAACCGCCCTTCTGTGCATGCAGCCTCTGTAGAAACGGTGGAAGGTTTTTATCGAATTGGAGATCCTTCCCCTTGATCTTTCCTTCGACCATGGTGATGATGTGGGAGGTGGACATGATAGGAGGTTTCGAGTTTGAATTGGTATGCGTCTAGCGCGATGAAGTCTCGGCGCCAAATCGCTTTCCCTTCAGGGGTTGCCGCCTTCCCATCAAGCACCGAGATCAGAGACGTCGCCCATTCTACAGCCAGCAACTGAAAGTACAACAGCCATTCCAGGACTCGTATAGTAGCTCTTTACAAGGCTTGTCATGCTTTTGGACCGTCATCGCCTGTTCTCAAGCGCAGAGATCGAGGCTGCGCGCGAGGAACCCCAAAATCTCCATTTTCGCCATTCCTGGTTCATCTTCCTAAAGCCTCGCAACTCGCACTGTTCTCGCAGTTCGTTACCTTTCCGTCCTTTGTACGATGATATGTGAGCTTTGTTCTGTTAAAAGTCATCTCCCCTCTTTGTCTTCTTCTTTCGTGGGTACCAAAGAAGCATTTCAACAAGGACCAATATAGATTCGATGGCATGCCATTGATAGCTTGATATTCTTCTTCTGCTATTTCCCATATCGCCGTCCGACTTTCAAAGTATACATCTTCATCTATTCCCTTATCACACGCAAGAAACTTCGAGAAGCAGCTCCGGAAGCGCTCTCATACATAGCACCACACTCTTTCCAACATGTCCCTTTCACAGTCACCTCCTGTAGGCACGCAAGAGGAGCGCGACCTTGACTCACGCCTTGACGTGGCAATAACAAACTCCTCCTCGTTGATTGAAGAGGCGCTCAAGCAGCTTGCGAAGCCATGCACCGTCGTAGGCGAAGACATTGATGACGAATACGACACCCTCACCCCCATTGACCTTGCGATTTCCAGGTCCACTATGCTCCTCGAAGCAGCTAACCTGCAGCTGGCCTCACCTTCAGCTGCACCTGTCGAGCTCACAGAGTCGGAAGTAGCGGAAGAGAAGGCTGCACATGCCTGGGCGCAGACTTATCAGCAAATTGAGCGAACGAACGATGTGCGCTCAGATTCAAGTCATGGTCTGGCAAGATCGATTCTGGACGAGATTCAAGAGGTAGACGAGAACAACTTGCTTGCCGATCGACCCAACACCATGTCAGCTGCGCTGGCCATCCCGAGCGAGTTTCTTCAGAGCGCTKCCAGCTCTCGGGAAGCAAAACGAGCAAAGCGACTCTCGCGAACTTGCTGTGGCCCAAACGTTGCTGCCATTGTTGCAAAGATCGAAGCCATCGATGGCTCGGTTGTTCCTTGTAATTCGCAGGGACATTCCCGCAGCACGAGCGCTCATAGCTTTGGTAAGTAGTGCCCTTGAGGCTCCTGTAGTTAAAGAAAGCACCAGAATACTACCATCGATCAAGTCTCTCTTCTCTCAAGATCGCTCCTAAGAGCGCGGTATATCTCCTGCATGCAGCCCGACCTTTATTGAACCCGTTTCTCTCGTGATGTAATGAAGCTGTTGATCTTTGGTGTAGTACTCTGAATCCTAAACTAACCCAGTGTGTCAAAAAAGTTCGTTTGGCTCTTACCTATGCGATGGGTCGACTTCTGGACAGCACAGTCATTCCCTGAGCAGTTCTCCCCGATGAGTACAAAGCAATACATGCGAGGAGTTAGCTCAAGACTGGTAGTGACTTGCGTGTCAACCTTCATGCTCGATGGAATGTGAGATTGGCGGTCTTCAATGGGTCATCCACATATATCGTATGTTGAGAAACGTAGATTCGCTGCACAATCGTGACAGTCTAAACAAAACAAACCCTAGTCCGAACATTCACTGCGGACCCATTCATTGATTGCTCCTTTTGCGCCGCAAAACGCCAAACCCCGAGGTCTTGTCACATCGCATCGCCATCACTTTTCGATTACGGCCGTGCTCTTGCAATGCATCGTTCCAAATTTCGATGTCCAGCTTTTTCAACCCGATCGTTGGTAGACACCCACAACCATGGCGTGGTCTCTCTCGAAAGGCTCGAGAGTAAGCTGCTCCTTGGGCTTGATGCGCTCCTCTCTGAGCTTGACGACCTCGCGTGCGAAAACGGCCTCTGGTGCTGCTGTACTGTCGATACAGTTTGCCTTGATGGAAACGACGACACCACCTCCGACCTTGAGGAACTGATGTGCGTTCAATCCAACGATACGGGCCTGATCGGGCTGAGCAACATCGGCGAAGATGCAGTCGACCATGCTGACGAGCATACGGTACTTGAGCGGGTGACGGGCGTCCTCGATGATTGGGATAACGTTCGTGCGGTGAGTAGCCATGTTGATGAGATCGCGACCAGAGCGGTGGGAGAATTCGACGGCGAAGACGGTTCCAGTTGGGCCAACGATATCAGCAACGTGGGATACGGACGTTCCAGAGGCAGCTCCAAGGTACAAGACTTTGCTTCCGGGCTTCATGTGAATATCGTCCATGCCACCAAGAATACCAGCTGCCAACTTGGAACGGAAAGGGTTCCATACACGGTACTCGGTCTTTGTGGCAGCAGGTGCATCGCTGTTGGCACCAGTTGCGGCACCAGAGACGGCAGATGGGGTATCGATGGAAATGCGCTTCTCGCCATAGACGGCCTCGCCGGGTGTCAAGTTCTTGGTGACCAGAAGATCCTCCTTGCCGCGGGCGACGAAGACACCGGCATGTCTGTGGGGCTCGACGATGACCTTTGCGCCACCCTGTGAAATACGTTAGAATGCCTGCCTATTCTTGCATTCGCCTTCACCGCAGAAAATCGTGGGCGTTCCGTACCTTTGCGCCAGCGGCACCGCCGCGTCCTCCACGGCCTCCACGTCCGCCACGGTCACCACCGCGGCCACGAGGAGCTCCGCGACCTCCGCCACGTCCACCACGATCGCCGAAGCCGCCTTGGGGTTGTCAGTGCGATTCCGCATTTATCGGGAGCTCAAAATTTGCGGCGTACCTCTGCCTCCGCCGCGACCTCCACGATCACCACCTCCGCGGCCTCCGCGTCCTCCAAATCCACCACCACGTCCACCTCTGTCGCCTCCTCTTGGTGTGAAAGGCATGATTGAAATATTTATCGAGGAGAAATGTGGTTGTGGCTACGAGCTCAATCGATGGATCGTACTTTGCAAGGGAAGAATTTCCTCAGTTCTGCAGCTAGCTTCCCGTCCCGATCCGTCCAAGGGCCCGTGAAATTGAAGGTTGCCGCCCTACCATGCAAAAGCCTTGTTGTATTTTCTGCATCAACGACAGAATGGACAGAAGGCATTTCTAACCATTCCCACCTAGCTCTCTGAGAGGCTGCTGCTTTTTGAGCTTATAGCCACCTGTTCGAGAGCGTTGTGGTCGACTCACTACAAGGAGAGGCGGCAATCTTCAATTTCGGCGGCCCGCTGTCTCGATTGGGCAAGGCGCCCACATGCCAAGCTTTCGAATTTGTAGAACTTCACGTTTGCGCTCAACACGCTTTTTACAGCAACAACATCCGCCAACATGGTCCGCTACGCCGCAACCGAGATCGAGTCCGCAAAGAGCGCGCGCGCCCGTGGCAGCTACCTTAGGGTGTCGTTCAAGAATACCCGCGAAACAGCTCAGGCCATCAACGGATGGAAGCTCCAGCGCGCCCTCACCTACCTCAAGAATGTCCAGGAGAAGAGCGAAGCCGTTCCCATGCGGAGATATGCCGGGAGCACTGGCCGTACTGCCCAAGGTATGTACGCAGCCCATCGTTGAAGATGAGGCCAGCCATGTGCGAGGATGCATAGGAGGATACATATACTGAGAAATTTTGCCCACAGGCAAGCAGTTCGGTGTGAGCAAGGCCCGCTGGCCCGTCAAGTCGGCTGAGTTCCTCTCATCGCTCCTCAAGAACGCCGAGGCCAACGCCGACACCAAGGGTCTGGACACCAGCAACCTGATTGTCAAGCACATTCAGGTCAACCAGGCACCTRAGCAGCGCCGCCGAACATACCGTGCCCACGGTAGAGTATGCATTTCCAGCGCAACCCGCTAAAACTCCCACTAATTTTCAATTCAGATCAACCCATACATGTCCAACCCATGCCACATCGAGTTGATCCTTACCGAAGGCGAGGAGGTTGTCCAGAAGTCCGCCGAGACCGTCGCCCGCAAGCCTCACTTGAACTCCCGCCAGCGCGCCCAGATCACCCAGAAGGCCATCACCTCTGCCTAGATTGGTTTCAAGTCGGAGTTTTCACTACGCACTGGTTTGTGCAAGGCAGGGTCGCTCATGAAGCAGCGATATGGAGAATGCAAATCGACGTGACGAGCGATGAGATGAAAAGTTTGCTCGAGCAAGTCTGTAGCTGCTTCTATCTTCGGCAGTTCAATCAAACGAATGAGACCTATGGAGCGGTAATTCGACGCTTTGACGAAATTGCATCTAGCCAGCACTCAAATCCTACTGAGTGTGGATTCTTCAAACCTTCCCCCATGCCTTTTCCCATCATAGACGTGAGTCTTTTGTTCTGCTTGCATTCCCACCATTGCCACCCGCCGCCTTAGACTCCGCTGCATAATTCGCTGGGTCGTAGTCGTATCCATTCGGATCGTCCAGGAACGATTCATCTCCAGTGAAATGCCTGTGTACAATGTACGTGAGCGTTTTGCACAGCTTGTTGTAGTAGTCTGAAAAGATGAGGTGCAGGTTCGTTGGGCCGCTAGACTGCACCTCCTGTAACCTTGCCCGCCTGTGCCAATTCCAATGCAAACGTCCTGTGGAAAGAAAATGTACTGGTAAGTGAATTCAAAACACACAAGAAGCAATCAAATGTGGGCAGATGGGGGAAACTCGCAGATGATGTGTAAGGAGATTGTGAACTTACCAGCCTCTCTCCGGTCCATTGTCGAGGAACGAGCAGTCTCCATTGATCTCGCATTCCCATCCGCCACCAACACCCGCGCCACCTCGCCATCCCACATCAGGGACCTTCTCGGCGACCTCAGGATCCCAAGTTCCCTTGACTTCAGCAAAAGAACTCTTCACACCATTCTTCCTCCGCACGAATTTGCTGAAGCTGGCTGTGAAGCAGTTGAAGTCCTCGGCGGTGTCGTCCTCCGGCATGCGACCCACCAGTACACGGCCGWTGGCGATCATAGCCGCTGCGTGTGTACAAATGAGAATGGCCTTGGGACCGTTGGGATCCTGGTCAGCTGCTTCGATGACATGTTCCAGACAGTATGCAACACGGTCGTGAAGCTGTGGGATCGACTCGCCCTTGGGAATGTTAGTGAGGATTTCACAAGGCATGTAGCGGCAGTAGCGATCGACACAAGCTATGTCTTTAGGTGATCTCACCTTGGTCGATGGGATGATGTAAGGAGTAGCATCCTTCTCCAGATGCGGAAAGTGGTTCCTCAGTTCCTCAATCGGGGCAGGGGATGGATGATCGAAGCGTGCCAGACCGTAGAATTCGCCAACTCCAGGCTCGACGTTGATAGTGCCAGAACCCGCGTTCTGCTCATGACGAGCAGTCGTGAAGGGTTGCAGAGTTTGGATGCAGCGGTAGAACGGCGAACTGTAGATCTTGTCGACGGGAGGGGAAAGTGAGAGGAGGTGGGTGCCGAGTTGCCTGGCTTGGGCAACACCATAGCTAGCAAGCGCTGGATCAGCTACGATACCGGTAGGCGATGGGATGTTGGAGTTGTAGTGGCCAGTCGAGGGGTCGACGTTCCAGTTGGAGCGATACTGTTGATGACGACGTTAGTTAGTATGTGGCAGTGAGGCTGGATCTTTCGGTCATAGTGCTGTGCGCGCAAGCTCTGCCATGTAGACACGGTCGAAACTCTTCTTCTTTCTCCTAATCTGGCGCGGTCGTCTCCCGCGTGTCCCGTTACTGCCAAATCCGGCAAGTCTACCAACCTCTCACATGCACGCCGCGCCGCCTGCCCATCCGGGTTTGAGGCTGTCGAGGAGCGTTGAGAGGACAGGCATGATACTCACTCCATGTCGCACAACGTAAATAACCTCCAAAACCATATTGTCACAATTTGCGTTGTTGATGTTTAGTTGTCGCAAAGTTGGGAAGTCTAAAAGCTGTTAGATCTCAGCAGCGGGCCGATTCAGAACCTCGGGATCGAATGAATGTCGGTATTCTCTTTTATCTCGATTTTGATTGTCTTTTGATGATGATGGTAGATCTAATTTTGCGATCAGATGGGGATATGTAAGATGCGATTCCTCGGAATCATCACACGTTAGAGGTGCGATGTTCGAGTACTCGACAATGGCACTGATCCCTTGGTTTGGATAGCTGATGCTCTACGGAAACGAGACTCACTGCACTCCAGCAGTTACGTGTTCTGAACAAATCACTGGGAAMAAATGCATGAATTGAAGCCCGTTTGGATCATTCAGGCTCGTATTTCACATTATAAACTCTTTGCCCATTTCCGGCCGCGCACGGCTTCTCGCTCCCCTGGATATGCAAGATTCCGTAAACCCATTTTGCCTCGCTAAGTGTGACAATTCAAACCAGGTCGCAAGCAATCGACCTTTGCAATGCTAATGCTTGTGTTGGTTCATGATCCCATACCGAATCAAAGTGGCTGGACCATTTCAAACGCAGCTCTCGAAAGCTCAAAGACGTCTCGCTTTGACGTCGTATTGGTCGTCGTATTGGTCGTCGTAGGAGTGAAATCCAGATTCCCAATGGAGCACCAATCTTGCCCTCCAACTTTGACTTTCAGGCAAGACAGRTACTTGCACCAGGAACACCCATGCTTCCAAACGTAAAAATTCTTGAGTAAGAGGATAAACGCAATGAGCACAGTCAAGAGAGCTGCGGCGCGTAAGAGCAGCCATCCCCACCAGGCTCCGCGCCGGTCTTTGAAGAATCCTAGAGGATGCTTTGCGAAGCTCTTGAAACTTGCATTCCTTTCATCCTGTCGAGCAATGTGCGAGTATACCACGGGATCAATCATGGACTGGCGTCGCGCGATTGTGTTGGGCGAACGCAACAGGCAAATTCCAAGGACAAGTCCCATAAAGAATCCTCCGATATGAGAGAAATTGTCCAATCCAGGCAAGAGTCCAAGTACGAAAGCTATTAGAACATCGAGGATGATGAACATGAGGTCCTTCATCGGACTTGGCCGTTCCTTCCAAGTGTAGAGCAGGTCAAGGAGGGTGATGGCTAAGATCCCAAACAAGCTACCAGAACAACCTGTGGATGCTATTCCGTTGGCGGCAAAATTGCCACCCAGCACAAAGCCGAATATGCCTGCAGCGAAATAGAGAATCGCAAACCGTACACTGCCGATGAGCTTTTCGACATCACGGCCGAGCGTCAATTGGAGTAGCAGATTGAATCCGATGTGAATTATTCCCGCGTGCAAGAAGATGGGCACGATGAAGCGCCACCACTGATCAGGAGCTGGTCCACCGTCGACACTGCCGCCTGCGACTGGGTTCAGTTTAGAATCAAATCCGCAAAGATTCGATAATTGGCAAGAAACGCTGTCGCCGGTGGTAGAGGTGGCATTCGGGCATGGCCACGAGATCGGAACGGGGCTGCCCTGGATACTAGGCATGGCATGCATACAGGGCTGATATCGCGCACCCATGTTTATGAGCACATATGGAGAGGGCCCGATCATGGGATTGAAAGACGGATGAATTTGGATGGGAGACTTCGTGAGCACGCCTGTCGACTGTCAGAAGAGGGTTTACGTAGCGATGTTCTGCGGCCAACTCACCGTTCCTGGCTATCTCTGCAATGAAAACGACCAGCTGGACAAAGCTCAAGACGAACACGCACCATGTGATCTTTCCGGAAAACCAGCCGTCTTTCTTGCCATGTCCATGTTCTCGCTTCTGTCGCCGAGGGTCTGCATCTCTTATGAAGTCATCCTCGTGGTCTTGTGACAAGACGGGTGTTGTTGTCTGATGTGGATCGTACTTGTTCCTCAGAGGAATGGCGTTCTGATCCGCGAATGGATCTGTATCGTGATGTGACCTGCCGTTCGTCGATGGTGTCGCGGGAGGTGGTAATTGATGTGCGTATTGATCGTCAAAGGGCGATGTGGGAGGTATGGGAGCCGGCGGGTCGTGGTTGGCTGAGTATCCTTGGTACTGAGTGGCTCCCGGKTAGGTATTCGGTGGGTTGTACGGCGTGTAGTATGCGTTGGCGGCCATTTCTGAACGATGTGAAGTGGGACTCCGGTCAACGATGGGAATGCTGTAGAAGGGGCTTCCCCGGTAAAGGACTAGCAAGGCTCGCTGTGAGGAGGCACGCCACTCGGTGCTGCCTTGCAGGTGGTGTTTGGTGATGTCCGACGTCCAGCGTTTGAGGAGAATCAAGGAGGCGTGTCGAGTAAAAGTTTGAGGCGCTGATCCGTGTTCAAGTTGACAATGAGTGGACAGTGAGTAGTTAATGAGAGGATGATACTCAATTTCTTTCTACAATACAAACGCAAATAGCACAAGCCATGAACAGTGCCATGCGAATGAAACAGAGGCGGATGAAGCGTGACGCGGCTAATAGCGTGACGCTGACGGGAGACCAGGAACAGCGGGAAGTGCCGGGATTTTTGCTTTTCGGGGACCAAACGGGTTGATCATCACGTGTGAATCGGAAAGGTCAAGGTACCTATGTTTGGTACTTTTCAATGCGTTTATTCAATTCTACATATGCTTCTACTCGCTTCGGAATTCATCCTGGAGAACGTCGAGAACTCCTCCTTATTCCACCAGGGTTTGCAGGCGATGACGGACCGATTCTCGAAGACCGTCTACGTTCCGAGCTGCTACGTCTTCGAGTAGTAATTTCGTCCACATCCATGTCAAACAAACTATCGAATGAGCGTCTACCAGCTCCTCTCGCGCGCGTGTTTTGATTCTGAGTTTGCAGCTCGTTGGCGGTATTGTCGACCTGGCCCGTCACGAAATCGTAATCACCAGTTCCGGTGTCTTGGAATCCTCCAAGCAAATAACGAAAGTCATCCTCGGAGTAGTCTACTCCCTCGGAGCCGATTGGGAATATGGTGTTTGGCGCGGCCGCGGAAGCTCGCCGACGCCGTGCTTCCGAAGAAGAGACGCTGGCACGGCGTTGCGGCGGTTGACTTGGTTGAGGTTCAGCATTGGTGTCCGCCAAAGTCGAGCCGTAAGGAAGTAAGTTATTGTCGAACCCGCTACCGTAGACAGCGTTGTTGAAATCACCACCGTAGCTCTCGGGCGGAAACACAGAGTTATCGAAGCCAGCGGGGTACCCAGTGTTAGGAGCAGTGTTTGTTATGAAAGCATTTGCTCTACGGTTGCTCGGCGGCTCCACCAGCGAGGTCCGTGAGCTGGGACGCGTCTGCGATTCGCGAGGTCTGGCGGAAAGGTGGTATGGAGGATCCTCCTCAAATTCCTCTTCATCACCGTATTCGGTGTCGTACAATCCAGCGTCCCTGCCAGCTTCTCGATCTCTCCTCTTGGCCTCGTTGGCCTGGTAGGCACCACAAGTACACGATTCATCGCCCCAGTTTAGCTGGTACTTTTTCCCGGACTGATATTTGTAGTTGGGATATCTCGCAGCATGCGCTGCCTTCTCCGCCTCGGCAAGGTCCCAGTATTGTCTGTCCTCTCCTGTATTCTTGGCCTCGTTCCACCATTGACTTGCAATTGAAGAGACGGTCGCCTGCATCGACGCCTCCACGCCATTCTTGTTCGTTTTGCGTAATGAAGGGTCGTTTTCGATCATTTTAACCAGWTGTGGCTGGTGCTTTGTTCGGTACAACATGAATGCATTTGGAGGACGCTTCGGAGTGAATACGGACGCATTACAAACACATACTTGCGCAACAGATGTCTTCTTCTTCCTACCGGTTGCAGTCTTCTTAATCGGCTTAGACACTCGTCCGGAAGAAACTCGTGTGGAGACGGGTTGTGGTCTCATCCTCTGCGGTGCTTTGGGTGTTGCTCTAGGCATCGAGGCTCGAGGGGTATTGAAAGGCTGAGTTACGCCAGAGCGCGATGCAGCGCCGGCTCTGAAAGCCTCACATTGAATACGTAGGTCGCGATTGTCGAGATCTGCACTCGGGTAATACCAGTTTCCTTCAGCGTCCACTTGGGCTTGAATTTGCAAGTCGGGTGGTTGTGGCAGCAACGGCATGTTTGTTTGAGAGTTTCTTGTGCTCGAGGGCGCAACAAACCCGGAATTGAAGCCATACAGGTCTGATGGCGGCGCATTGAACTCGCCTGACAGGAAGAGTCTGGATTAGCCGATGTTACTTGACAGATACAACACGCCCGCCTGTGAGATTGAATCGAGGAGGTGTTTGGAGACGTACCAGTCTGGTCATACAGGGACTGGTCTGGTGCGTACTGACCATATTGAGACGGATCTTGGCCGTACCCAAATTGATCATACCCCGATTGATCCATGATGACGGAAAGACAGCGAGGGCTACCCACAATCTAGCAGTGTATTTTGGCTTGCCAAAGTCGGATCTGACTGGCACAGTAATGTCTGAAAGTGTTTGTCTTGTTTAAGGCCTCGACAGGCTGTTGCGGTCTTRACTTGCTGAATGCCATGGTCAAAGAAACCGCCGCATCGAGACGTGTTTCTTGTACTCCTCATAAAGGATGCCGCATGGAGATTGGCGCTCACGAAATTCATAGAGCGCTTTGTCGACTCGAGATTCGCCTCAGCCATGCAAGAAAGAGTCTAGAAGTAGAGAATCGAGTTGCGAGATCCCAAGCGGTGCTTCATGATAGAAGGAACAGTCGTGAGATATTGTCGTTGGTGGGTCGTTGAAAGCACAGTGCCTCGTTTTCAATTTGGCCCGCTGGTTTCCGTGCTGACATGAATCATGAGTTATCTCGTCGTGTTGACATTGCAGGTCTGAATTTTCTGCCTAGATTCCAAGGAATAATAAGTCGACCACGAGCCCTGAGTTGGGTTGCATTTGATATATTTTGCATTCAGTGCCAGTGCCAGAAGTCATCCGCGGTCATGACCATGCCTAGGCGTGGCCCTGGAAGCATGGAATGGCACTTTCCTTCGGCGTATTGCGTCCAGTTTCCACGATTGTGCCATGCACAATAGTTGCTGGAGGGAATAAGCACATTCGGTCCACGCTGTGGGCATGCCGCACTTTACACCCGAAAAGTGATACACYTCGACCAGTGTTCTCCTGAACTGCTGTTCTCCTCAGCGTGGTAGTAGCATCGTGCGGACCCGGTCGATTCGTCTCTGAGCAGCCTCCAATCTCTCGAGGCGCTTGTTTCTTTCAGCATCTCGCTGCTCCAAGATCTGCAACTTCTGCTTCAGCCTCTCGTTTTCATTGCTGAGCACTTCGGCCACCGGTCCGCCAGCGCCCTGCAATTCTTTAATCTGGGCCCTCAGTGCTGCGTTTTCTCTCCGCTCATTCGCAACCATGTCGTTCGCCTCTTGAAAGAGAGTTGCGCTAAGCTCCTCAACTTCTACATTTACCTGCTGTGCCCTCGCTTCCGCCTCAGCGCGCGCCTTCTGTTCCTTGATCAGAGCTAATTCCAGCTCCTGCTCGCGAGCTGATGGAGAGGCCATATTTCCACTCGGAGGGGCAAGTGATCCTTTGCGCATAAAAGTGCCTAACCGCGATAAGGATGCCTGCTCTGGTAGCGGTTCGGGGGTGCGATTTGCATTGAGGCGCTGCTCTTGCGACTTGACTTGCTCCTGAAGGACGCGTATGTGATTCTCATAATCAATGAAACGCTCAGCTATACCCTCGGTCAGCATATCAGAGGCAAGGGACTGCTGGACGGCTATGGCGCATTCTGTCGCACAGCGGCGCTTCTACTCACTCGAAGAAGTTGCCTTCTCCAGCAACAGGCTGTTTTCTTCCTCGAGCTCACGCATCCTCAAACGAGCCACTTCGTCCTTGGACGGCACGTCCAAGGCAGAGTCGTGCGCGCCATGGCGACGCGCATATCCATTCCGCACGCCATACGCGGCCATAACAAGGACTTTGAGTCGTGACGCCAGGTGACGACATCGGCAGCGCGTGCGTGCGTCCAAATGCCTCCCACTCCGCGACCGCGCTCATGGAAATTGGAGACGATGCTCGTTTTGGTGTGCTGTGCTGTTACATGGCCTGGATCTCGGCGGATCCCGAAGGGGAATTCCGCGCGGCGACGGAGCTGCCTCCGTTCCACGTGGGAGTCCTCCCTAACAACGGATAACTTCACCCGAAAAGAAGCAACTCTTGACGCCGATCTGGGTTGGACATTGTCCAAAGGTGTGCCCTCCGCATCGGAATGAGAAGCTGTTGGAATGCGCTTCGAACGACTGGGACATGTGTTGATGAAAAACTCTGAAGGACGCAGYACTTGTTCTGCCTGCGATTGTGAGCGCCTTGACCATCTTCGACAAAAAGATCTCGAGGGAGTGAGTATCTGCAGTGCATCTGTGGTCTTTGCTGAACTTCTTTGCTACACTCCGCCTGGAGAGAATAATCACAAGGCAGACCCACCTGCATGCACCATGAGCTTGCAGATGATGGTAGATGACGCAGTGCACGAAGACCGGAGTAGGAGATATATCGATAACTGGTTCAACCCCCTGCCAGACTCACGTCAAAGACCTGGGTGGGCTCCACACCGACGAAAAGGCGATGGGCTTTGCAAAGAAATGATTAGTGAATGGCGATGATCGACTATGGCCACTAGTCCATTGACTGCGAGAACAGCCCGAAAGTCGGACTGATAGTGGCAGACTGTCGAGGCCGCCACAACACGAAACATCACAAACGAAGGAACCGCCTGGGATGTCCAACCTGGAAAGCCACGAGACGGGAGACGGAGCTGATGCCGTGAGGGGTAGTGGCAGTGGCAAAGTTCGGAACTGAAGGCATCTAGGAGTGTGGCGCGTGGTTTTCTCGATCGCAAACAACTCGACGGTGGGAAGCACTGTAGGAGTACGGGCGTTGTTCTTTCGGAATATATTCAAAGCATATCCAAATCGCGAGGAATTGTTGCATTCAGTCGTCTTCGGCGTTTACTGTACCATACCTAGGTAGTTGATAGTTGATAGTTGAGCGTACCTTGACGCAACGCGAAGCAAGTCCAAGCGATCTGCTGAATAAACGCGACCCACTCAGTTCCGGCGCAGATCATACCTCCAGCACGGGCGAAACAGCACCACCACGTCCACGTACAATCATCAGTCTTCCATCGTCCAACAATCACGCTCAACCAGAACGGACGTTGTTATACAGGCGCTTTTTCCAGAGCCCACGAACGTCGGATTGTCGCAACGAACTCTTGTTGATCCCGCCTTCTCCATCCCCGCCGGAGCTTCCTCCTGTGGTTTCGCCACCTCAAAAAACAGTGAATATCAAAGGCATTGCTCCAGCACCACACTCACTACGCCCAGCACGAGCGCTTGCAGCGCTCCCCAGAGGCTTTTAGGTCTCGAAGCGCATTGCGTGTGGGCGGTCGCAAACTCCACCTTAGTATTCGATCTCAGCACACGCCTGCCACCAATAGAACAGCATCAACGTCTTCACCATGACAGCTTCATTCTACCCTGGTCTCGTGCCAGACTTTGACGACACAGCATTTGAACCAAACGCCGGCTACATGTTCGACGACAGCAGCGCCATGGACAATTTTCAGCGTGAAATGGAAGCACCGTATGACGGCAGCAATGGCGTCCAGAGCGGCCATCCTGAGAGATCTGCATCTATGGCTTGGGCGTATGTTCCGTGCTCACTGCTCGTCGGGCCACCCACAATGACTGACCTACTTCATGCAGAGACCACATGGGCATGTCCAGCAACGAATCCCAGCAGGACCTACCCCAACAAACACTGCCGTCGCGAGGCTTCCCGTTCCACCATGGGCACGGAGAGCCCTCGGCAATTACACCCGTGTGGCGACAATCAGATAATTCCGCGTCGCAGGCGCAAGGGGGGGCCAATGGCGTCTCGACTCGTTTCGGTCAAGTAACACCAGTCACCTCGCAGTCCCGATCCTCGTCGATAAAATCAGACGACGCCCAGCAGCAGCGAATAGCACAATCCAACGCCAAATCTGAAAGGGCCCGTAATGCTGCCAATCACCGCCACTCGCAAACCAAGCAGGCTAGGGATTTGCTTCGAAAGGGGAGGAAGAGCTCAGCCGGCCGTAGGGAAGATGATGAAGAAGAAGAAGACAAGTCTCGTGGAGCTGGCAAGCAAGAGTATCGCGAAAAGAACCGACAAGCGGCTGCGAAATGTCGTAGAAAGAAGAAGGACAGTACCGAGGTCCTGGAGAGCACAGCCAGGACGGCAGTAGAAGAGAACACGCGGCTGAAGAACATGGTGCGGCATCTCAGAGATCAATACAGTGATCTGCGCACGAAAGCACTTGCTCATGACGGCTGCGGGTGCACCGACATCCACCAGTACAATGCAGACCAGGCCCAGCAAGCAGCCCGAGGTCATGTGGGCAATCCACCGTTGATGGCGCGAGATTTGCAAGCGATGCAAGCCTTTCAAGGATTTCCGAACATGCCAGCTATGCAGTTGCCACTCCTAGGAAGCATGGCCATGCCGAATATGTCGATGGGAACGTCTCAGCCGTGCGCACATGCGTTCTCGGGGGGACTCCATCCAAACATGGCAATGCAACCATCCCAGCACGCTCGGTCAGACTCCAAGCATGGAGATTTCGAGCAGCAAGCTGCAGCGCTCCAGCTGTGCGGGCAAGAATTTGCCTTTGATCCGAGCCTCGATGCCATCCAGGAAGATGGACATAATGATGAGTTCCAGTAGTTTGAATGATTACGACAGATACCCTGCGATGCGAAGCAACAGATGTTGAGACGACACCTTTAGTGAGGAATGGGGCATAGGTGCCTGAGATAGAGCCTCCTCATCAGCGAGGAATAACGAGTCCACGATCCTTGGGGAGTTTGCTCACTTTCTTCAAGAAGCGCGGCGAGGGGAGTTGCCGGCGGCGGACGGGGACGGAGTATTCGGTGGCATCCAATGGCGTGTCATGTGGATTTGTTTCTCTTTTCTTTTTGGCATCTTCAGAAATTACCATGATTAGCTATTGAAAAAAAAACTTGAAAAGATCGTGTCGTCCCGCAGCGTCCCCGTTCTGAGTAGGATCGATCCAGATGGCCAGCTCGTCCGTCATCGTGACAGGTTGGTTGGGATATAGCAAGGAACAGTCTTTCGCCGACTTGTACATATGCTTAGGCGCCATCGTTGTGGCAAAGATGCCCACCTCCGAGTCCGCTGCTTGAGAGCGGCGGTGAGAGTTGATGCGAACTCGGGACGTCAGCTATTCGTCCTGCATCGTCATAATAGAGTTCATGACAATCCGGGACCGAATTCCAAGTGACAAAGGTAGTTCCAGTCCCAGATAGGAGTTTGCGTTTCAAGCTTTGGATGTCCTCGGGATGCGACGGACGCCAATCGATGACGGCTCAAGACAGCGCCGTTGCAGTGGACCGCAGCAACACTGCTCAAGCACAGAAAGAATCCAGATCGACTCTCATGAGTATAGGAGCCAGGTGCATGATGTTGTTGGTTGTAGATGAGTAGACTGCGGCTGGGTGGACGTCGATCTGACCAGGCATCCACACCGACCGTCGTCGCAATCTTCACACCTGCATGAGGAATTCAAAGCCACGGGCTCGGCATCGTACCAGTTGTGTGTTGTTGTTGATATGTGTACATGGTCCAGGTCAGCGCTCACGTCCAAGGTTGGATGGAATCCGATGCAGAGAGGGGGGTGGAAGGTGGGTGGAAGAGAAGGAGGATGGGAGGTGGAAGGACTCATTACAGTCTCTGACGTGTTTCGAAATCGATTTGTCTTCGGATGTACGGATGAAGCTGCCAAGGATATTTCCTAGCACGGGGATTCTGACCGGCTCCGTGATAGGTAGGTAGGTCAAAGCCTCAAACCGTGGCTGAGTTGAGTTGCATTGCCACGCCGTGCTTAAATATACCGCAAAGATTGGCTCCATTTCGGCCAAGAGCCTCAACGACCCACTACACATCAAGCTTCTGCACATAACGAGAGGTCTGGAGATATATACCAAAACCCCATCACCATGGCTCTACGACGGATAGAACGGTCTGGATCAAGAATGATATGCAGTGCCACAATAAGTACTCAACAAAGCTCCGTATATGACGTTTCAGCTCATCATTTCGACGATTTCTACAACGCCTTGGCTCTTTACTCGTTGACGGCGAACCTGCTATCGGAAACGGTCTGGCCCCCGCTTGATAAATCGCTCAAGATCCTCATTGCTATGTCTCTGCCAGCAGAAGGGCGAGGAGCTCAAACCTAAGTCCTTCAAATCGCTCCAACGTGGCTGGAATACCCCTGGGAATCATGCTTCATTTTGGCTCCACCCGTGATGAGATACAGCGCCTTCGATATGGAGTCTCTGGGGGAAGCTTCACTCAGTAAAGGCCACCGGAGCGGTGATTGTGGTCTTACAAGGATGGGTATCCGGGAAGCGCAGTAGACTCCGATACGCGAAGAAATTTTACGGGAGTATTTGTTTTTACCGGGATCCTCGGAATGCGCAGTATACTCCGACGCGCGAAGAAGCTGTACGGGACGATGATGCGTTCCAACGTGACTCTTCTGACCACATGTCGGCTTCTAGATGCATGGATCACCGCTCTACAGCGAGTACGGCCAAATCGTTCGGTGGGGTACCAACGGCGCTGTCCCCTATCTATTCTTTCTGCTCCTTTTTACATCCATGGGGGCTCTTGGAATACGAACGACTTGTTGCAGGTTGCCTCGTCCGGGCCAACGATCGTCATCTCGGTCGATACAGCAGACCAAACGATCGTGTAATCATCACTCTGCCTGCCAACTGCCCATCTTGAACGATAACACGGCCACAAAGTCAAGTTCTCAAGACATTGATGCAGTGAACGCTCCTCGGACGATCCGCAGACGGGTTGTACATGACGTTCATKGTCGTGATGGAGCCGATCACATTATACGGTAGGTAGGTCTGCCAGCAAACGATTGTTGATTCATGGTTATACAGCCCGTATTTACTTGGTACACGATTGATAATCATAGTCGACAACCACGGCGAAATGATTCAGCCGTCTGTCGGTGCGGTATTCCGTAAAGATTCAAATCTGTTCCTCCTCAAACGCATCCCCGTCCATTCTCGAGCCGTTACATTATGCCATATTGGCATCGTTGGCCACAGCGACGTTAGAGTTGGGGCGCGCTGCGGGCCCGAGGGCCCATCCAGCCCTCCGAGTCCAGACATGATCATGAGTGAAGATGCCTGGGTTGGATGTTTGGGGATGGAGTGGAACGTGGTTGAAGTTGTAGTTCCAGATGCTTGCGTATTGCATGCGGTAAGCAGAAAACGCCATCATGGTGCCAATAATGGCCCCAGCAACGATGTCCCACCAGTCTGTGAGGCATGTCAGCAATGGAATGCACCTTCGCTTCGAACAGGACACGTACGGTGGAATTTGTCAATCGTGAGAGCACCTCCGATGAGTACTGCGCCGAGGATGGGCATGTAAAGCACGACCATCTTCCAATAACTTGGACGATAATCAGAGAAGACCTTGAGCTTGGCGTTCAGGTAGAGGTAGAGGAAGACTACACTCATCAGTCAGCAGGGTTGATCTGGAGGCCATTCGTGAGGTGACGAGCAAACCGAATCCTGCAAACGCTGCCGAAGAATGACCAGAGGGAAAGGACTCGAGAGCATCGTTGACTGCGCGATCATCGCCCCTGCACACCTTGCGGTCGTACATGACGGGACCCCAGCCTAGGTTTCATGTCAGAGGAGTCGTCTACATCGTGCTGTATTGCGTTGAGGAGACGTACCGTTCGACTCCATCATGCTTGGATCCGGGTCACAGACTTCCAAGAAATGCGGGCGCAGACCTCCAATGAGCCACTTGATGAAGACCTGAAACACGGCGGCAGACACCAAAGCGTAGAGCAAACCGAAGATGGCATTGTTGAAGTCCCAGAAGCTCCTGACGCGCATCTGCATGAAGGCGAATACGGTCATGGGAACGAGCRCAGCAAGCAGTGCAGCGGCCCAGATTGGAACGATTTCTTTGCGAATCGGATAGGCGTTGTCCAGATCCGCAATGTTGCCGTCGAGATTGTAGATGGGAAAGGAACGCGATGGAAGGGGGCGAAGGAAGTAAACACCCAGTCCGAGGGCGCCCGTCAGAGCCTGTGAGAACCTGTCACGTCAGAGCATGTTCATCTTCATGAGATGTGGATGTTGTTCTTGTCGATGACACACCAAGGTCAAAACGTCCAGCCAGTGCATCTTGATCCACTGGCCGATTGATGGCCGAGCAGCAGTAGTGTTGCTAATTTCGTCATTGTCGACGCGGTCGCTCTGCTCCTTCGGCTCTTGGGCTACAGCGACGACGGGCTGGAGAGGAGGGCTTTCATTGGCAGCCACGTTGGCAGCCATGTTGAATAATTTGGTGACTTGCGCTGATGCTGTCGTCGGTAGTTGGTGCTGATGCTGCTGATGCTGCTGATGCTGTTGTGGTGTTGTGATGTTGTGATGTTGGAGGAGTGTTGGGCAAGGGAAGTGGGAGATGATTCAACAAGAGCATAGAGCAGGAGCAGGARCGGGAGCGAAGCGGTAGTAGGAGCAGGAGCAGGGGCGTCAAGACGAGGTGTGTGAAGGTGCATTGAAGAACTTACCAGGAACGATAAGTTCACAGCAGTCACACGTACAAGGGTATCGTGTACATCTTGATGAGCACACATGATGCCCTTGGCAGGTACATGTATAACTGTTGGGGCATTGGAAGCAAGTTTATGTGCACCTCAACTCGACTCTCACAGAGAGACCAGATTGACACAAACGGAGACCAGCTGTGACTGATTGTGTTCAATCAGTTGGAGCGCAATGTCTCACATATTCTCTCTTTATTGAGGGGTCCTGCGTGTCCACATCGCTCTTCATATAACGACGTCAATGATGCCGAGGGAGGTAACACCAGCAGTCAATCAAGGTTTTGACACCGAGACTGCATACTGTACCGTATCCATCTTGACACCGCAGTGGTTGCCTTGAAGCTCCCGTAAAACGTTACAGCCGCTCGCATCGGGTTGGGAATTGGCCTGAAGGGATCTGAAGTACATGCAGTAAGTTCAGTCCAAAGGAGAAAGAATTCTAGATGTGAGTAGTGCTGCCATGTTTCCGGGCTGGGTAATTTTGATGTGAGAGCAACATAAGATTTCCTATGTAATCACCGCGTGCTATTCGCGTCGGTCTGGGAACACCTTTCACCTTGCTGTCATCTTCAACCACGAAGCAACACTTGGCGGCTTTTTGCGGTCCGTTCTACAATGGCAAGGCCGAGTAGAGCAGTGAGCCCATTCTTGGGTTGTACTAATTGCAGTTCGGGTCAGAGTGCGGTAAGGGTACATCAGCTCAAGCATGAGAGACTACGCTCGAACCATTGACGTAATCTTCGACGAGAGTTATAAGATGACTTGTGTTCTCTGGGTGATGATCGCTGTTTCGAAGATATGCATCGAGTATCATGCCGATCAAGCCGTCTGAGCTCGGTAGTGCCTGAGCAGCGTTCGGGTTCCGCGCAGGGAAAGGGACAGGGGGGCGATTGGCGCACGGGAGTATGGAAGGGGAGGAGCTGGAGCAGCGCCAGGCAAGGCAGAGGTTGGRGTGGAGCTGGCGGTTGTCAGAGGCGGGATTGTCTGTGGACAGGCTATTGATTCCCTGCGGAAACAGGTGAACCTCTGTCGGGCGGTGCACACCAGGCCGCATAACTCGAAGCATCTCGTCGACGATGGACATGAGACGCTGAATAACCAACCCATTTCGGTTTGTCGGAGTTCGCTTGTCGCCAGAAGACGAGACAAAGATCGCGCTAGTTGCCTGGAGGCTTCCAAGTTCGTACATTCTGGAACTGTTAGTATCAGTAGGGAGAAGGGCGAGGTCAGCTGTAGTCGTGGCTGTTGTGAGAACCCGGGAGGCCGCAATGTCCGACTATCTCAATTGAAGGTTTATGCTTCGCTGAATCTAAGACGTCTGCTTGGAGTATGTCTGCGGAAGACTTTTTTGAACTGACGGGCACCTTGGGACGATGTAGGCAAGTAGGGCTCTGAATGGAAGGTACGTGGCAGCAGACGAGACGAGAGGTCGACTCGGTTCGGTACCAATGCGGATTCACCCAATCAAATTTTGACGCAAATTGGACCAATCGAGCGGTCAGTTCTTTTACCACGAACCTTCAGACGAAAAACTGACGCTGGGAACCTTACACCATAGTTACAGCATCTCGATGCGTCGGAGTAGAATGCGCGGCATAGGAAATCACAGCTTAGCAAGCTTCTCGGCCAATGCAGTCGAGAGCAACATGCAAAGGGCGTCAGGCGGATTCTAGAGTCATTTCTAGTATGTTGGGTGAGGGAGCTGTACTAACAACGAAGACCTCGATCTCGAGCTGGAAGTTTACCATTAACCAAGGTTCTTTCGAAAATACAGTATGCCACTCTCTTATTAGTCCACTCACCGTTGAATGAAACAGGCGACGACGACACGGATACGGTGCTCTGTAGGTCTCTATATGGGCAGCATTATATGCCGAGGGAGCAGAATACGAGACACGAGACGCAATCGCTTGTGTGCTTGTTCTCCAATCTCAATCTCAACCTGCCTCTTCGACAAACACACAACGACCTTTCAACTCTAACGGATTACCAACAACCATGGCCACCGAACCAGTCATTCCCATGCCTCCTAAAGAAGTCGAGGAAATCGACATGATTGACAAAACCCTCATATTTCCAACCTTTACCGCAGAGACAGCGTGGCTATTGGGCTCGAGACTTCGCACCAAGTTGCTCGCCTTCTCAAAACCAGCCATCATCGACATCTCTCTCGCCAACGGTAACCACTGTTTATTCCACGCCGCGACTCACTCTGGCACGACCCCCGACAATGACGTTTGGGTGTCGCGAAAGCGAGCCTCTACTCTTCGATTTGGGACTTCAACATGGCTGCTGCACAACAAATACAAAGGCGATGAGCTTGCATTTGCTTCCAAGTTTTCCCTTGGAGCTAAGGCAGGCGACTATGCGATTCATGGTGGAGGCTGGCCGGTTCGCGTTCAAGGAGTGGAGGGTGTCGTGGGCGTGATTGTGGTGTCTGGACTGAAGCAGGAGCAAGATCATGGTATTATCATTCAGGTTGTGGGAGAATATCTCGAAGAACTGGGGGTGGAGATTGGGGAGAAGAAGAAGGAAGACTGATGGACGATCTATCTGCAATGTCAATTATAAGAGGAGATGGGGAACGCATGTTCGTCAGCCCATACCGACCATGCGTTTCCCAACACCGGATATCGACGCGGTCTTCATTTGCCAAGTAAGGTATGCCAGTAGGCTCTCGAAGCCGCTCGACGCTTGACTACTGTCACATCCGGAAAGGGAGAGACTCTCGCCCATAGCGACAGCTGGACATGATCATCGCYAGTTGGTGCTCGAAAGAGGTCATACACACACATCTGCGACGAAACGGTCATGCCCATGTCTGACCTTACGGCATACTGTCCACTGTCCAGCGCATGACGTGCACTGGAGGGTTTGCTGTGGATGTAGACTGTCTAGGAACCTGGGTTTCCAAGAAGCAGACCTTGTATGTGGTCACTTGACACACTGTCACCAAGCWTGGTATACTCGACCTTGCGATATGAACCACGCGATTCAGGCTTCAATCTTCAATGGGAAGGATAATTGCGTCATATTGACATCATCAAAGTAGCACGTGGACTGTCATAATAATACCATTACCATGTGTTACCAATAACCGCAAAAGCTCTGATCTCCAATTCTACATCAGGTCATAAGTGTCTCCAAACGCCAGCCTCTTCAGCCCAATGAAGCATAACCAAATCATCAATGCGTTTAGGCTCGGCTCTCCAAGATCGATCTAGTAGCGACCATTGTGGCCATGCTTTTTGTGCTTGTTGTCCTTCCACTTATCCTCTCCTTTCGATCCCAAAAAGGCTCCAGCGAGCGCCCTACATCCCGTCAGTTTTCAACTTTCGCACGACAGTTTAGATAGACTTACCCAATGATACCGTGACCTGCTTGCTTGCCCAGTAGACCACCGCCAATACCGCCGGCCACTGCGCCCATAAATCCACGCTCACCCTCTTGGGGGTTGTTGGGATCACTCGGGTCCTTTGTGTATCCATAGGGGTTGGAAGGATCCGCTGAACCTTGTCCGTATTGTTGAGGGTATCCGTGCTGAGGTGGCTGGCTATAGTCGTGGGGCTGAGTCTGTCCATACTGTGGCTGCTGCTGGCCATGTTGGAAGCCGCCATTCTGAGGTGGGTACGCTGCGTGTTGCTGCTGGCCTTGTGTATAGTCTGGTGCGGGCGGAGCGCCATAACCTTGTTGCTGATAGCCTTGTTGGCCGTACTGTTGCTGCTGGCCGTATCCACCACTTTGGTTGTATTGGCCTTGATCATAAGGTTGCTGGCCGTACTGTGGTTGCTGTCCATAGCCTTGTTGTCCATATCCTTGTTGTCCATATCCTTGCTGGCCGTAGCCTTGCTGACCATACTGCTGGTTGTTCTGGCCGTAGCCCTGATCGTAAGGGCCAGACATTTTGTGTTGTTGTGCTGGCGGTGTTTCGGTTGTTGATGGAGTTCTTTTACGGTCGAAGGCGATAAAGGATGTCTCGACGATGGTGATGAGGATGGTGACGARGAAGAGAAAGTGATTGAGGTAATTTTGTAAAGAAGTCTTCCAGAGCTGACCTACCGTACACAGCCTCGTCACACTGCCCACCCCGCCGCGCAATGGTCAGGTGCGATTCTGTGGTTCGCAGTTGACGTCTGCCACAGCTGCTGCCGTCGGTCCCGGGCTGCGCCACGCCTTGGTGAATGCTCCTCTCCACAGGGTGAAAGTATCTCCGTCGCAGCGCATGTTGCCGCTCTTGGCTGATTTACCGGTCATCGCTGTCGCTGTTGTGAGAGCATTGGGTTAAAACGAGCAGGACTCTGCCCAGCCCTGGGCGGTTGTGGCTATGGAAAAGGACGTGACCAACGAGTGCACCTTTTCCCCTCGCTGCCATTTGGCACCGTGGATCCGGACTTCGGACATTCTATTTCCCGATGCATCCGTGCACCAATGTCACCAGCTGCCAGTGCGTCCCTCTCGCTCTCTCTCTCTCACAAACATGCTTTGCCGATGATGCTGATCAACTCAATTCTCAAAGCACATCACATCACATCGGGCGCGAGCCCTGGCTCTTTATGGTCGTACCTGAGTCGCCGAGCCCACGACTCCACGCATTCGAAACCAAGCGCGGTGCGGCAATCTCGAAGCTCGCTGCATGCCGATCTCACTGTCCGATCTCCATCTCGAGATGCGAGGGTCTTCTTCACAGATACAGAGAAGCAAGGTTTCATCTCGGTACTGCTACCATTGCGGTGATTGCAGTGGTTGCATCTCTTGAAGACATCTGACACTGAGGCTATTCGTCACATCGAAATCTAGCCCTAGGGCCCCGATGCCCGCTGTAGCAGGCACGATGCGTGTTCCTGACTCCTGGCGCGATCATGAAACATACGAAAAGTGTGGCTGTTTTCCCGCCAGGAAAGCCCTCTTGCTTGTGGCAGCAAGGATGTGGCCGAGCAGCTGGATTGGACGCATTCCTTGTACCTGGACAGCGTTCACCGAGATCTGTGGCCGTAACCTTGTCACCCGTGGGGATCATGATTCAGATGCCACTGCAAGGCACGCGGTGTGCTGTGCGCAAATTCCGATAAGCATTCAGAGCAGGCGCCCCGGGCTCGAAAGAGCTGGCCTGGCGTTTCAAAGAGTAGGTCATGCTATCACATACCGATCGCTTCACTGATGCGGGTGTGAAGCTTCATCGCTTCGGTGGTATCACAGTATGACAACATCGGCGATACTCCGCGGTAGCATATTGAATCTGGTGACTCGCGCATACCGGGTTGATGCTGCTATCACCATGTAGCCTGATTGCATCCTTATAGAGCTATCAGCCTCTCGAGCGAGCTCGCGCCACTGCTGAAACCCATTCGACATCCAATTCTTCGTTCCCAAGACGCACGACGACCTTCCCGTGCTTGTATCTACTTAGCACCGGTGTACAGCGGCGGCTGTCTCCTCATGATCGCGCAGCGCTGGAGCTTCTGGAGTTGAGGAAGCTAACAACCTGTGTCTGCTCTGAGCCTGGTGTGTGCTTCTGTAGAGCGATCTTTAGTCACCCATGGCTCCGCAAAATGGAAACTTCCAGCCCGGATTCGGAAACGCTGTGTCCGCTCCGTCCCCTACCGTTCCGGGCGGAGGTTGGAATGGCCAAGGCGGCGCCACATTGAACAATGGAGCAGCCACATCTTTCGGCCAAAGTCCTACTGCAAGTTGGACCAACATTGGGTCCCCCCAATCCGGCGGCCAGTCAGGTGCTGGAGGAAACACGTTCTCATCCCAGGGTTCGACTCCCACTCAGAACTCCAACCAAGGTTCGCCATCTCAGACGCAGGATCCTAACAACCAAGGACAAAACAACGATGACGGGCGCCAGGACTCTAATAATCAGGGCCAGGACAACAACCAAGGACAAGACAACCAAGGACAAGACAACCAAGGACAAGATAACCAAGGACAGGACAACCGCGATCAGGACAATCGTGGCCAGGACAATGGCGATGGACGCCAGGACTCCAATAATCAAGGCCAGGATAATCAAGGGCAGAATAACGGTGACGGGCGCCAGGACTCTGATAATCGAGGACAGAATGATCGGGGACAAGACGGCCGAGGACAGGATGATCGAGGACAGGACAACGGTAACGGACGCCAGGACTCCAACAACCGAGGACACGATAATGGTGATGGTCGCCAGGACTCTGGTAACCGGGATTCAGGCCATGGAAGCAACACTACTGTAATTGCCGCCGCCACAGCTGTCGGTAAGTGATATGTCTACCCCCTTGTTCAATCACCTTCGAAAGTACACTGCCAAACGCGGCAACCGTGTGTACTTCGTTCTTCTTCGCAAATTTTCCAAATGCCGAAAGCGAGGCTCGCTGCGGGAGAATCTAACGAAAACTACGAGTCGGTTGCTGATGTTCTCTCAGGTGGCACTCTCGTCCTCGCCCTTTTACTCTACCTGATCTTCCGAAAACTACGCAAAAGCGGCAAGTATTCCAAGATGACTCGATCCCGAGCTGCGTCAAAAGATATCACTGGATTGTTGCCGGATTACGAACAGGATCAAGATTCTGAAGGCCTCCCTCACATCTGTGGTATGCAGAATGCAAATCCTTCTGCCATGCACATGCCCGCTACGCAATCTGGGAASGTCCCGCACATATGCGGTCTGCAAAATGCCAACTCTGCTACCATGCACTTACCTGCCTCGCATTCTGGGGATGTGCCACACATATGTGGTCTGCAGAATGTAAATCGCTCTACCTCGGACTTACATGGGAATGTTCCTCATATTTGTGGTCTGCAAAACGCACCTACAAATGCCATTAACTTACCGGCTACGCATCCTGGTGGCTTCTCAGGCCCACCACCGGCTGCTCTCATCAAAGCAGATCGAGCTTTGGACCTGGAAAAGGCCGGATATCTTTCCACCAAGGGATCCGTCGAGACTTTGCAAGGAACACAAGATCCGAAAGGGCACACGCATCTTGCTCCCCCAAGGCCGAGCGCACAGATAGAGCAACGTTCTCTTGGTCCGACGAGCCAGCTCCACCCCGGCGCTCCTACCTCCGAGAAAGAGTCGAGCGTGGATTTGGCCCGTTCAGATACCCGCTGGAGTTGGACTAATTCACAAGCGCCGAGTACCCCCAGGATAGAAGCGCCTAATGGCCGTGCGTCTTTGACTGGTCTCAGCGTCCGCTCCATAAGAAAATGGTTCACGGGCCACGAGCGTGATGAGGCGCCAAACTCAGATCAATCTCACAAGAGGCAACCATCCAATCCACTACTTTGGAAGAACCAGGCACACCAGCCGGTCCTAGCTCCACGAGGTCCCGGTGCGAGAGGGCCGTCGACATCTCTTAGAGCCCAGGCCGGACGTCGCTCTGGATCTCTGGCTGGCAAAACCAATGCGCAACAGCAGCGGGTGGAGGAGCAGCAGAAGCCGCTACCGCTGTCGGCACATCCTGTGAACAAGTCGCCATAGAAGCTGCGTTGACCGCTCCGCTTCCAACGACACCGGTAGATCGACAGACGTTCGAGGTGTCAAGGATGGCTCGACTATTAATGATTGTATGACAATGCGGCATGACTAGTCTAGAACTTCGTCGTGTATAGCACAAAATGTAGTAACACATCATCTCAAAGTCGACTATGCGAGTGACTCGAAAGGAGTTCAGTGCATGTTCCACTCTTTCCGCCTCTTTCAGTGCCCGGTTTATGGGCGAGTGCTGTCAAGACTGATAATTGATTCTTCTTCGTACTTGCGCCTACGCTAAATACCTCGCTGTCGTGTTGAAACCCCCAAATCTTAGACTTGACCCACCAATGAGCGCAATGTCGTCTGCAGAAATTCGCGTACTCCATAGTCTCACTTCCTGGCCTTGCTCTCATCTCCATAACCACCTTTACCTTCCTGTTACACAGTGTTAGTCATGCTCTGAGGGAATGTCGATTCACGCTTACAAGACTCTGGTATGTTTTACCATCGGATCCAGGGTTGTTTCGGGGGCCTCTCTCGCTGAGATCCTCGCGCAGCCATCCCATGACCAGATGGCCTAGTCTACTGTTTCCATCCACGCCGCCTTCAGTCATTGGGACTTCGAAATCATTAATGCTGCCCCACTTCTTGACTTTACCCAGCGACATGTGCACCAAGTGAGTAGGCCACTGGGCCAAGTTGTCCAAGATGTGCGTTGCATAGACAATGGTGCAACTACGGGTTTCGGTCTCCTGTTTCAGAAACTGCAAGAAGTTGTGGCGAGACAGAAGATCCAAGTCCACGGTAATCTCATCCAGCAACAGGACGGTCCAGGGTCGAAGCAGGCCCATGCAGAGTTGCACTCGTCTACGCTCGCCATCGGAGACGGCATGCAAGTGCCATGAGAGATCAACATCCAGAATCTTCACCAGCTCGTCACGGCGCTCCGGATAGTGATCACCTCCAACAGACTTCAACAGCTCTGGGACGGCGATATCACTCCTCACGATTGGATTCAAAACCCACTCCAGACCTTTTATAGGTCAGCGATGTCTGCGGAAAGTCGACTGGGAGAATTCTACATGTAGCTCGAGTAATGCTTCGGGCTATCATGCAGTGCTCGTCACTGATGTCTTACCTAGATACGTGACACCTTCCAAGCCAGTGTCAAAAGGGTCGACTGATGCTACGCTCACGGTGCCGGATGGTGCCATCCGCTTTCCGGAGAGGAGACGCAGGAGGGTCGTCTTACCAGCGCCATTCGCTCTGAGGATTTAGCAGGGGACGTTCAATCGTGGGATGATGATACTCACCACCAATGAGAAGACATCTCGCATTCGCGGGAAGATCGAGGTTGATGTCCTGCAAACCTTTGCTGCCGTCCGGGAAGGCGTAGTGAAGCTCGCGAGTCGCGATGGTCGGAGGTCCTGTTGCCGGCATTTTGATATATCTTTCAGAGGAAGTGGTATGAGAGACCAATGTGCGTCTTGTGTTGCAACGAATAATAGGGACAAAGACAAGGTTTTATATGCATAATGCGTCATCCAATCGCCCTTGCGTCGGATGTCCCCGCACATCATTCACATGCAAATTTAGGTCCGTCGTCACGCCCTGCAAGTGATATCACCTCGACCAATATATCTTCATTCAGCAAAATAGCATGACCGCGCTAATCGAGGACAATCGCGTATTAGCAAGACGATGATCAAGACCATTCGGGCACGCCATCGCACCATCTCTTCTGTCCCACATATCCGCGAGGGGAAGCAGCGAAGATAYATCCAGTAATTCAAGTGCCGGCTAAGTCCAATGCTGCACGGGCAGCGCTGGATCAGACCGATTACAAACATGACACGAGCTCCGCCTCGTAATCCGCTGATTGCGGTCATCGGGGCGACAGGAACCGGGAAATCGTAGGTATGCTCCTTGAGCTCTCCAATGACAATGATACAAGCCGCTGACCACCGCAGACAGCTAGCAGTCGAGATAGCAAAACGCTACAACGGCGAGATCATCAATGGCGATGCCATGCAGTTATACACCGGACTACCCATAATTACGAACAAGATCACTGTGGAGGAGCAACAAGGCATTCCTCATCATCTTCTGGGGTGCATAGGACTTCACGAGCAGACGTGGGTGGTAGGAACCTTTGTTCGACATGCTTTGAAGATAATTGAAGAGATTCATGCAAGAGGAAGACTGCCAATCCTGGTGGGAGGAACACACTACTACACACAAAGTCTGCTGTTTCGAGATCGTCTTACTGAACAGGATGATGAACACACCAAGCATGAATTCGTGGACAGTACCGCAGAAAAGTGGCCTATCCTGCAAGAATCGACTGAAACACTACTGGCAGAGCTAAGCAGGGTCGATCCAGCCATGGCAGAGAGGTGGCATCCAAATGACAGGCGAAAGATTAAGCGTAGTCTAGAGATCTATCTACAGACTGGTAGAAAAGCGTCCGAGATATACAACGAGCAAAGGCAGCGCAGAAACAGCGAGCCTGATGAACCACAGTCTGGGGAAGTGGAAAGCATGCGCTTCCCGACTTTGATGTTCTGGATCAACTCAGAGCCGGAAGCACTACGAGCACGCCTGGATGGACGAGTAGACAAAATGCTCGACTCTGGCTTGCTTCAAGAAGTAGCATCGCTCGATAACTTTGCCGACTCTGAAACCGCAAACGGTCATGCCCCCGACCAGACGAGAGGGATTTGGGTCAGCATTGGGCACAAGGAATTCAAGGAGTACTCCGCCGCTTTGAAGGCGGGTATCAGCGATGAGCAGCGTCTTGAAGCTCTGAAGCTCGATGCTGTGGAAAGGACCAAGATCGCAACACGGCAGTATGCAAAGCGACAGTTGAAGTGGATCAGGATCAAGCTCGTCAACGCACTGGTCGAGGCAAAGTTGGACAGGCAGCTCTATCTCCTAGATGGGACTGATGTCGCGGCTTACAATGAGACTGTAGTACATCCGGCATTGGAACTGATGAGCCAGTTCGTTCAAGCTGAGGATATGCCTCTGCCGGAATCTCTCTCGCCCCTCGCTGCTGATCTGCTGGTTCCGAAACGAGACTATGACCTTGCTGCGAGGCCGGAATTCTGGACAAAGCAACATTGCACGGCCTGTGATGTCACTTGCGTGACTCCTGTACAGTGGCAGCAGCATACTCGAAGCAAAACTCATAAGAAGCTGGTAAGCAAGCAGAAGCTTGCTGAGAGATCCTTGGACGCAGCGCCTCCTCGGGTCGGAAATATCTGATCCCACACAGTATCTTCACCTTGCACAAAGCACCGCGGAACTGGCTCTCGATCTCCCGCTACCTAGTCGAGCGGTGGGATGAATGCTCGACTAATACGAGCTTAGGCATTGCCTTCGCTCAGGCGGGCCATACCTTTGCCATCTCGAAATGGCTTCTCTGCAGCCAAGCCAGCTTTTACAACCATGACAACGGCAGGCATTGAGCATAGCGTTACAGGTGGAGGTTCCCGAACCTCCACGACTGTCTCGGCTCGGTCGTAGGTAGTGCTTTGGAATGCTGTCGTGAAGTCGGCATGATCCTCGTGAGTTGTATAGCCATCAGGGTTAGGGTTGGGGTAGCACATCGATCGTGTGAGACAGTGACCCTTTGGTATCTGTCCATACAGCTACGAGCACGAATACCGGTGATGTTTTGGGGTTGAACACGTGTGTTTCTAATATCAATGCGCTCGTGTGGCGAGCATATTTACATGTCCTGTTGGATTTTTCACCTCTGCCTCAGTGTTAAATCTTCACCCTTGTGACTCACATCCAAAGATACACTGGTTCTTGTGTTCACGCAACAAACTGCGTGGCAATGTATGTACGCCAACAAGGAACATCTTCCACGTCATCTCTTCTTCAGAGACATCCATCCGAACCGACGCCCAAGAAGGATCTTGGAGCGTCTCCGTACGGTAGCCAGGAGTGTGCCACTAGCCATGCACAAAGGTCGCCAATTTTAGAGTTTGCGGACATGTCCGTGCTCGAACAGCRGACAGACGACCTGACATTTGGGCACAGCCGACATCAACGAGCACACTCCGCATCGACGGCATCGCGGCCATGCCTCCACGACTACAATTGCTCCGCCGGCCGGGTGTCTCGATTCCCTGCCAGCAGTCCTATCAGCCGCTGGCGCCATTCCTGTACCCGTTCATCAACCAGCAGCGCGCAGCTTCCATTCTCTCCTCCCTTTCCGACACCAAAGGCTCATACAACAAGAAGATTCGCCGTGGACGAGGACCGGCCAGTGGCAAGGGAAAGACATCTGGACGCGGTATCAAGGGTCAAAGGGCACATGGAAAAGTGCCAGTTGGGTTCAATGGCGGGCAGACGCCCGACTGGGTCGTCGCTGGCCMTCGAGGATTCGACAACCAGTGAGTGTCTCCTGATCATGTGGCGCCAGTCACCGTATCAAGATAGCAATACTGACCCGATGATAGCTTTTCTGTTGATATGAGCAAGGTCAATCTGAATCGCATACAGTACTGGATCAACCAGGGCCGCTTGGACCCAACACGGCCAATAACCCTGCGAGAGCTGAACGAATCGCGCTGTCTGCATGGCGTGAAAGATGGCGTGAAATTACTCGCACGAGGGAAGGAAGAGCTTACCACACCAATCAACATCGTGGTTTCGCGCGCAAGTGCAGAAGCCATCAGTGCGGTGGAGAAGCTGGGTGGAACAGTCCTTACGCGCTACTACACCAAMTTTGCCATCAAGAAGATCATGAAGGGCGATATGGATCCTATCAACAGCCTCCAGTCACGTCCGGCTACACCACCCGCACAAGCAGAGGGGGTAGAGAAATCCGCAGATACATCGACGCAAGCTCAGAAGTATCGTTTCAGGTTGCCTGATCCAACCAGCAGAAAGGACCTGGAGTACTACCGTGATTCGGCCCACCGAGGGTATTTRAGCCACTTGGTCGCAGACGGCCATGGTCCCAGCTTGTTCTTCAAGACGCCCGGCGCCGGGAAGAAGGATATGAAGAAGATGCCGGGCAAGGCAGCAAAGACACAGCAACGGGCCGATAACCGGATATGGTAGTTGTAGATACGTGTATAACATTATTGGGACCGCATGTCCATCATATGGGATCTCAAGAACAGTACATTCGATATCCGATTGCATGGCTTCGCATCTTCATCCTTGTGGCAACAGCGTCAGGGCTTTTCGTCAGGAGGTGCTCGTTGCTATGACTAACGACAGTGACGTTGACAATCAGAGGACTGATATGAAGTAGGACAGGTCCTCCTCACAATTCTGCAACGCTTATCCGATCGAGGACGGATCATCGCTGCAACACGATAGTGGCTGGTCAGCCAGGTACAATTGCCGATGCGCACATTATCGTACGAGGCTGAAGCACCCACCAGACGATGGCACCAGACGATGGGGTCGCAGTGCTGCCATGCCAATAGCCATCTGCTGCTTCTCGGCTTTGTCACGACTCTCGGTCACTACGGAAGCCCTCTGTGATCGGTCGCGGGGCGACACGTCTTGAGGACGCTGGCGTTCAAAGCAGTCCACGGTCGATCGGATAACCATGCAACACCTCCCTACACTCCGTTGTCCTACTCCATCCAGCTGCGTCGCCGTGGCTGGCTCAACGGGTAGCAACGTTAAGCTCAAGTTCAAGTCACATAGGTAGCCAGCACAAACCTGACAGACCAACCTACCACGACCGCTTCGGGGTTGATCGGTGATGTACAACATGTACTTGCCGGCTTCTCCTCGCACTACAACATCGGACACGCAAGCCTAAAGTAGGAGGTGATCCCTAGGCCAACTCGTTCTTTGTCACATTGAGACTTTGATACTCCTCGCAACCGTTCTCGCACCATACGACGGCCTCTCACCGGGGCACTTAAACTCAACTTGCCGCACGACCGGCGAGGCGGAACGTGGCAGGCAATACGAGTTCACATCGCTGCGTTGATGCCACCGCGCGCCATGTTCCGAAATAAACAGTCGTAGGTCTCGCCTGCTTGGCTCATCCTGACCGTTTCGGCGAGTACAGAWCACAAAGCAAATTATCTTGTCCAAATCCACCGGCCTTCCGTGTCGATGCAGGGCTCCTTTTATTGCTAGGCGCGATATGCGTGGCTGACAATCAGTGCGGGTGGATGTCCAAAGTGTAAAGTGGCTTGCGAGCGGCAAGCAGATTGTGTCACAAATAGCGATGGACACAGTCGCATTCTATGCCATCGATGAGGAGGTGAACCGTGACTGTAACTGGAAGCAGGATATTCCTGGCACGGGCTCGAAACTCATTCGCCCGCATATTTTGCTTCATGCCGTGACCGGTGGTACGCCTGTCCAGGTGGAGCTTCGGCCAAGTATTGGTTTTCCCATGCTTTTGATAGTGGTGGCACCGGACCTGTCCGGCTACTGCGTTGAAAATCACAAGCTTTCATCATTTGATGTCCAGCATTCTCAACAAACATCCTCATGCATCGTGACTCCAACCGAGCGGTGATGATGGTCCACAATTCTGCCGGTATCAAAGCCAAAGCTCTGTGAATCGAAAGATTGCACACGGAGTTAATGAATGCCAGTCAACACCACCATACGCGCGGCACAAATCTTGGTTCTCCGACGGTGTGCCCAAGATTTGAAGATCCAACGGAACGAAAATTGTGAAATGCGGACCACGAATGATAACATTCCCCCGAAACCGACATCAGCCCGAATGGAATGATGATTGACGACGCCTCTTTGAACAATTTGCATCCATGAGCCCGAACCTCGGGAGCCAGACTGACGAGCCTGCGTTCGTGCCCTGTCCTTCGTGTGAGATAGAGTGATSTATGACAAGCGTCGAATGCTCAGAAAAGTTCCGCTGCCCGCACCATCAACGCTTCCCGTGGAGGCTAGCATCTGGACGATGGCTAGCGAGGCCACAAGCTCACCTCGCACAAAGCATCGTGTTGTGGTGCAAGTTCGGCGATCTGCACGCACTGCGACCTCGATCCTTGCTAGAGGATACCTAAACCGCAGTGCTCCATCCATTTGTGATGCATTGGAGTGGAGGTTGCAGCGAGCCATCCTAGAAAAAGCTGAATCTGTCATGATGTAAGTGGATGAGGAACCTAGCTCGACAACACCATCGGTTCGACATGGAATCGTTTCACTTCGATGCRAGAGCATGATGCACCTTGTAATGAAGTCGCCACGCTCTAGCCGGCGTCCAACTCCAGTGGAAGGAGCGGCTAAGGTAATAGTCTGGACCGCCGAGCATTAGCCTTCACAGCTTGGACGTCAGGACTCCCTCATCATGTAAGTCGGGAATCGGGAAGAGCATTCCATATGACGAAAATGCGACAGCTCGGCTGGATCTTCACAGCAAGTTTCCACATTGAAACTCCCCTGAAGTGGATGTATCAAAGGCAAAAGAAGAGTATTTGGTTCGTGCATACCACCGACGACGACCGCATCAAAGCAAGTTGCGCCAGCTCGAGTCGAACGGATCGTCCCAAAAAAGATCAGTCAGAGGCCGTTGTCAGATGTGGATGCCTTGATGATCAATTCCAGGGGCGGTCAATTTTGTCAAACGCCCGAGCTGGGGAGGATGAACCCGCAAAGGRGTCGTCCTTCCGATCACTGATGAGGGGAGGAATCACAATTGGACGCCGAAGCACAGCCTTGGTCGTGGCGCCAACGTATCGTATGGAAATTTGTAGCGCGTGAATCACTGTGATGAGTTCTACCTTGTGGAGAACAGCCTGCCGCAACGTCGTGCCACGGTGCAAGTGGCTGCGACGTCTTGGAATCTGCCGCGAGCGTGCAAAGTGGGGACTAGCGGGATGCATGCACTTTGGACACGAATCCTGCACGTCTCGCCGCGGGTGTCCGATGGGCAACGCGTAAAGTGCAACGGCCGTCGGCCGAAGCGTAAGAGGGTGTGGCTGACCTTTACGAGCCCGTGCGGAGCAGCGCTCCTGCGCCTCCCATGACAGAGAGGCCCATGTATGTCAAACGTCTCGCACATCGGGGAGATGTTTGGCGGCGAGTGATCATGCTGCAGGGCGGTGAAGCTTCGTTTGCAACAAAAAGTCAGACAGCTGTGGGAAAGTGTGTGTGATGGAGGGTAAAGATGACGCTTCATCGCGGCCGCGGTTGATCTGTACCCACTCTTTTGGAACAACAGATGTGGAAAGGTTCCCATTGCAGGATTAGCAGGATTAGGATGGTCGACACGATCGCCAAGTGACTTCGCCGACAAGGCAAACCGTGCCGATACGCTTCACCGATGTTCGAACAATGTTTTGGTACAAGGAAGGGCGCAACGATGTTGAACTCCGTGCTGCAGGGCTTTCGTTGTGGATATGCGGCAAACAACACCCTGCGCTGGACATGTACCTTGGTCTCTTTTCAGCGTCGAACCAGAATCAAGAAGATGTTGTCTGCAAGTTCAGAATTGAGACTACTGCACGCTGGCGGGTAGCAACAGCGCCAACAGCAGCGCCTCCACCTTTTTCTGTGCTGGGACGTTGTTCCGGCACGGCGTTTCGATAAGAAAGTTTCTGATTATATCACCAGCCCACCCACGAGGTGGAAAGCTGTCTCATCCAACTAGCAGCTTAGGTTAGCAGCCCCAAAATGAGTGGACGTGGCAGTGGCCGCAGCGCCGGCACTGTGCGACGTCTGGATTCGCTGGGCACATCGCGGGTTTGTGCCCGCGACTGGACTTGGTATCTGGCTGCCTGCACTCGAGGTAGCCACCAATACGCAAGGTTGAGGCATGCTTTTGCCCGTGTCCCTTCGGTGTCACGATGCTTCGTGATCGTCGAATGCGGGTCGCTGATCGGTTGCGCCGTGAGACGCGACAATGAAGCGATGCAATCGTGCACAATGTGCGGCTGTGAACACAGGCTCCGTTTGCTTCTTGGTTGCCCCATGAGGCCGTACGGTAGACTGAGACTGAGACGAGGCCATCCGCTAAGTTCAGCGCCTCATCGAAGCACTCGTTTGAGCAGGCATGCGCAGGGTTAAATTCTGATGCCCAGAGTTGGAGCATTCCCAGCGCTCGGGAGCGCCAAACCTTGTACAGGCAGGTTACAGGCGGTACGAAGCGCACTCGGAATGATGGATCACAGATGTCGGACCTGACCAGTGTTGGCTGTGCGTAAGAGCGTGGCGAAGATTAATAATAATGTACCGCCCTCACCAATGACACGAATCATCATCCATCAGGTAGATGGTCAGTTGATGACGGAACAGCGGATGGGCGAGGAGATTGGAAGGTTTGAGACGTATTGTCAGAGCTCCAAACCGACCGATGACTTGTTGGTGCCTCTCATCCCCGAGTGGAGAGTTTTGCGCAACGGCGCCCTGACGAGAGAAGGAAGGGTCGGCGTGCTTTCTCAATCTCGCATCACATCTCACGCTTCACAAAGAGTCAGCACCCGCCGAGGCCGCTACGCGGTGATTGGTGATACACGGGCAGCTCGCCGCCCGCACACCACCGTGCAGCAGGCAGATTAACGGGCATTGATGGGATGAGCCTGGCTGGCTCGGTCACGGTGTGTGGAATGAGGTGCACGCCGTGTCAGAATTCGTAGATCCGAGGCCTGGCGCTGGTACTGTACGAGCTAGGCTGTCCGCGGCTCCGGCCTTGCCAGCAGCCAGCTTTGAATTTGCCCAGCCCACCACGCAGGGCGGGTTCAGGTTGGCAGGGCAGGGCAGACAAGCCCGCAAAAAGTCAACGCCCAGCCCCGACCGAGCGCTCTGTCCCGCACGCGCTGCGCTGCGAGGTCCAGGAAGCAAAAGCGCCCTAGCCCAGAGTTAGAAGAGACGGGCAAACCCCCTGGAGTCCGTGGTACAGCTTCATACTGGCCTGCGAGATCCGTCTTTCCGCGAACCACCTGTCTCCTTCCCTGGAATGCGCGGCCGTCCGCCCTCCGCAGGTCCACTCCTGGCCCTTGCCCGCTTAATTAGCTGCATGGGCATCGATTGGCGACACGAGCTGGTGTCAGTCTTTCGTTAGAATCGAAGCTTGGGCGTCCATGAGTCTGCCACTCCTCCTCACCGGCTTCATCGATTGGGATCAGCCGCGTGATGGATGAYTCACCCTCAACTTACCTTTGAGCTTCGCGTGCTGGCCCGCGCGCTGGCGTCGGTGGACTGCTGCACCAAAGGCTCTGGAACGGCGCCATGCTCGTTGTTAGGGCCCGCTAATGGGGACTGACGAACCTCTTGCGCCGGCAAGTCGCTGCATTCTTCCTGCATGCGCATCGCCTCCCTTGCTTCTTGTGTGTGAGTGCACACTAGGAGGTACCAAGCAATCGACTCTTGCCGTTGAAGGATGGACGGCTCCATGGCCAAAAACCTCATGTCCTATTGCCTGTCTCACTTCCAGTTCTGGCCCACCTCATCGTCACTTCTTGCTTTCATCTTCAAGTCACCTCATCGTCCCCTCTCTCTCCATTCACTCTGRCCATCCACATCCTAGTCTCTTCACATTCCTGCCTGCCTGACCTCATGCTCGCTACCACGCACATTTCTTCAGTCACGTTGCACTCATGACAACAATCACTGCGAGCCCGCTTCACATGATTCGATTTCATGATCCCTTCCGCGTATCGAAAAGACCTTCATCGCCTCTGGGCAACACTTCAAAGCACCGTTCGGCTGCAACCGGACCAATGAGCGAAGTTCGATCCGCATACAGGCCGGAGGTCTACCAGCAAGAGCATGCACCGCAATACAACGAGCACATGGCTACATACCGAAGCCATGCGGCTGCCCAGTACATGCCACCGGCGGACAACCGGCCACACAACATCCCGAGCTCGCCTGTTCCGGAGAGAAGAAGCAGCGTTATAGCTTCCAACTTTCAAATCCCACGAGCCGTCAATGACAGCGGAGGCAGCCTGGCTGAACTTGCAGCACAGGTGAGATGAACCTTGGGGCACTCTGGCAAATGGCATGGCTGACTCTGGATGCAGATAACATGTTTGTTCTGGTTTGAATCAGCAGATGTGCTCCGCGAAGTTGCCGAATCGGCCGGTCCTCACGTACACCCACTTCCGCTCTCACCAGATGTCAAACCAACGACCGGCTTCCGGAAATGGGTCACGACAATTCTGTCCACAACATGTGTAGCACAAAACGTCGTGCTGCTCGCCCTTCTTTTCGTCTACCGGCTGAAGAAGCAGAACCCAACCGTACGAGGGAAGCCGGGGAGCGAATACAGGCTGCTCACTGTTGCACTCATGCTGGGAAACAAGTTCCTCGACGATAACACCTACACTAACAAGACCTGGGCTGAGGTATCTGGGATCAATGTGGGAGAGGTTYACATTATGGAGGTTGAGTTCTTGAGTAACATGAAGTACTGCCTTTCCACATCTGAGCAGGATTGGGCAGAATGGCAGACGCTCCTGGGAAAATTCGCGGCATTCTTCGRGACAGCGACCAGGTCATCCGGCGGGAATGGTCATATGCCAGTACTTCCACAAGCACCTTTGCTCCACGTACCTGCGGCTTTACCATCTCCTCCTAGCTCGAACCAGGCGTCGCCACCTTTCAATGGACAATCTGTACAACCCGGCACCATTCATGGTAACTTTGCTCAGCCTGGTCCAACTCCTGTACCTTCACCGCTTACCCGCTACAACGATGTCAACAATGGGTCCATGCAACCAAGGACCAGGAAGCGAAGTCATGACGAGTTGACGTGTGAGCCGCCATCGAAGAGGTTCGCAAACGGAAATCAAAACTCAACTTCACCTCATCGATATTCAACCATGCCAGCGCAGCCAGTGATTGGACCGCCGATCCCACGTCTCACTCTTCCAAACCTTCCAATGCCGCATTCCCAGAGTTCCGCGTACTCTCAACCAACGTCCGGTCACCAGCTCCCTCCGCTTCAGGTACCTGCCCGGGCAATGGCCATGGCCTATCCTAATGGAGGCTCCCAAGGTCTGCCTCAAGTTACTCCATCAGCAGGCCCGTCCTCGCACGCCCACCAGAACCGAACTTCACCATCCAGCGGGCTGCCACAGTCTGCTGTTGCACTGCACCCACCAAGTCAAATTTCACCGTCATACTTTTTGCAGCAACGGAACTCTCCTTATCGGCCGGTCCACAACGTGTCCACACTCTTGTATCCACCACCATCGGGAGCAATGCAGAGCCGTGTCCATGATGTGGAGCTCAACCAAATGCATTATCAGCCACTTGGGAAGCCAATTCAACATGCTGGACGCCTGCCGTACGTATCGCAGAATCTCTGGCTTGACGGCAACCAGCCTCAAGAAATGACACCCATACATCGCTGGCCTGGATTTCCTCGTGGTGCACCGCAATACCAGGCTTCCGCGCAGCAGTGAACATGAGACTGTGATTGACGACCACCAAGACTTTGTTGGTACTGCCAGGCCAGACTTTGCGTCTGGCTCTAGCGGAGAGCGGCCTTATTAGCCGAATCTCTACTTTGATTTACATTTGATTGCGTTTCAGCGGATATGATGCATTTTGAGCGTTTGCACACAGGTTTCGCACAAGTGAAGCGAAGCAATTTGATTCTGCGGAAGTACATGGCATGACGAGCCCGCCAGGAGGGCATACACTTGGCCATCTTGTACACTACTACACGAGGAACGGCTCGCGTTCTCGATGCTACGGAGAGGCAACAGACCCTCCAATCGAACAGTTATCCAATGTGGTAATTTGCCCCGTGTGGCACAAGCATTCTTTGAGCACTCATTCTGAAATATATCGCACCGGCATGGATCCGCAGCTATGGGCGGGAACATCACGCATCACAGAGGAGAGCATGACACCTTTGGATGTTATTAGAGAGGTAAGTGACGGTGCAGATCGGCGGAGGCATCATGACATAGTTCTGCCCTGCTCATATCTCAGGGATCGAGAGTCTACCGACCGGGACCGTGACATTCCATTGTCATTCCTCACGTAAGGGCTTAAATTGTGATGTTAGCCGCGCCACACATTGGTAGGCGAGCGCAACCATAGCCTTGAAATCCTAAGGATAGCCGTCTGTATGCGATGAAAATAAAATGCTTTCGGTGACTGATTGTGTTCAAGGTCCGAGCAGATCTGTTCAACTGCCGAGCACAGCCATGGATTCGCATAGTTGGATTCTTGTCATGTCCAAGTTAGGCTTCTAATCCCAAATGCAGGTCGGCGTTGTCGCTGTCTCGTCTGGACTACAGCCAATCAGAGACGTCTTCGAGGTTGAAACGAAGCTTGCACGACAACCAGTTCTTGTTTCATGTTTCTTTTATCCACGCGCCCCAACCTCAACTTACTCGCTTTCTCACACTCCCAGCCAACGAAGGGGGTTCAGGTAGGATACACGTCTCGCAATCATAACGTCGTTTTCTACAAAACCTCTCATCACAAAAAGTCAGCTGGCAGACGACAGAGCACACAAGCAGTCACCTCTCGGGAGCCTGCCGCTGTCACATCTCAGCTTTCCTTTCAGCAGCGATTGCCGCAAGACTGTTGTTCTGCGATTGTGCTTTCTCCGTCCCTTTCTTCTTCTCACCATCTTGGGTCGGCCACGCGGATACATACATACCCACACGCGACGCACTTTATCTCCCCGGCTTTGGCAGCCATCTCGATACTATTGGCAAACCCACTCAGAGATCACGATTACAAACACGAGGGGAGCATCTTTAAGCGCCAGACATTGATCCCGCAACGATCGGCTCAAATCTTGTGCTTGCTCTTCCACACCACCTCAATATGCGTTCATTTGTCTCAGCAGCAGCGGTCATCGCACTTCCTATCACAGCAATGGCTTCGACGTTGAACGATTGGAGCCCTCGGATTGCCAACCTAAGCTCTGGTTGCAAGGTAGTGTACACTTCAGACATCAGTGGCTGCTCTGAGAAAGACTTCGGAAAGACTGCAAGCTGCAGTGCGGCATGTTTGAAGGGACTCCAGGAAGTGGCCACGAAGGTCAAGGCGGCCTGTGCGGATGAAGACTTTGGCAGCGACCCCGAAGCTGGAAACATCCTACTGTACTTTCTGGCCGGCAATGGACCTCGAAGCGTCTGCCCAAACAACAACATTGCGCAGGCAAGTGTATCGTCTAGCGCATCAACAACATCAACACAATCAGACACATCGACTGCAACATCGACCGGGCCAGATGCATCGACGACATCCACAGCGGGGTCCAATAGCACAGAGACGTTGACCTCTACCAGCTCTGCGAGCCCGACCACGACGACATTCGTGCTTGATGGTACCAGCACCATCAGCTCTGCGACCTCGACGCCGATCGACTCGCAGAACAGTAAAAGCGGTGGGGGAAGCCCATTCGACGATGTGCCTTCCGATGGCGCTGCTTGGACCATCCCATGTGCCATGACCATCCTCGCGGCTCTCTTCGTTGGCGCTGGACTACAATGATTGGAGGAAGGGACTTCCTTCAATCGCCAGCTTGTCTCCTGAGGACGGCATGGCATTCTGTTTTTGATCGTTTAAGCGAAATACCCAGATTTGCATTTGCAAGGCGTACGCATTGTGTTTGTGGCGATTTGCTGGCGTGGGTGKTTGCGTGGAATATCCTCCGAGTTGAGGAGCGCTGGAGAGCCGGCAAGTATTGTGCACGTAGCTACTATTGCATAGCAAATGGTTGAGGAAGCAAGATAAAACATCGACCAGGCAATCATTTGTCGCGTGTCCATCTCACTTCGTGATCACTTCGTGATTGGTGTTGCATGATCTTATCGATTCGTGATGACACAGAGCCTTGCCGATTGTCACTGATCAGGCATACCTAGAGAGCTTTGCTTGCTGTTGCGACTTTTTGGCGGGAATAACTACCCGGCCTGGTTTCGGAATGGAAAGGCTTGTGCTTTCTGCTGACGATCGACATCATAAATTTTTGGCGCCTGGGCAGTACGATCGTTCCTATCTTGGAAGCTCTGCCTTTCCATACCTTAACCTTCACGTTCACTTTGCGCTCATCCACCTTTTTGGGTTGCCAATCGCGCCCTCACCCTCACGTCACCGCCAACATGGYATCCAAAGCTGCAGTGCGACCGTTCGCCCAGCTCACAGGAGCCAATGGCTTCAAGCACGTCGTGCAGCGCGGGTTCGCGACCGCGCAGAAGAGTCCCAACCCTTCACCCTTCCGCCCGCATGCGAGGGTGCAGACCCCATCGAGCACGCGAGAGTCCCTGTTACGCGCCAGCTTCCGCCGTGGAGTTGCAGACCAGTCTCGGCCTGTCGTCAAGAAGCGCTCTTGGAGTCTGCTGCGTTGGACGTGGCGATTGACCTATCTCTCCGTGCTGGGAACGCTGGGATATGTTGGATATGGCATCTACATCAACCGAAACCCCGTTGATCAGGCCGAGCCCGATCCATCCAAGAAGACCTTGGTCGTGCTGGGTACTGGTTGGGGCTCCGTCTCTCTGCTGAAGAAGCTCGATACCGAAAACTACAATGTCATTGTCATCTCGCCCCGCAACTACTTCCTCTTCACGCCGCTCCTGCCATCGTGCACCACCGGAACGATCGAACACCGTAGCATTATGGAGCCGATTCGCAACTTCCTCCGCCACAAGAAGACCGCCGTCAAGTACTACGAAGCCGAAGCGACCAAGATCGACTACGAGAAGAGAGTGGTATACATTAGTGATGACTCTGACGTCAAGGGATCAACTTCCATGAACGAGGTGCCATTCGACATGCTGGTTGTTGGTGTTGGCGCGGAGAACGCCACCTTTGGYATTCCCGGTGTGCGGGAGCATGGATGCTTCTTGAAGGAAGTCGGTGATGCACAGCAAATCCGCAAGCGTATCATGGACTGCTGTGAATCTGCCACTTTCAAGGATCAATCGCCCGAGGAGATCAAGCGCCTGCTGCACATGGTTGTTGTCGGTGGCGGTCCTACCGGTGTGGAATTCGCTGGTGAACTGCAGGACTTCTTCGAGCATGACCTTCGCAAGTGGATTCCGGAAATCAAGAATAACTTTCATGTTACCCTCGTCGAAGCTCTGCCGTCTGTCCTGCCATCCTTCTCCAAGAGCCTCATCGATTACACCGAGCAAACCTTCAAAGAGGAGACCATCGACATTCGAACAAAGACCATGGTCAAGAACGTCACGGAAAAGTACATTGAAGCTGAATACACGGATGCGAGCGGCCAGAAAGTGACCGAGAAGATTCCATATGGCCTGCTTGTTTGGGCTACTGGCAACGCCGTGAGACCAATTGTCAAGGACCTCATGGCTCAGATTCCCGCTCAAAAGGACTCAAGACGTGGTCTCGCAGTCAACGAATACCTGGTCGTGAAGGGAACCGAGAACATCTGGGCTGTCGGTGACTGCGCCATTGCCAACTACGCTCCCACCGCACAAGTCGCCAGTCAGGAAGGTGCTTTCCTCGCTCGCCTCTTCAATCAAATGGCCAAGACCGAGGAAATCGAGGGTCAGCTCGCAACTCTATCAGATGAGCAAAGCTTAGCACCGAACAAGGAAGCCCGCGACCAAGTCTTCGAGAACATCAAAGACTTGCAGAGAAGATTACGTCGTGTTAAGCAAATGGGTCCTTTTGAATACTCTCACCAGGGTTCCATGGCATACATTGGCAGCKAAAAGGCCGTGGCCGATATCTCCTGGTTGWCGGGAAACCTCGCCAGTGGTGGACAATTGACATATCTCTTCTGGAGATCGGCTTATTTGAGCATGTGCTTTAGCTGTAAGTTTGAACGTTCCTGGCATTCATTAATGGAGATGAGACTAACGATCCTCACAGCACGGAACCGTATTCTAGTCTGCATGGACTGGGCGAAATCCTACCTTTTCGGCCGTGATGTTTCTCGGGAGTAGAAAGTACTTCGAGCTTTGGCTGAAGCATCGCGACGAAGATGGGTGAGTGAAGGTTCCCAGATGTATTTGCCTTCCAGTGCGAAAGGGCATGAAGGAGCGGCGTTTGATATGTGCCAATAGGGATATGGGCGATAGAAGGGGTTTCCCATGTAGCGGGTGTTTTTCATGTTGGAACTGTAAAAATGGAAAGTTCTTGTCATCGTGCTTGATGGTCTCCGATTTATTTCTCAGGTTGGTTTGCTTGCCGTTATTGAGAGTCGTTGAGGTGACCTAGAAGAGAGGTCGAGATTTATGAAGAGCATCGACACCGACTTGACCGAAGAGGAGCAACGCTGTGGAAGTGCCTCAGCTCAGAGTACCGTACAGCGTCTCTTTGCATCCAAGGTTGTTCACACTCACAGAATTCTCTCGAGCATCAGCGAATCTAACCTCCAAGGACCTGTGGCATTCATGGTTGCTGCCCAGACTCCTGCGAGCAAAGACGTCTTTCTTCGACGAAGACTACAGAAGACACGACCAGAAAGACATGGCTCCGTGAAATACTCGACTCTCCGCAAGACTGCTTACTCTTCTTAGCACGACAACCCGCCCGCGAGCGTGGTCATCGATTCATTGCAAGGAGAGCCGGCATCAAGAGACGTTGTAATGATTGTCTTTCTACTGCCCATATCCGACTCGCTGGTCCACTCAAAAGACAAACATCTGGCTCACCACTAAGGCTGCATACGTGTGGTGTAGAGGTCTTCCTGACTTCAGAGCCGCATCCACTTTCATCCACGCGTATAGAGTCTCCACGCAAAAGGCGTATTCTCCCATGGGGTCGATCATTCTTTCCATCCATTCGCAACCCAAAATCCAACCCAGCGTCGGAACAGAACATAAGCCTTCGTATCTCTCTCTGAGCGTCTCGTCAACGATGCCAGGAATGCACAACGGTGTGAGAGGATAGCGAGGGAGCCCTTCTCCGTGAGGCCAATTCCAAATACCACGCCTCTTTTTAACCAAGCCATGCTTCACAATATCGTGGTACATACCCGTTCGACGCTCTCGGCTAAGGTGAAGGGTGGGTAATACAGGCGGTTCCGTGAGGCGTAGGAAGGATTGGAGGAAACCTGAGGGGGGGAGTGTACGTTCAACATGCGCGAAGATGTGAATATCCAGGAGCCTGCGAAGCAATGTAACGATCTCTTGCAGTCCAGAGGACACCAAAGCGCGCTCTCTCCTCCGATGGACCGTGTCTCCCCTCTGCCGCATCTTCGATCGGCAGAATTCGATGATTGCAAACCCCTCACAAACATCAAATGCAATGTCAGCGCTCCATGTGCTGATCGTCCTCAGATATAGTCCGCGGTGGGCGAGATATTGTCTGAAACGTGGGACAACATCTCCTCGAGCCTTTGTGAAGTGGCGTTCGACATGCCTCTCCAGTCTTGTGCTGTGTAAGTTGAACCGCCATTTAATCGGGGAAGATGTTCCAATCCGGGAAGGTGGTCCAATCGCAGCCATCTCTGGAACGGCACCCTCGGGCTGTAGGTCCAGAGCTCCTTTTGGCTGAATCTTCACGATGTCGAAAACAGGGAGCAGCTCCAGAATTTGGTCCTGGATTTCCAGGGGCAACATCGCGAGGAAATGTTGAGGCTGAGATTCCTCCCTCGCTTCGAGCGATTGATGAGACTGAGATTCTTCGTCCGCTGTGAGCGGATGTTGAGGTTGAGATTCTTCGTCCACTGCTAGTGGATGATGAGGCTTCGATTCTTCGTCCGCAGCGATCGGGTGTTGAAGTTGATATTCCTTCCTCGCTGCGAGCGGATGATGAGGTTTCGATTCTTCCTTCGTTGCGAGCGGATGCTGAACCAGCTTGATGTATTTCTTCGAGCTCCGGCGACGCAAGTTCTTCAGCCAGCGTATCATGCGCTTTGACCCCCAATCTTTGGAAGGGTTTTGCTCGTCCATGATTGCCAGGTGTAGATAGCTCTTGCTTGCTTGCTTGCTTGTAAACCAGATGCGAAGTTCAGCCCCGGAGCGTCGACCTCCTGCTCTATCGGCCAATTGTATGTTTTACGAGATGCTGGAACGGCTGCTGTTCTGTGGAACTAAGTAGTGATGGACGCGCGAGATGGAGTAGCGATGTTGCTTGACGATTTTTGTTGATGTGTGAAGTAGTGAGGGTTGAGAAGTGCAGGGCTATTGTCGAGGAACGAAGTAGGTAGAATACTTGCCTTGCCTTCCTTCCCTCACGGCCTTGGAATAGAAGGAGAAGGAGATACCGGTGAGCGCGAAAGTGATACCAGCGAAATGGGCGCAAAGGAGGAACGCAGGAACGCCTTGCTCTTTGATCTGTACATCCCCTCGAGTGCCCGCTCTATGGGCCTGATTCCCAGGCTAGAAAGCGGCTTGCACAACAAATCCGCCCAATCAATCGTTTCATGCGCCGTAACCACCTTTGCCTGCCAACGCCGAGCATGCATGCCTTCCTCATGATACCCATAAACCTAGCTCGCGCTCTTCCCAATAATGGATTCCATCTAAACGCTCAACTTTGCAACATCATCCGCAACCGCATCAGCAGCACCGGCGGTCGACTCCCTCTCCTTCTCAACCTCCTGCAGACTCTTTGCCTGTCCTCCTCGGAGATACTCCTCGGACTCGCCCAGCCTCTTTCCACCGCTCTCCCATCGACTCTTGTAAGCCTCCCTCTTCGCACTCGCCATCTTGCCAAAAGCCGGCCAGTAGACATCGTGGTCATATTGAAAGTCACACTCCCCACCAAGTTTTTTCCACAACTGCTCCTTGGGCACAAACTTGTTCGAATTCTCGTTGAACTTCATCTTCTCCCGCGTGACAGGATCGATGAAGCTCGAAATCAGCTTGAAGAAGGTGTTGACATACCACGGCGTCTCGAGGATCAAAGCCTTGCCCAAACGCTCAGGGTTGTGGTTTTGAAGAATATTCAGCACAGCACGTGCCTGGCCAACAGTGGGCACCGTTCCTGCTTTGGATCCCGCGAAATTGATAATCAGGGCCGAAGTCTCGACGCCAGGGGGCATCATGTCGATTGTGCGGTCCAGCATGTAGCATAGATGGTGGATCTGACGATCGCTCATCTTGGTGTTCTGATTGCCGGGCAGCAGGTATAGACATGGCCGCTGCTCATTGTCGTAGCCCAGCACCACCTGTTTGCCCGTCTCATTTTCAGGCGAAATGTAGTCGTGTGTGAAGGTGTCGGCGCCGTATTCCCTTCGCCATGATAGAGTACTTTGCAGACGTTTCAGGGCATTCGGTACCGACCACTTGGTGGCGCGTAGGTAGCGGAGGAGGCATTCGCGGGTGAGGAACATCTTCTCGTGATCCTGCAGTGGTTCTAGGGGTGCATTCTTCGCCGTGGACGCTGGAACGGTGGTCCATGTCGAGACATCGGCGAGGACGGAAATGTACTTTGTTTCCTGCTCAGCGGTGAGGACTGGCTGAGGCGTGGGCTTCGTCAAGGCCGATGGTCTGGGGATCGGTGTCTTCAGCGGGCCATCCTTCGGCGCCGTCCATTCCTCCTCTGCTGCCCCCACGGTCGTGTTCGTTGCGCTGCTCGCGGGCGTGTCATTGATCGCGTGCTGGGAGTCGATCGATTTGAAGGATCCGTCGAGTGAAGCGGGCGAATCGGGGCGGGAGATGGCGGAGTTTCCAGTGGTGACGGCCGCCATGACTGCTGCTGTCTAGGGATCAGGGATGCGGGGAGTCGTCAATGACGAAGTGGCCTGATCCGACGAAATGACCTGTATGATGATGCGGATGAAAGGATCCAGCAAGGAGTCGATGTACAGGTCGGTGATCCTTCCGCTCCCAGAGACAATTGTTGAGATACGTAGGGAATGAGATTATAAATAGACCCTGTGATTCATGTGCAAATTTAAGAAAGATGCTGCAGCCAGTTGTAGAACTAGTTTTATATATCAAATTATTCCGGGAGTCCGGCGGCCACTTCAAATGAAGAAAAGAAACACGGTCATTATATGGCTGATTCCTCGCGGTCGAGTACGGAGCATTGTCCGTAAGCTGTTCATAATTGCGGAAGAGGCTGTCTTCCGAAGCCGGCGGCACATGGATGTGAGCAAGGTTCCTCTTAAATGATCATCCTGAAAAAATGTAGCTTGTGTTCATCCGTATCGTACACAATCAGCTAGAGAAGTGAGTTGAACACGCTCTCCCGCTTCGTCATCATCTCCTCCCACTCCGCCTCAGCATCACTCAAAGCCGTTATGGCACCACCAGCACCAACCCGCCAGACATCTCCTTCATCGTCCCATTTGAAGGCTGTCCGAATCACCACCGAGAAGTCTCCACCACCACCGACATCAAGGAAGCCGATCACACCGCTGTAGAGACCTCTGGGCTTGCCACCCTCAAGGTCCTTCAACAGCTCACATGAGCGCTTCTTGGGTGCTCCAGTCATTGATCCTGGAGGCAATGAAGCGGCGAGAACAGCCACGCCAGAAGCTGCCGGCTCAAGATCTCCTTCGATGACAGAGACGAGCTGGAAGACAGTCTCGTACTCTTCAATCGACATCAGCTTCGGCACACTGACGTTTGCAACTCTGTCCGCAGCATTAGTGATGAATCCGAAAGAACGATATTGAAATAACGTACCCCTTCACGCCGCTGAGATCATGTCTGATAAGATCCACAATCATCAAGTTCTCTGCACGCTCCTTGGCAGATCCAAGGACCTCCTCAGCTTTTGCTCTCGTCACTCCTGGGCTCTTCTTCACGGTGCCCTTGATGGGCCGGAACTGGCATTTACCATCCCGCGACCAGGACAGAAACCGCTCTGGGCTGCTACCCACGACCGTGAGACCCGGTCCTTGACGAGACTGCAATCGGAGGTAAGCACTGAAAGGCGCTGGGTTGCGGCTTCTCAGTCGACGGTACATCGACCAGCCGTCTACAGCTGTCTTGAGCAGCGACTGGTCGGTCAAGCAAAGCTCGTAAGATTCTCCTGCTCGCAAGTGTGCTTGACACTCGAGGACTTTGCGGCAGTATTCGTTCTTCTGTGGCTCGCTTACGACTTGGGCACAAATCTTGCCATCGATCGAAGTCTTCTCTGCTTCATCGTGGTTGGCGAGACTCTGTTGTAGCCGTTCCGCAATCAGATGTAGCCAACCTTCATCGTGATCACGCAAAGATTGCACGTAGATCTTTGCTTCCTTGTTGTCAATAATGACACTTCGTTCGGCAAAGATGAACGAGATGTCAGAGTGCTCCGGTGTCGCTCCCGATGGAGCTACCTTGATAGTTTCCAGGCCAGCTTCGTAGGAGATGAACCCAACAAGTCCTCCCCAGAACGGCAGGGTATCCAACCCGCCTGAAGCTTTGTTGTTCAGCACAAACTCATCGGCGTAGGATAGCGCTTGTTCGGCCGTGACGTGCTTTTCAAGAACAGTTTTACCCTTGCTAGTAACATCCAACACTCCACTCGCTGTAGAGTATCTGATGTGCGTGGACGAAGCGTCAGGCAGACCAATGATACTGAAGCGGCCAGTCTCTGGATTGACAGCCTTTCCATGGCGAGTTCCAGATTCCAGAACGAGCGGCTCGGAGCAACTGTCGTCGCGCAGAACCTCTGCAACGAAGGCGACGTCCGGAGAAGTGTATGCCTTGAACTCGAGCCAGTGAACTTGGCGAATGGGCTCCTCCACTTTGTTAGTTGAAGAGCTGAGCATGCGAATTTCGCTCTGCTGAAGCCCGTCCACGTGCAGCAGCGAAGCGCGGTTGCCACGTGAAGGTTGCGACTTCCAAGCACTGGCGTGTTTCCACCACTTTCCAATCGCCTTCTGGCCTTCCTTGTTGGTACAGATTGATTCCGGATGATATTGAACTCCCCAGAATGGCTTCTGAGCGTGTCTCACAGCCATCAATGTTGGCCCGTTGCTAACATTCATGAGATCCCATGCTAGAGGAACGAGGCTCTCGCACTGATCCGAAGGCTGCCAGAAGTCCCAACCAGGACCGACCACGCTCTGCAGGCGAACGTGAAGTGAATGGTATTGCGTCGCGACAAGCTTGCCGGTTCCCACGAAAATGTCTTTTCCGGAGTGCGTGAGAATGGCCATGATGCCATGACGAGGTTGCTTCAACCTCTCGACTGAGCCTCCGAACGCGAGACATAGACTCTGGAAGCCTAGGCAGATTCCCAGTACGGGTAGGAGGTGTTGATCAGGCAGAGTCCACAGCTTGTTGATCAATCCGATGTCTTCCGGGTTGGCAGGATGGCCGGGTCCAGGTCCGGCGACGACAGCGTCAAAGCCATCGAGAAAGTTGAAAAAAGCATCGTCGTTGAGGACGAAGCGAGGATCATCTATCTTGATGCTCTCGACGCTGACAGGCAGCTCTGCTTCGAGCAGAGCGATGATTGAATTGGAGAATGAGTCGTATGCATCGACGAAGAGGATACTGTGGCGTGGCATGTAGTGGATGGCTGGCGATATGATCGCAGGTTACAAGGTGTAACCAGCAAGTGTCGCTTAGTCCATCGAAGAAGCTAATATCAGTTCTTGGGTTCCCGCATGTGAATGAAAGAAGGAGTGAATTCTAGGAATCGTGATGATGAATATTTTACTTCTGTGACTTTCGGCTGTCGGAGCCTTTTTTGCCATGGGCCGCCGATAGAGCACCGATTAGGTGTTTCTCGTGTCGGCGAAAAAGATACACTGCCACGGTCAAAGTGACATGTGCGATACATAGTCGCCAGTGTGAGGTGTTGATTGATGCACCCTTCACAGTAAGCTTGGACATCCGGAGCACAGAGATTGGTCGCAGATACCTTGTAGTCCCAGCTGACCTCCCCGATACCATCACATGCTACCACCCTGCACACTGCAATATGATAAGGTTACTTCGCAATTAAATTGTCATTTCCCTCCTCTCTACAACTCAGCACCAGGAACAGAATCACCAAAAATCCCATCACAAGCACATCAGCCCTCCAACCTCAGACATCATCGTCGAAACCAAACATGGCGGAAAACAAAGTCGCGCCTGATCTCAGCGTCCCTGAAGGTACAGATAACTCATCATCCTTGTTCAAACCGTACAGTACACCTGTTGACGACCGTGGCTACTCCGCAGTTGCTCCAGCGCCGGAACCTACAACCGCTGCTGCTGATGAGACCGCCGCCCCCATCGCAACCACTACTACAGCAACCGAACCCGCTGCGGCGAAGCCTGCAGAGCCCGTGGCCCCAAAGAAGCAGAAGACGTCGCCTATGGATATCGTGAAGAAGCTTTTGGCCAAGTTCAAGAAGGAGAAGAAGGCTCAGCCTGTTGCTGCATGAGGGATGATGCATTGCCGTTGATGAGCGTTCGAGATACCCCTGACTGCAATGATTCTGGACCAGGTGCACAGCTGTGCACCGCCACTCCTCTCGTTAATACAAGCAATCCGACTTCCATGACCTTTTCACAAATTCTTTCAAGTCTGAAGCGCTGCATTCTCCGCTCCCAACAGTCCAATGTGGGTAGACTCGTAAATTTTGGAGGGCCTATCGACACAGATTGCAAGTCGTTGCGAGCCGYCGTCGCGTAGAGTACGGCAGCGTGCATCTCAAAGAGTCGAGTCTCGTCTCCCTTTGCTTCTCCCTCAATTCGTCGTGAAGAGGCAGTCTCACTGCACCGGTCCGGTACAAACTGAGTTGGCTGTGTCAATGTGAGAGCACCGTCTTGCTCGTTTTGGGTATCTTCATCCAACCAACTCCACGTTATGTTTCGTGAAAGCAATGTGCAAAGCACTCTACCAGAATCTCCACACAAGAAGAATGAGTATCACAAGGCCAAGGCCTGCGAAAGGGCMGTATTGCTTGAGCAGCAGTTCCCAGTTGATCCGTACTGCTGCACGCTTGTACTTGGCCGAGTCTTCTCTCAACCTTGAAGACATGTCGCCTGTGGGAATCACCGCATTAGCACTGCTATTCGTGTCATGAGGTGTCAACATGGCTCTTACCCATCTTCTCCAGCGAATCTCCACGGTATAGTAAATCCTCAATGTTTTTTGTCATGACTTGCGTGACGTCCTTGAGCTCATCATTCAGTCTCCCCAAGTTGTCTGTCGCCCGGCTGTCCTGATATGTCTTCTTCGTGCGCTCTATGAATCGATCGAATTCGCCGTATGCGTACGGACGGAGCTGAGGATCCAGATACGCATCGCGCTTGTAAGACGTCTGAAACTCTGCACGCACATCCTCGAGGTATGTGAGTGCCAGCTTCTTCGGGTAGCTGCGTTCGGTGATGGCGAGGTAGGCGACGTTGTCATTGAGCACGTAACTGTTGGCAGAAACTCCAGTCAGCGGCACGGAGTGGGATACAAGGGACGTCCACGTACTGTATAGAGTATTTGGCGCTTTCAATGGACGCTCGCGGTTCGGAATTGGGCGTGAGCTTCTTGATCACTTGTCTGATGTTTCCCTTTAACTCGCCCAACTCCTGTGCCTGTGCGTCGTCCACTGATGCTACCAGTGTCAACCCATCGAGACGGACAATCTGCGTCGTGTAAATCATCGCGGGTGTCGTGTGTTGTTGAGAAGACCAGGGAGATTATTCAATTGTTGTACGAGCATCGACGGATGTGCAAGCTGGTCTTCCCAGGCCAACCCACATGGCAGCCGCGATCGCTTGGACAGAACTTCCAATCCTCCTTCCTCCCACCAACCAACGTCACTTCGCATCTCCACCTCTCTCGAGCCTACGAACTTTTGAGCCTGGGGAACCGAGTCGAATCAAAAATTCACGTCAAGATAATGAACGCGCGAGAGAAAGCTGTCTCCTACCTGGAAGCGCTCCACAGCCAACCGGCCACCTTCTTGAAAACGCGTCTTTGCCAAGCGTCTGGCCATTGCTAGACATTCAGCCAATGCAAGAGTCATGGTCTTGGAAAGGAGACAAGCCCCACAGCCGCGGAAGTGTCGCCGCTGTATAAGCGCTGCCACGAGGCGAAACGCCCATGGGCCTAGATCGCGTGGCTTCACATTACTCAGGATATGAGTCCATGCGAATGCTGCATCTTTCATTTCTGTAGGTCTCGTCAACACAATACTGAAAGCATTCAAAGGACGAGAGTTTCCAGATCGCCGAGCGGCAAGTTCACCATATTTACTCATAAACATATATGACATTCAGCATTTGCAGCTAGGTTCGGAGGCGCTCTGACTGTATACCAGCAACAATCATTGAGTCAGCGTCTCTCGAGCATTGAGCCACAAATGCATCTAGTACCAGCGACCTAATACGCCACATTGCTTCTCTCGAGGACAGCATGGACATTGCTTCTGCGAAAGCATCGCCTGAGAGGGAACAGCAAACTATTCACTCTACATGGCCATGGGATCAGATGCCCCGTTGCCAATACCGAAGAGCTCCCCTCCCCTCCTTGGCCGTTCGACCGGACCATTCTCCAAAGACGTCGTTGGTCGTCAGTGCCCGTCAAGCCAGGTTCTTTCGACCATCAGCCTTGTTTTGAAACCGTCGCTTACGACTCGTGCACAGAAGCCACACGCTGCAAACATGTGCTAGTCCTCCCCAACTGCTTACTAGAGACAAGTTCCAGCGAGTCTCGCCCACCCCAGATGGCATAACGGTATCCATTGCTCGAGATGATTCGCTTGTCAAAGATTTGAGGGGCGACCATCGGCTCCCGGGATGCAGTTCCTTGAGACTCGCAAGACTTCATGGCCACCATGCAGGTAGGCCATAGAGCGTGCCTGAATCCCTTTATAGATCTGAACCTGGCCTCAATCGATATACTTCACAGCGAGCTCTCCACAATCGACCCGTACCTCACACGATCTTCCGATACAGCGCCGATCAGCACATACGGCCACTAAATAGGTCTGCCTACAATTGACACTCCCATGGCGCCAGCGAGGGGATCAAGCCTGGAGCTTTGCTCGAATACTATTGCCCTCGGCAATGGAATCGCAGTTCACACACTCGAGTATCTCAGCATTGCCAAGCATCCACGCCATGGAATCAAGGAGTGTGCCATTGAGTTTCTCGGTATCAGCCGCGCTCTCTTTTCAGCACGTAGGTTCGACGAATGCTCCGTTGTTGGGCACGAATGCTGATGGTTCTATGCTTTGTAACAGGCGCTGGGCTCTCTCGCACGACAATCACATTGCCCGGTGACATCGAACAAGAACTCAAGGCGCGACTACTTCAGACCAAGACTGCTTTTGTTGTACTCGATCAGGTGGTCAACAGGCTTGTGGCTGGTGAGAAAAGCTCTGGGTTAGGCAGACTAGGAAAGGGTCTCCTCTCCATGTTCTCCGATAATGATCTGGACAAGTTGAGAACAACACTGGCATCTACTCGAGCAGCCCTTAGCGTGAGCGCAATGATGTTCGGGTCTACGATTGTTGAGAGCAAGTATGATTCCGATAGGGGAATAGGACTTACGGCTCTTGCTGCTATACTGCAGATTCCCGATCCGACCAAAGGAGGAACAGCTTTGCAGACAATAGAAGAAAGTACCAGGGCAAATTTGCCGCCCAGGACTGGACCTCCCCCCTCCAAGGCTGGACCTTTCCCTCCTACGCCTGCTTTCGCCGCCGGATCAAATCTTTATGCACCGCGTGTATCGTCTCGTCGGGACATGAATCTCGCAAGCCCTGCTAGCGCCTCTGAGGCCTCTGATGGTACGTTCGAGCGCCGTCAAACGCCCGCAAGCTCGTCTGCCAAATCACTCACGACCTCGCAAAGTCGGAGTGATCGTAGCAGTATCGCCATTGATTCAATCTCGGATTTTACAGACATCACCTCTATCCTGAACATGCATCCACAAATGGACGGGCCCAACAGCCACGCCAACAGCATCGAGCAAGTTCCGAAGCAAGCTACGCGCATGCAAGTGGACCCATCGAAGGCATCCCGCTGGACACCCAAGCATGTCGGTTATGTTCCGGACTCTTCAAACATCGCTCTCGCCAGTGCTGTCCAGCATAGAGACCAAAAAATGGTAGAGCAGCTGCTGGACTGTGGTCTTTCCCCTCAAACCAAATTTCTTGGAGTAGCAATTGCGAACCATGATCTGCAGACTCTTCAACTTCTACTGGCATTCGGCGCTGCGCCTACAGCCAAGGATGTCGACGGGAATACACTACTGCACATAGCTACCAAGCATTCCTTCTATGAAGCAGCGCAGTTGCTCATAAAGTATGGAGCGCAACCAAATGCTTCTGGTGGACCCAATGGCGAGACGCCCCTGTCAATGTGCTCCACCGGAAATCGTTTCAACTTTGCAATGCTGTATCTGCAATATGGCGCTGACTGCAACGCTCCGCAAACAAACGGCGAAACACCGTTCACGCAAGCGATGAAYCTGACAACTTCACTGCAGCTGGTCCAAGCTATGCTCGTATACGGTGCTGATGTCAATCTCAAGAATGAACATGGCGAAACTCCGCTCTTCAAGGCACTCAATGCGAAACGACAAGACCTCTTTACGTTACTTCTCGATTCAGGAGCAGATGCCAACATGCCCGGTCCCAAGATCTTGCTGTGGCCAGCTGTACATCTCAATCAGCTTCAGATGCTCGAGACATTGCTCGAGCGCGGGGCGGACCTTCGCCGCGCTCCAGGGCTTCTAGAGCTCGCAACGTCGAGCAACCATCGGCCAATCATCGACCTCCTGCTGAAGCGTGGTGCAGATGTGAGTTCCAAAAAGACTGCCTCCCTTGTTTCCAAGACGACGCTTATACTTCTATAGGTCAACTCCAAGAAAGATGGCATCTACACGCCGCTTTGCTCTGCAATTCGTGACAACAGAGAGGATCTTGTAGATATGCTTCTCGCTAGCGGTGCTGATCCAAACCTTGCAGCATTAGAGTATCCCTTGTTCAAATGCGTGTCGTATCATCGCACATATCTGATGCCAAAGCTTTTAGACGCCGGAGCTAGTCCTCACGAGCCGAGAGGAATCGTTGAGCACGCAGTTGCAAAGAACGACAAAGATGCTTTGATCTTTCTGCTTAATCACAACTGCGATCCGAATGCTCGCAGCGAGAAGAACCATACGGCATTGACGACTGCTATTTGCGAGAACAGAACCGAGATGATTGACATCCTTCTTGCACATGGAGCTGATCCGGCTGTCCGAGGTCAGGAGTGGCCTATGACCCTGGCTGTTCATAACCCGGACATTCTGGCGAAAATACTCCCGTACATTCCCGAGGAGAAGATTAATAATGGTGCCATCGAGACAGCTGTCGTCGCCGACAAATTGGACAGTGTGAAACTATTGCTTGCCAAGGGCAAGGACATCGAGGGCAGAACCGGAGGAGTATTTTCACCTCTTACCACTTCTATCCGCGAGAACAGAAAGTCGATCTTCATGTACCTGTGTGAGGCTGGAGCAGACGTTAATTCTCCAGGAGAGCATCTACCTATCATTAAAGCTGTAAGCCATAAGCTGCTTAGAAGCTGGAAGCATGAGACTGACAGACTCTAGATTCGCCGTCATCGAGAGGACGACATGAGCTACATCGAACACCTGCTTGAGAGGGGCGCAGACATAAATTTGATGTATCGCGGTTGGAACGCAGTTCTACAAGCTCTAGACAACGGTGACATGCAAACCCTGCGTCTCCTGGCCGCCAGAGGTCATCCTGACCTGACCGCGAGAGATGAACATGGTCGTAGCGTGTAGGTGATACTGCATCAAATTCTGAGTTCCTATACTAAGTTTTTACAGTGAGGAGCTGATGCTCGACAGAGGAATGGAGCAGGAAATTCAAATTCTGCTAGGAGGAAGGTCTGAGAAGAAAGATGATCTAGGTCAGTTTCGAGATCTGACTGTGTGATGAGGAGCGCACGTGCTTAGTCTTTTCGAATTAGGGACTTCGCAGTGGCAACCATGGATTCTGGAGGCTCCGAAAGGCTGGCAGGCACCTCAAGGGGAATCCGTTGAAGACGATGATGTGTCATTTTCCACGTTCTCTATTAGTCGTCCAACGTCTGTTGCTCGCCGGTCACGGGTGCCCTCAAGTATATGTCTGAGTCGGAATGACAATGGGTGCTGGTGAAGGATCTGATCTGGCCTTGTGTTGTTGTGATTGCACATCTACCTCCACAATTACAGGTTTTTGTATGACACACCATCATCTCGATGGGAGCAAGGACTGGTGGGATTGAAGGTTGACGGCTCTCTGTATAGCGAATCGATAACAACGCTCGCGAACAGGTAGCCATAAGCACTAAAAAGAGCAACCCTACGGAGAGTCGAATGTCTTGTCGAATAATGTCTATTTCATCGTGCTTTTGTGATTACAGATAGCACGAACACTGCAGGTAGGATGGCAATCTTCAATTTCGCGAGGCTTTCGAGAAGTACCTGCGCTATACTTGGAGTATTCTACTTGGAGTTTTGTCCACTGCTTTCGATGATGCTTAATTCCGCCTACTTCATCACTCCTCTTTCATTGCACCAGAACTACTTTTGAAACCGGTTTGATCTATACAAAGATCCTGGCTTTCATAGGGGGCATAGGAGAATTTCCTGACTGCTTTATTGCTGTTCGATGTGCGCTCTTCGCTTGCTGTACCTCTAGAGTGGACGGACTTCTGACGCAGCACAAGTCCGCCCTTTGTATGTGGTGCCGCCCTGGCCGTTCGTAGAAGTTYGGGTGTGCTGGGTGTTGAGAGTTCCGCGTGAAATGCCAGAAGTCCTGATCTTAGCCCGTTCCTCTCGCCGGACAGGCAGGATGAGTTGGCCAACTGGAATTGCTTGTGACACGCTTGCAACCGCAGCATTCAATTCCGTGATAGCCGCCAGGTAGGGTTGATCAGCTTTCCTTCCTCCGAGCTGCAGATTTGTTCTCGCTGCTGCGGCAATGTAACAGTGACTCTTCATACCTTTGCTGAAGTGTCGTATGATCTATACCATGCATCTGTAGTCGGCGCTGAAGGGCCATGCGTCTCCATTCTCTCCGATAGCCGGCTCTTCAGCAGTGCAAAGGCTGTAGCATCAATAGCTTCAYGCTGCAAGCGACGCTGCCGGGTTTTGGAAACACCCGCGACATCAGCCTCGCTAGGCGTGATCGTACCAAGAGAACCTTTTGTTCTCAGATCATTGAAAAGGGCGCCACAACTTCCTCGACTGGCATTTCCTTCTATTTCCTGCTGGAAAACCGTGGCGCAAGTGCTGTGATATAGTCGAACCAGCGATATTCTCACCTCGACGCTCTGAATGCGTGCGCTCTGGTCGCGGGACAACAAAAGTGGAGGATCCCGGGACAGGCCATGTTTGCTCGAGTGAAATTGAGGAAGTCAGAGTGACAAACTTGCTTAAATGACCGCCTCCACCGCATCATCAACTCAACCAAAACAACAACACACGCGCTCGACATGTCGGACCATTCGGACCAGCCCTTTGACCCCAATGCGGGCATGTTCCTCGCGCCGGTCGAAAACGAAAACACCTTCGCGAAAACACCCGCCAACGTGACCAATGACTTCATCGAGGAGGCCAGACAGAACGCCGCCACTGCAGCAGCCGCAGAGTTGTCGGAGGTCATGTCCGAGGCCAGCATGGATCGAATGCAAGACAACAAGATCCCGCACTCGATTCCACCCAGTTCCACCGCCGTAGCAGCTACCACTCTCAAGAAGCGGAAGCGCATCACCATATTCAGAGTCACCAACGCGGACGAGCAGCCTGGAGCCCAAGCGAGTTCAGCGGTGACGACAACGCCGGCTGCCAATGCCAGCGAGGCACCTTTCAGCAGCCCAAACGCTCTTCCTCCCACTAAGAAGCGGAAGCGTAACTCCACCAAGAAGCAGATGAATGCGCGTGTCATTCCGCGCAGCCTAGATGAGTGCGACGATGCTGACAAAGAGCTCATCACGATGCGTGAGGCCGGACATGAGTGGAAGGCCATTCGCGCTCGATGGGCAGAAATGACGGGCGAGACGACCGCCACCTCGACTCTGCCCAATCGCTATTCGCGACTCAAGTACGTGTCAACGATCCCTAGATGCTTCCACTCCAGAGAGCTGACTTAATCGTAGGTCAAACTTCACTGTGATCAAAGAGGAAGACAACGGCCTTCTGATTGCCGCCAAGCGTGACGTCGAGGAGTCCTTTGAGAACCAAAAGTGGAATCTCATCTCTCGAGTGGTCGCCGAGAAGGGAGGGGAGACCTATGCCGCTATCGTGTTGAAGCGGCAGTACAAGAATCTCATGGTCAACGCAGGAGCCGTTCCTCCTCCTGGTGTTCTCGATCCGGACTTTACAGTCGAGCTGCCAGAGTCGGATGGCGAGTAGCTGTCCTCACATTGATACAGGATTTTGTTTATGGCGTGCAGGAAATCTTGTCGTGTGCACTCTCCAATGAAGGCTGAAGTCCGGCTGGCACAAATGACCTCTTCGACTGATAACAGATGAAGGCGGTTCCTGGACACCCTTACGAGCTGTACTTAAGAAWATTGAGATTATTGAACGTATGACGAGGAATTGATTCAGAGGAAATCAGATACTAGGGGAGTTGCTTGAATGAAAAACTGCTTACAGAACGTCTGACCTACTATGCTTTCAAGGCAGAACATGGCGAGAAAACCAGCCTAGCTTTCTGCGCTTTCAGGAAATTGTTTCCCAGAATATCTCAGCACGAGATTCCGCTGTGCTCGTGCGTACCATCACTTTAAGCTGAGCTTTGCCCAGGTTGTAACAGTGAACACGGTCGGCCAGTCAATTTGACCAGTAGGCGCAACGCCATGACATGAACCTTCCGGTCTCATCAGCGTCTAGTATCCCGAGAGCTGCCATTGCCGCCCCGACGAGGATCCTCTTCGTAATGGCGACGATCGCCGCGATCGCGCCTGTCATCGAAGCGCCGATCTCCAGTCCGGTCGTCGTAGCGGCGGTCGTCGTAGCGTCTGTCGCGATCGCGCTCCCTCAGACGAAGACGCTCTCGCTCGGCATCGCGCTCCCGGGTCCTCAGTCGCTCACGTTCAATCGCAAGCGGCACTCGTGGAGGCTCGCGCTCCGGACGTGCACTTCTTCGATCGTCGAACTCTCTTGAGCGTGAGTCGCGTCCCCGATCTGGCCTGTCTGGTAGGCTGTGTCGCTCAGTACGCTCCATAGATGTGTGACGTGGGTCTGGCACGTGGATTTCTTCTTCGTACTCCTCCCACTCCTCGACGTAGTAGCGATTCACCTCAGCCTTCTCATCAACGGCTCTCTGGGGATTCAACATGAACCGTAGCGTACCTCCATCCTCGGGTGTAGCCTGGTGTGATCTAGCTGATGTACTCTGTTGCGGAGCCTGCGAGCCTGGCTGGGGTGGAGAGACTGGTGTAGGGTGGCCGTTAGCCACCCGTAACGTGCTTCCACTTCCACTTCCATTGGCGTTATCTGGCGATGGTGGAGGCTGCACGGTTGTGTATCTAGGAAGATGGGCCTCGGAGCACTCTTTGTTGAGTGCCAGGCGTATACGGAGGAAGTCGTCCAGAGAATATTTCGGGCCAAGGATGGTGGAGTTCGTGTGGTGAGTGTAAAGATCCAGGGCATCAAGCAGCGTCTCCATGACCTCTTCCCGAGTTGTGAACCACGTGCCGAGATTGAGCGCTTGCAAGTCATCGCGAACGGTGCAGGTGTTGTTTTCAGATGTTGCAGCCATGAAATGGGCCGATAGCTCCAGGCTCGCCAACGACAGCGTGGCGCTTGTCTGCTTCAGCGGCGCAAAGGTGCGATGCAAATCGGTCATGATGGTCCAGGCCAGTTGTGCAACACCCTTCAGGTCCTCGCTAGGTGGAAGGCTCTTGCTGATCTTAACTAAAGTCTGATGGGGCGACCGGCTGCGAAAGTCGAAGGCACCACTCTCAAGCACCAATCTCTCAACGCCGACAACTGCGCGGCTGGGCAGATCAAACATGGGATCGTCCGCACCGACCTGCTCGTGGGTAGAGGCTTGCTTGAGGTTGTAGGCAGCTGCAAGAATGTCCTTGCTTTTCTTGAGCGTGTCTTCATTCTTGCAACTTGTGATCAGACTCGCGGCCGCGGCATCGGACCAGCTGTATTCGCTCGTAGGATGTGCCAGGCGGAACTTGTGGTAGTAGACGCACGCAGTTGTGTACGTCTTGATGGGCAGCTGCAGTGCGCGGCGGACATTATCCAGCCAAGTGACTCCCTGCAACCGAAAGCCATCTTCGCGGGCTTCTGCGATGCTGCGTTCCTGAGCGTCCAGACCGAGTGGTTGTAGACGCTTTTCGATCGCCGACTGTGTGATGTAAGGCGCCGACACGCGAATGGTCGATGGATGCGGTCCAGTAATCTTTGACTCGCCGGTCGTCATTGTGATGTCCGCAGTGCCCATGACATCTGGAGGGGCAATGGTGATGTTGGGAATCTGGTCGGTGTTCGCTAAAGCACCAGGAGCTGGCGTCGTTGCTGGCGGGTCGACCCGAGCTTCACCGACCTCACTTGTCGCCAGGAAACCATTCTTCAAGCGCCATGCATTGACGGCGGTCATTGAACTTGCCATTCTGTCCGTCTCAGTAGGCAGCTGGCTGTTGGTGCTACTGGCTGGTCTCAGACTGGCCTTGTCGGCCTCCGTCTTGTTGATGATCCGGATCTCAGACTCGTTACGCATCAGGCCGCCCACCTTCGATCCGGCACTGTGCTTGCGTGGTCGCTCTCGAGGCCTGGAGAAAGCTGGCTTCTTCTGGTCTGGTGGCGCCAGAAGCGCCGTCGCCGCATTGTGCGGCAGCCCCTTGGCGTCTTTCGCCCGGTTTGTTGCGTCTCTGACCATGGTGGCCAGGTATTCTCGCTCGACGAGCGAGAGCGACTCTCCCCCGCAATCTCTCGGCATGTGGCCCATGGTGCCGCACCGGCAGCACAGAGGCTCTCCCCAGACCTGCGGGTTTAGATACGTCTGAACGGTAAAGGGATGGTAGAATGCAACTCACGAATTCATAGGCCGTTTGGCCATTTACAAACCCATTGGTCGACTGCGAGAAGTCTCGCAACGCCCGATCTCCCGCCGCCATCCTGTCTGCCTGCCCGCCGTGTGCACAAAGGGGGATTTCTTACTCACTGGTTTGATCTCCGTTCCGCTGCGCTCGCTGGTGGTGTCGCCGTGTGGTGGCGTGGTGTGGTGGTGCAAAGGGCGGAGGATGATGTTGCTGTCCGAATGAGAAAAGCCGTGTGCGGCGCGGGAGGCGGGCGGTGGGCGCGTAGCGGGGCTGCGCAGCGTTTGTTGTGCACTGTTTGCGTATGACTCCTCTTATCGCTATCTCTACTCCTCCAAGATGACCTCAGAGCCCGCAACAGCTTCGACTCGCAGGACTCGGATGATCGCCTTGCCAACATGACCTGAAAAGTGTCCGTCGAAAAGGTCCATACGGTGGAGACGATACAGGAGAGCACGTTTCTGCAATGCCAAGCGGGTGTCACATGCAGAGCATGCCTCGTCACCAGAATCTTGGAGCCAGGGGTTTGCGAGCAATTGTCACCTTCAGTTGAGTGCAGAGAACATCTCCTTTTTCTGAGAAATTTACGAGCTGCTAGCATCAAATCACTCAGTTGAATTCTGTACAGAGCGTGTGAGTCTTCGTGTAGCCGGCAGGTCTGTTACTTTTTACGACACAACCAAGTGAAGGAATTCGAGCGCTCAGTCTACCTCGGCGATGTATGTTTTCCTGATTCTTAGACGACCTCCAGAAACCAGAAACTCCTTTGTTACATTTAAGGCATAATGCTGTTTGCGAAGTTGCAGAGTGTGGGCAGCCATGGAGGTAGATCGGCCCAAGGAAGTCTTCTTCATAAGGTATCTAGCCACTTCATTCAATTGCGCGTCAAGGAGGAGTCCAACGGAAACAGGAAGCGCTTCCGCTCAAAGGCGAGGCTGACACTCTTCGAACATGCAGGAGATATCTCCGTCAAGCGGCAAGCATCTAGAACTGAACAGGATGTCACTGTGGCGTGCGAATCACGCATAGCCTCAATAACCGCAAGGTCATAGAGACTGACCCAGGCTCAGGACACTGAACAGATGCGATGACAGCACTGGGAGTTTTCTGGCTCCACTAGAGCCTTGGTCTTGACTTCGATATTTGAACATGCGGAGGTGTCCTTCGATGACCAAAGTTCACTTCTACTCATAGTATGCCAGCACATCTGAGGAACAGCTGATAAGTCTGTGATTGCGAGCAAAGTCCACATGTTCTGAGACAGAATGAATGACCTATGCTTGATTCGTCACTCGACGGCGACACGTTCATAACGGGGCTGCGAAACTGTCTTTCCGTCGCTGCAATGCATTGCTGAGTAAAACGAACTCGAATAAAGCCCCCTGGACATGTGGCTCGAGACCGGAGTACAACATGCTATCTGTCGTGCACTTTGCATCATTCGCTGTGATGGCATCCATCAAACTTACCGCCACTTCTCGCTGACACAACAACCGCTGGCTTGTAAAAGTAATCCCAGAAGACTCGCACCGCTAGTGGGAGCTTGACCATGCCACTTGCCGCGATCACAGACCAGCTCAATGTTTATGTATCAACGATGCGGCACACGTGGAGCGAAATTGAGCACAATGTATTGACATGAGTGAACGCCGTTCGCTTTGAATCGGTATGTGGTCGAACAGAATTATTCTCGACTCAAGTCATGCGTACCGCCAAAGGTCAGGGATGCCATGAGATGCCCCCTACCGGTTCAGAGCCTTCATTCTTCGATACTTACAGTCATGTTGTACAGCATGTACTTAAGTAGCAAGGATCCGGGATCAAAATAGGTACCCAGCACCAGCAGTATAGCCACTGTCTAGCGTTCCCAAGCTTAGAGCTTGTGAGCTTGCAGTCAGGGGACAGCGCATGTTTCGAAATATTACTACTCCATGAGCGGCTCACCACTCAATCGCAGTGCAACTCCGGTATTAGCGGATGACTGCCTGGAATTGTACTTTGCGTCCTGATCGAAAGGTAGTGGAAGTCAACCAGTCCAGAGACGGCAGCACGTCCCGTCAAGGCACGTTCACTTCAGTTGCGCTTCTTCCCTCCAAGGGCCCTTCTTTTCTGCACGTTCATCCTCCACCTCTCCCAACCAGCATCTTCCAAGCTCTCACTCACTACCAGATCCCTCATCCTTGCCCATTGTACCAACGGTAGTTCCAACAACCACTCCACCAAGCCACACTGCCTTGCAATGCTCGTAACCACAAACCAGGCAATCGCGCAAGAAACGCCTGCTATGCTGCCTACATAGACCTGTTTGGGGGTGTGATAGTTCAAGTAGATCCGACTTTGAGCTACAGCGACAGCGCCTCCAATGGAGAGGACAGCCAAGCCCAGACGCTGCCATAGAGGTGTCGGAGCGTGGGTAGAGGAAGCGTGTGGATGGTTGTGCGGATCGTGACGGAGAAGGAGGAAGAGAGAGAGGTATGCTGCGAAGAAAGCGACAAATTGAGCGTGCGAAGAGGGCATCCCATAGCCTTTGCCTAGCATTTCTGTAGATATACATCAGCCTCCGCCCTTCAAAGCTCGATGTGAGATTATCCAAGACATACGCGTCGGTCTCTCCTCTTTGATGTACCGCTTCAATATCCAATTCAACGCCTCGCAGCCCATTTGGCCAGCGAACATGATCACGATCTCAATCTCGCGTGTACTCCATACCAACGCAACATATGTTATGACCAATGCCTGCGGAACGAGGGCAAGATGAGCGCAGAGCCACGAGATCGGGTCGGTGGGGTCATAGTGCACATGCGTGAGGGAGAGCGAAGCGAGCGGAGGTTTCTCCATGATTTGACTGGCATGTAACAGATGTTGGCCGAGCAGACGTCGTCATGGTTCGGTAGACAGCAACGAGTAGACTAAACCCTTTTCATCTACTAGTTCTGGTCGCTCCGCCAAGGATACCAGGATCATTCGTGACTTGCCTTTGAAGCTAGAGACGGAGCCATCCCAAGGCTGAAGACAACAACTCTAGATTCATCATCAGCGTCGACGTCTACCAAGACTCACGCGCTGACATAGGTTGTCGGCCGTGCAGAACCTGAACCTCGCCACCGGTTGAGTCATCACTATTTATTTGCCTCCTTCTCTTCGGGCTTTCTTCGTGAAGCAATGTCCTCCAACAACAAAGCTGAGACCTATCCAGACAGAAGACATTCTTGTCTTGTGCACTGACGTCCTTCGGTCAGCTGTCATCTGTCGGCATGGACGACGAGCGGCAAGAGGAACTGGAGACGCTTGCCGCCATCTATCCAGAACTTGTAATCGACCCAAGCGATGCCTTTTCCGCTACTTTGGAGCTACCGGTATCGCCAGCAAGTCCTCTGATAATCCGGTTCGCACTGCCCGATACCACACAAGAGAATGCTACCGCAGCTGATCCTCCACAAGTTGCGCGTGAACTGAGCTTCTCGCATTTGCCACCCTTCACCCTTCGCATATCTTTGCCATCGGAATATCCCAATGACGGCCCGCCTGTTGTCAGGTTGTCAACAAGAACACCATGGCTGCCAAGTAGCAAACTCAGCGAGCTAGAGTGTGAGGTCGTCAGTCTTTGGGAAGAATCTGGACGCTGTCAGATCCTCTTTGGCTACATCGACCACCTGCAGCAAGCGGCTGAACGAGGATTTGATCTGGAAGGGTGCTTGACTTTGCCAGCCGCGCAACAGTCTGATCTTGTCAACTTCGACAAGAAGACCGTCCAGGAACTCTTCAACGCCGAGACTTACGACTGCGGCATCTGTCTGGATCMAAAGAAGGGCATCAACTGTGTGTACTTCTCTCGATAGACTCATCGCGTTTGACGTAATCACTGACGATGATATCATTAGGCTATCGTATGAAGCTCTGCGGCCACGTCTTTTGCCGCGAGTGTCTTCAAGACGTCTACAATAATGGCATCAAAGAGGGTGATGTGTCCCAGATTAAGTGTTTGGAGCCCGGGTGTTCCTCAGAACGCATCGGYGCCGACGGTCAGAAGCGAAAGCGGAAGACGGAGCGTACTGTGCATCCACGCGAGCTCCTTGACATGGGTGTGGAAGAGGTAATGGTGAAGAGGTACCTCGAAATGAGACGCAAGAAGAAGCTCGAAGCGGACAAAACAACTGTATATTGTCCACGAAGTTGGTGCCAGGGACCCGCTAAGAGTGACAGATATCCTTTGATACCGTCAGACCTGGTCACTTACATCTCTACCATGGAGGTTGCGCTGGACCCGGAAAGCGAGGTGGAGGATGGTGTTGAGGAAGGCCAGTCCGAGTCAGAACCTACGAAGAACCCAGGAAACATTCCGCCCAACATCGCGGATCGTGTCGCAATCTGCGAGAAGTGTGATTTGGCATTTTGTAAAGTCTGTTACAAAAGCTGGCATGGTCCATTTGCTCGATGCCAGCCTCGGGATCCTACGGAGCTTTCTGTCGAAGAGAAAGCCACGTACGACTACATCCGCAAGTTCACCTCGCCTTGCGCCCACTGCAGTGCGCCGGTACAGAAGACCATGGGCTGCAACCACATGATATGCTTTAACTGTAAGACTCACTTCTGTTATTTATGTGGTTTCTGGATACCTGCGACCAATCCCTACAAGCACTTCAATGTTCCGGGTGGAACCTGCTATCAACGACTATGGGAGTTGGAGGAAGGCGACGATGGACAGGCGCCTGAAGACGGCAGAGGCTTTGGTGGAGCTAGGGCTGCTGAGATGGCTGCTGATGTKGCTAGAGAGGCGGATGAGGCTGAAGAGAGAGCCAGATTGCAGGCAGAAGCAGATGCCAGGGCATTGCCTGTTGCACCAGAGCCTCCCGCGCGTGGAGTGCCGCTTGCGGATTTTCAGGCGCAGATCAACCTTTTCGACGACGAGATTCCGGCTGTCGTTTTGCACGCTCCTGTAGGTCGTGCGGTGGAGCCTCAACAACAACAACAACAACAACCGCGAGGTGGTAGGAGGCAACACAATCCCTTTCCGGCCGCACGGATTCCAGGCCAGGGACCAGCGCAGGCTGTGAGGGATCATGAGCGTGGAGGCCGGGGAGGGCGGGCAAGAGACGCGCAGAGGCCTCCAGCCGCTCGTGCTGGAGATGAGCAGCGCGACGTTAACGATCGCCAGCAGATTCATCTGGCGAACTTTCTGGAGGCGGCCGGCAGGGATCGAGAAGATGACTGGAGCTCCGACGAGATGGGAGACGATGAGGACTTCTACATTCCTCTTCGATAGTCGCCACACTCAAGAGGCCTATTAAGAGGCCTACATGTCTCTCGTGAAAGGCTCCGGACTTGAGCGTGCATGAACTACAATGACCCAGGCGGCAGCGGCATCTACGCTGACCAGTTTTTGCCTTCAGAATCGCCTGTGGTGCCCCAGTCGATTGGACCTGCAAACTCATGTGAACTAATGAACACGAGCTCAGACTCTGACGATTCCCCTCTCTCGAATCTCATGCGAAGCCCTTCCACGGTGCTGTCCGCCTCCCTTCTATTTATCAAAGACCCGGCTTGGTTACGAGTTGAGCTCTCAACCATCGGAGAACTAAATCGAGGATTGTCGTGCCTCGCTGGGTGGAAACTGTATCCGAAGCCAAAATCAAACATCTTCCAACACACGACATACTTTACCTTCCTCCACATCACACTTTAACCGGGCATAGCCACAACACCGTCTTAATTGGGCATTTACGGTGACCAACTGACGCTGTCTACCCGCGACAAAATGGCTGGGTCGTTATCACCTCACGGCGTCCGCTCCTAAAGTGACCGCCAAACACTCAGCAAGATGACGAACAAATTTGAGGTGCCGACTCACAGGCGCCCGCACGATGGCCCGTCCAGTCACTATAAAGATGGTCACCGCTCTGTGTGGTGGATTGAAGAGGCTCGAAGATGCTAAGCAGCTTTTTGCTTCGTGCGAGGAGCGGGAACGACCAGGAAATGGATATTTTAGAGGCTGTCAGGGTTAGACGTGCCTCGAGGCATGGGTCGACATTTATGCGACACGAGCCTATGTATGACTTGCTATTGATCACGCGGGCCAGGGTGTAGCCAGAACCAGATTGTATCGTCTKCTATTCATACGATGTTCATGAATGAAAAGCATTGATCCAATTGATTCGTGACTCTCTAGGTGCTCAGCCTCTTTGGATGCGTAATTCATATCGTTGACCTTCGTAGTTCGTTCGTGCCACATATGCTACTGGAAGCGAAACGCAAGTAGCTGTAGATGATGTGTCTCCCCTCACGTCTCATGCCTAATCCCCCGCCAGGAGTCTTCATGAGACTTTCCTTATGCACGGCGTGTTTGTTTTGCTGGCATTACCGACAGCAGTGTGCAAGAACGGATTCTTCTCCGAGCCAGGCAAAGCCGACGACCCGAATGCTTTCCTCCCTCCAGGTGTAAAGCCATCATCGCCACCCTCAATGTCCAGCGTGAGGGGATCATTGCAGTAAACAGCGAGTAGTCGGTCCACAGTCGCACGTAGAGCTTCAGTGTGTGCCTGTAATGGCGTATCTGTGATGTACTTTCGAAATGCAAAGCACGTCCCTTTATACGCATGTGAATAGACCAGTTTGAACTCCTCGGCACTCTTCTTCTCCAACTCTAGCTCATCGGAAGGGAGTTCCTCAGCCGCAGATGGAACCATTGAGTTGGCTCTGGATTTCCGCGTTTTGGGCTGGACAATCCCATAGAGCCGCATGCCTGCGCTCACAACCTTGCAAATGAACTCTTTGTTGTTTTTCTCGACGGGCGACTCTTCGAATTTCATAGGAGCGTCCGACACACTCTGCAACCGTGAAAGTCCAGATCGTTTGGTATTTGCCGAGACTGATGGTTCACGTACGCTGCCGGGCCTGACAGAGGCGACACTCGATGATCGAGAAAGGGGTCGGTTTTGTAGAGGCACCGCTGACTGAGTGTTGCTGATAGATCTGCGATGGTTGAGGTTTGGGGGTGGCTCTTCTATCCTGGAAAGGGATGCAGCGGCAGCAGAGACTCCCCCGCCACCTTGCCTTCTCGCCTTCTTTTGCCGCTCTGTAGCTTCTTCGAACACCTCGTTCGCGCTTTTGCGCTTTCTCACCGGCGGTCGATTGATGACTTCGGTTGCTTCAATGGGATGTGGTATTTTCAAGGGTAGAAATGTTGCTTCAAAGCATTTCCCTTCAAGTCCAGGCGAAGGGGGTGGCGTTGGCTCATGGAGGTAAAAATCCGAGCATATAGGTAGAGCATGAACTCGGAGCTGGGGTTGAATCTCCTGTGAGTCTTCGGCATCTGCTGGGGAAGAGTGTGGAGGGGTGAGAGGGCGTCCGGTGCCTGACAATGGTTGAGCGGCTGCGAAGAAGAGCACTTCTGTTACTCGCGGTGTCGAAGCTTTAGCTGACCCGGGCTTTGCCATAACCTCTGGCTGATCAACAGCAGCCAGGACTCCGAGTGGCGACTCTGTTCTTGCATTCTGCCACCATGGCGTATTGCGCGGCTCATCATTCCCAAGCAAAATGGTCGAGAACCAGCGCGCCGTCTCCTCTTGGGAGGTTACGACATCATATGGCTTGCCGACGCTGAGGTATAGAGGTATGCGATCGACTTCAACTATAGATAGAAATCTTAATGATGCTGTGAACGGAATACATGGTGCTGCCGCTTCAGCGGTGAGTGTGATATCTGAGCGCGTGTTAGCATGAAGTGCTCGAGCTTTACAAGTTGTTGAACCGACCATGCAAGACTTGCTGTTCGTTCAGCGCAAGGCCGCCACGCCATTGGGATACCATTGATGATATGGGTTGAGAATGTGTATTGATGGTGTGCTACCACAACAATTGTGCAGCCGAGCTTCTAGAGTTTGGGGAGACGCGCCGACGCGTTGGTAGGCTAAGCCTTATCGGAGACGCCCGCGCGGCCCGAGACGCTTACTTGTAATAGCCGTCGGAACGAAAATGGTCTGTGCATTCGAGACTGGCCCGGTTGGCTCCAATCCAGCGGATGGACAACACCCTTCTCTCCAGGAATTACAGTCGAGCAGCAATGTCTGTCAAGAGATTGTGCAGTAATGTCGCGATTGTCGCGAAACAAAATTCGTTTGTGCGCAACTTCTCCGTATTCCATGCTCATTTCGAGAAGCCTCTACCTCCACGAATGGTGATCCCCGAAACCGATCTCATTGAGTCTTTCCTCAAAGGAAGCGGGCCCGGCGGACAGAAGATCAACAAGACTTCATCGGCCGTACAGCTCAAACACATCCCAACTGGTATTGTGGTAAAGAGTCAGGAAACCCGTAGCCGCGAGCAGAATCGCAGGACGGCAAGAAGGATTCTGGGGGAGAAACTGGAAGATATCGAAAAGGGGCCGCAAAGTCGCACGGCAATCAAAACCGAAAGGGCTCGGAAGAAGAAGGCGAGCGCGGACAAAAAGGCACGGCGAAAGTACCGCAAGCTGGAAGAGGGCAAGGCCGCCGACGGAGAGGAAGATCAACGGGATCCAGACGGGCTGGGGGAGAGTGACGGCATCGCTGAAGAGGAGTCGATTCAGCACCTCAAGCCAGAGCAAGTGAATGTGAAGGAGGTTCGTGAGTGATCTGATGCTCATATGTGCCTGGTATATGTCCTAGAAACACTCGTTCCAAGGCGCCCCCTCCCATGGCATGGCAGTCGAGGAGCATCCATATGGATTCAAAGCTTGCGTGAAGACCGAGGCGGCATCCCTGTCGGCAGGAACTGTCTCGCGCTTTCCGACTTTGGTTGCAGAGGGCTCCTTCCAGGCAAAATAGCTCAAAGGACGTTGTTTGCCCTCATTCACTTTTAAGTTCCCAGGTCAGCCGACCTCAAGACATCACTTGTCTCCGACACTCYCACAGCGACACCTGCATTCGCCGCTTCGTAACATCCGGATTGTCCACCCAAATCCAAACACAACTTGCAACAATGTCCGACATCACTGGACTGCGTGCGCAGATTCTTGGTAAATGCTCTACTGCTTACTTCTGGAGAAAGCTCATACCGCTAACACCGGTCAAGCAAACGCCGAAATGATGGTCGTCCGCCCTCCTGGATCCACCGCTCCCACAACTCTGCCATTGCTGAACTCCATCGCCACGGTGGTGTCTCCGTCCAACTCGAGCGCAATTCCCACCCCGAAGAATGACAAGCTTGATGTCGTAATTTTTGGTGGAGGTAGCGAATACACCGCGGCCGTCATGCTAGGCATCACTCCTGCCGTTGAGGGTGCCTCGGGAGCCACTCCGGAGGCTGCTCTTCGCAAGCTCCTGCTAGCCACTTGCGAGCTCCTGGATAGCTTCATGTAAGTTACTGAAGGGCAGAAGATTTACAGGGAAGTTCGGAGATGTCTCTCCAGCTACACCGTGTCTCTGTCTAAGTTTCGGTGTTTGAGATTCCGCTAACCATTATATCCTTCACTTTGCAGGCCAAAGGTAGGTCTCGCATATTTCACAATGAAACATTTCAAAACTGACTGTACGTTCCCCAGCTCRGTAGTCACCAGCGCAACATCCATGGCGGAGGAGTATTCGACGAGGACACCATCTCGATCGAGCTCATGCGCGCCCAGAAGAAGGCCCCGTAGAAAGGACCTGATCTCTTTTGAAATCTGGACTTTGAAGGGTGGAAGGGTGATATTCTGATAGCGGATTATCACCGATGAAGGTCACGTCTTGCTCCTGCTGGGCGCGGTGCCAAGTACCTGAGAAGTCCCTGAAATGAGAAATGGGTTGGTTCACGAAGTCTTCTTCACCTGCGAGTACTCATTATGTATGAAGCAGAAACACAAATGCGCCTACCAATGCTGCCAGTCTCTCCGACTATAATATGCTCTCTGACTTGATCATGAGTCCTGTCATTACTCGTTACTCGTCCTCGTCCGCTTGGCTCTGGTCCCTCGACTGCGGGGGCGTGAGACCGTCACCCCAGTCCAGCTTCTCATCGTCATCGTCCGTCTTCAAGCCATGAGCCTGAGCCTCCTTCATGATGGGCGCCACACTCTGCTCCCTAGGCTCCGGAATCTTCTCCGGCTCCAGATTCCACTTCTGTACGCAGAGAATGACATCCACGGCCAACTGCCCATTGTTGCAAAGTGCACTCTGCCAATGCCTTGGCATACCTTCACCCGTCACAAGCATACGTGCGACACAAGACACCAGCAGCTGTCGCATTGGAGACTCAACATCAGAGTTGGAGTAGATGTATTGCACACGTCGTAAGCTCGGCCAGGTGTCGGTCTCGTGATAATAGGTGCGTACGGCATCCAAGACCTCCAGCATGAGTTTCTTAATCTCCCACTTCTCTGCCATGAGGTACACATCCAACAACGGTGAGAGATCTTCTTCCGTTCGTGGTGTGGGTATCCGCTCTGAGTATAGCCATCCTACGAATAGCTTGAAGGGCTCATCCTCCTCGTCTGGTAAACCATACACGCTTTCCTTCTTCCCAGTCTTCCTCCAGAAAATGTTTCGGAAGAAGCGGCTTCGGTAGCAGAGTAGTTTCTCGTGCAAAATCCAATGTGTGTTCTCAGTACCAACATAAATGTCGACCATGTCTCTCGAGAGGAGTCTGCAAATCATTGTCAGCATTGCTCGTCCAGGATCATGCTTGATTAGCGACGTACTCATGAAGAGGCCGGTCACCGGAGTCAAAGGCCATGATTGCTGGTTGGATCGTTATGCCGTGTTGGGAAAGGTCGTATGCTGTAGCTTTTCGGTACGAAAAAGTTGAGGCTTGCGGTGTGGGATCGCGAATCAGGTATGTTCCGCAACGATCAGGGAAATGCGCTTCTTACATGCAGACAATTCCAGTCCTGAAGGRGGCTGGAATGTGAGTGGAACCGGTTCGTTCATTGCCAACTTCCCCGTAATTTTACGTCATTTGCTGCAAGTTCGCTACAACCCCTGCTTGTGCAACATGAACCAGTTGTGGATCCCGGGTAGTCGTGCATCAAAGATTGATTGATGCTGTCGTCTGTTTATCAACCTCAGGGCTGAATGGCAGTCCAATCAAAAGGGCTCAGATCATCCACAAATGAGAACTCGTCGAGATTGACTGGGTTCCCGGCATCTAAAAAGGTCGAAAAGACGTCGTCCATGCCATCGAAAAGATTGAGCCCGTCGTCCGCTCCAGTTGATTGCTGCTCGGTGCCAATGGGAGGGTCAGCCGTTGCTACTTCAATCTCGGTATCGACAACATTTGATCTCCTGTCTATCAATGTTTCTGGCCTTGCCAAGGATGCAGCGCATATTCCGGGGCTATTACCACCAGCTTCAGCATTTCTGCCAATGCGCAAGTTGGACAGATCGCTCGACTTATTCAGCTCGTCGAGCACTTTCTTCGCAATGATKGCAATTAGGTCTGCAGACGACCAGGTTCTCCTCAACTTCTGGAGGACTTGATAGCAAGACCTGAAATCAGAGCGAGCATCTTCTTGTTGATGTTGTAGCTGGGACTGTCGTAAGTGCTGGTAGGACACTGACAATGCCAAAGATATCGCATAGGGGAGTAGCGGCACTGGCAAGATTGAAGGCAACATGTCCGAGCCCATCAAACGATGAATCTCAATTGCACAGAGACTTTGCCGGACGTACGATGGAGTCGCACGTTGGATATGCTTCACGCCTCGGGAGCGATGGGAAAGTACGGCGACCAGCAGGTAGAATAGATGGAGTGTGGCGAGTATGTCTTGCGGAACCTGCCATCCTCTGGCCTCATTTACGGCGTCTTCAAAGCTCGGAAACCCTTCCTCCCAGCCGGTTACATCCATCGCCGTGCCAGGTCGGTAGTACGAAATAAGCTTGTTGAGCGTTTTTCCCAGAAAGAGCCAAATATCAAAGGCTGGAAATCCACTCTCGCCCGGAGCAAATGGCTCGATGGCGATATCGATGTCTGCCATCATAAGAGGTCTTCCGTATATACAGCTATTCAGGCGGTCCAGGCTCCACAGGCACCAGAATAAGCGTTTCGTGGCAAGGTCACCATCTGATGCCTGTCCAGCCTGCTGGCCGAGATGCCATCCAGAGGTCTGAGTATAGTGCATAGCTTGGGTGAGACACAAGGTAGCCTCCTCACCTCCATCTGGTCCTTCAGCATGGAGGGATGCCAAAGCTAATATTCTGATTAGAGTAATCTTTTCGAAACGTTTGGGCCATCGCAAAGCTTCCATGACGGATGCATGGATTTTGCTGCAAAACTCGCGCGGCGCGAGAGTCTCGGTCGCTTCTGCAAGTTTGAGGTGTGGTTCGGCTTCTGCATCTTTGGCAGCGACGAGACAAATGGCATGCAATAAAGCTTCTGGCACCTTTCCGGACGCATGGTCTCTCCTGAAATCATCCTCCTCCAGCACGGGCAGCACAGGGTGGAGTCGTCRGAAGTATATGTCAATCAGTGGATCTATCGCGGTAGCATGAGGCCGCTGGTTTGGAGAGTCGGCCGAGTGCTCGGGATCAAGGGAAGTGTTATGTTTCTGGCATAGAGTGTCCCATTCTCGCCGATCGACCCAAATGCCAACATCGCTTGGTTGCYTGCTTTCGATTGGAATGGCTGGTCGTGAGTGATGTAGCAAAGCTGTTCCAGGGTTCATGTCGGATATGAAAACTCGTTGCTTTGGCGCTGGAGATCGTACCCGATCTCGACGCTGGGGCTTTGCTTTGGTTTTCTCATTGGATGTTGGACTTGTATCAGTCTCTTTTCCCGAATCATCGTCTTCGCCTGCAGTCGCCCCCTTGGAGCCACTCGAGCTTGCAAAGTGCATGCATCTTTTCTGCAACGATGTGGTCAGCGAGGTTGTGTGTTGACATGCGAGAGATGCTGACTTTTCGGGATCGACAAGTCTCGCACGCCTTGGCCAAACGTCTGCGTTTCGGAGCACTATCCCCGTACTGATTTACAAAGGTGAGCTCCAACGCCATCTTCACATGTTGTTGTTGCGGTGATTATGGTTCGGCATTCACCTGAATATTGATGCAACTTTAGCCGGCATTTTGATTATAAATAGGACCCCACCGGCTCGGTTACTCGGCTTGGACAACGCCCCATGTTGCCCATCTCCCGTTCCTTCGACATCAGAACGCAATCATTTTGGAAGCTGCCAACTTTGAAGCCCACCCTTTTCTGTAATCACGGCAGATTTTTTCTCTATAAAGAATTGRGATGGCGTCGAAGAACATATTGATCTTTGGCTCCACTGGACTGATAGGGACTCGCATCACGAATGCCATCGTGGCTAACAAAGCTCATTGGGACAGTGTCTCCATCTTCACATCGAAAGAAACAGTCGCCTCCAAGTCAGAGAGGATTGAAGAGCTCAAACGTCAGGGCGTCCGTGTCATAACTGGAGACTTTACTTCTGAGTCGGATGTAAATGAAGCTTACAAAGGCATTGATACTGTCGTATCTTGTGTGGGAAGGCCTGTGATTGACAAGCAACTGCTGCTGATCCAGCTTGCAGACAAGCATCCAGATGTGAAGCGTGTAAGTCTTGTCTGATGGTACCCACGAATGGCTGTTGTTGTTGCTAAGATGGTGTCAGTTTTTGCCTTCGGAATATGGGACGGACATTGAGTACTGGGAGAGTTCTGCCAACGAGAAGCCTCATCAGCTGAAGCTCAAAGTCCGAGCCCTGTTTAAGGAGGTCACAAACCTTGACTACACCTACGTTGTAACCGGCCCTTACGGAGACGCAGACGGTGGACTATATCTTGGTGCAAGAAAGCCCGAAGAAGAAGCCGTTGGATGTTTTGATGTCAAGCGTAAACGTGCGGTTGTCATCGGCGACGGCAACGGCAAGATTTCTCTCTCGACGATGAGAGATGTAGGCAAGTTTGTTGTTGGAGCCTTGCTTCACCCCGARGAGTCTCGAAACAAAGCTCTACATGTCAACTCTTTTACGACTACAGAAAATGAGCTGGTAACGGAGTTTGAGAAGCAAACCGGTGGACAGAAATGGGACGTTGGCTATACTAGTCTGGCAAAGCTGAGGGAGCTTGAGGAAGAGGCCTACAAGAATGGAAATCCCAAGGCAGGCGGTATAACTCTGAGACGTATCTGGGCCTCTGGTGGGACGCTATACGATCAGAGAGACAACCATCTCATCGGTTTGGAAGAGGGTATTGACGATCTGCAGAGCGCTGTCCAGTTGTCGATCAGCGTGCAGGAAGGAAGTTCCAAGTAGTATGTGAATCTGCATACAGAATATGTTTCACATGCATCACAATACCGAATCTCATACTCACATAAGTTAATCAAGAAATCTGTCGTGTCCTGCGCTCGTGTAATGGGGCTCCGCCAAGACGCCAAGCCACTAGTGCCGTGGGTGAATCCAAAAAGTTCGAAAATGCGGTGAAGTTTCGGGAATTGTTCCAGCGAGCAATACATCAGCTATATGTACCAAACTTTGGATCCTTGCAGCATGACAACACCTGGGCGTCTGGCGCAGCTGGTAGGATTCTCTGGCATCCCTGTGTACCATAACAGTATGCTAATACATGTTACAGGTAGCGCGCATCCTTAGCAAGCATGCGAGCTGATAACTCTGTATTCTATCTTGGATGAGGTCGTGAGTTCGAGTCTTACGTCGTCCATATTCTTTTGCCCTTCCTCTGCTCGTTCTGAGGCTGTGGTATTGTTTGTTTTTGCTCTGGAATGTGTGGGCGGATTTTCCAACTTTTTGCTCTTGCATGTGATTGTGCGTTTTGCCTAGCGTTGTTTGGAATGCGGCCAGGCCTAGATTTTATTGCCGCAGCTGACGGAAGATGTACTTGGGAGGTTTTGTTGCAAGTCGTGGTAAGATATGCCATTACTGATCGCTACCTAGTCGGACGAGTGTGGGCTTCGAAACGCATCTACTACTTCTTACAGCATGCATGCTGATGTCTGCTGTGATATGACACTGGTAGAAGAAACTCGAGAAAGACATGAGCAAGCCAAGTACATTGGTGTTGTAAGGATTCATGGATTGAGTAGGTATTTGCATGATTTCGTCATGCCGGATGTAGACTAGGCAACGGCACGCAACAACTATCTGTATACGCTCTCCAGGCTGGTGCTATTCGCCCATTGTGCTTCAGCAAGGCATCTTCCATGCCGAGCTTTTTGCTGCAATCGACTATCGTTTGATCTTCCACCTGGATGGCGGGGTTTCTCCTCCGGGCAGAGGCTCAACGGCCATTTGAGGCCGAGATTTGTCCACACTCAATGTGGCATGGTTGGGGCAACATGGCACATAGTCGATGGAGTTTCACATGCCTGTGACACTGTGAAGTGTCGCTAAAAGCCTCACCATTCTCATCTCCTGGTATGTACTTGGCAAAGAGCGTCCTCGTGGCCAGTGATGACTTCGATAGCAATGCAAACTTCGCCTTACAACACTTCCAAAACCAGGCCAGTGATCTCATCAAACTGCGTCCGCCCAGCCATACCGCTCTGCAACCCCACTCCCAACACAAGAAGCCGCTCTTCATGAGGCCGCTTCATGAGAATGGCACTGGCAATAGTGGTGGCTATAGTCTGACCAATGACTTCTTCATCACGCTTAGTGCCGCCGAGAACGGTAGTCGCAGTCAAGTGGCTCATTGGCAGCAGGTTATTTTCTGAATCGTAGCTCGAAACTGGTCCAGAGCTCATGGGGTCCGCCGAAGCTGTGGAGAGCGGAACGTGAACCCAGTGTGCTAGCTTGCCAGCTTGAGATATTGTGATGAAGATCTTGTCGGAGAAAATGGTGGACGAGACTTCAGTGAGTGTATCTTCAATGAGACCCGATGCTGACTTTGAAGGCGCCGGGAAAGGAGAAGGATAGACATCTGCTTGGGGTGCTGCAGTGGTGGCCATGATGTTTATTGAAGGCTCTTTGGCAGTGTATGCGTRGTGAGCGATTCGATCGTTGCAGCACAAGTACAAGTGTAAGCTCTCGATGCTCGGCCTTTCTTGAAGTAGCTTGGCGCTGGGTGTATTCCTTGTTGATCAAGTTCGAGACGTGCAGTTGATTCAATCTGGCGATTGGATTGCGAGATGGATCCACTCCTCGGGATCGGACCGAGATCCGGGCGATCTGCGAATCCGATTCCGAGCAGGGTCTCAAAAAAGTTGGAGCTGCAAACCGACGTCTTCCAATTCACATTACCATGCCACCAAAGTTTGTGCCTCGAGAGCGGAAGCATAGACGCTTGGAAAAGGTGAAGAGGAAGGATGGCGATCATGTTATTCCCAACTCGGAGTCGCATGTTCGCTCGACGGAGAGCGAAAAGGACGAGCGAAGGCGCAAGCTGAAGAGCGAGCTCACTGCTCATGCGCCGGACAACAAAGTGGTTGGCAAGAAGAAGAAGCGCTTGGACAAGTACATCGATACGAAACTCCGCAAGGATGAGAATATGGAAATTATCAAAAAGTTAGAGGCGCAAAAGGTGGACACCAGTTTGATGCACAGCTCGAAGAAGTTGGGACGAGTGCAGCTGCACAAAAAAGAGCAGCTGGAGCGGGCCTTGAGGGAGCGTGCGGCCGGTGTGGACGTCAATGGTAACCAAGATGCGATTCTGTTCGAGAGCAGGCCTCCTCGTGCAGAGCAAGAMATGCTGGAAGATATGGAAGATGGCGAGGACGACGAAGACGATGATAACCATGCACACGAGGACGGTAGCATGAAAGATCACACGGATACCACAACGACACAGCCCACGGCGACACAGCCCACGACGACACAGCCCACAAACGCGGTTCAAAATTCGTTCGGAAGCGGCTTGAAGCGCCCTTTGGAAACAGACGAATCTGGACAACCAGTCATCAAGAAGCGTAAGCGGCGAAAGCAAGAGGCCAAGGTTCGAAACCCGGTCTCGCGAGTGAAGGAGAACGGCAGAGGTGACGACTCGGAGGATGAGGATGACTCTGACGAGGAAGAAGAAGATGATGATGGGCAGGGAGAGGGTGAGGCAGGCGAGGACGAGTGGAATGGCTTTTCCGAAACAGACGAAGCTCTTGTAGGAGAAAGTGAGGACGGCAACTCTGCCATTTCCGGCACAGAAGACGAGGACAGCGGAGATGAGGAGGATGAGGATGATGAGGAAAGTGAGGACGACGGAGAGGATGCGGGAGAAAAGACAGCTCGCGTTTCTGCCTTCAAATCCTGGGCTGATTCACAACGCAATGCTTCGCTAGGCTTTACGCCTTCGGTTGCTCCAACGAACGACCGTACTATCAGAGCGGACTTCACCCCACGTGCGCCGTCACCGGATCCGGAAGCACTGAAACTCTCTACACAGCCCAGCAAGGACGCCTATCGACCGAACGCTGCTGTGATAGTTTCGCGTCCGGATGATGTGCAAGCTGCCCGGCTAGAGCTGCCAGTGGTTCAGGACGAACAGAAGATCATGGAGGCGATTCACAACAATCCTATAGTTGTTGTGTGTGGAGCCACAGGATCTGGAAAGACGACACAGCTTCCTCAAATGCTCCTCGAGAATGGGTATGCCTCCAAAGGCATGATTGGAATTACACAGCCTCGAAGGGTCGCTGCGGTATCGGTTGCGAGTCGTGTCTCGCACGAATTGGGCCCAGAGCATGGCAAAAGAGTAGCTCACCAGGTCCGGTACGACAGCACAGTAGCGAGAGACACCAACATCAAATTCATGACCGATGGTATCCTGCTGAGAGAAATTGGACAGGACTTTGCCCTGAGCAAATACAGCGCCATTGTCATTGATGAAGCGCACGAGCGCAGCGTCAACACTGACATTCTGATCGGCATGCTCTCTCGTATTGTACCGCTCCGGCAAGATTTAAGTCGAGAGAGCCCGGAGAAACACCACCCTCTCAAACTCATCATCATGAGTGCCACTTTGCGAGTCGCCGACTTCCTGGCGAATGACAGGCTATTCCGGGAGAACACACCACCCATCGTCCAAGCAGAAGGCCGACAGTATCATGTCACAGAACACTTTTCCCGAAAGACTCAAAGAGACTTTGTCGCAGAAACAGTCGCAAAGGTTTCGCGGGGACATCGCAAGCTACCACCCGGTGGAATTCTCGTGTTCTTGACAGGCCAGGATGAGATTCAGACCGTTGCGAAGAGGCTGCGAGAGACGTTCGCAGATAATAACACAGGCTTTGAGCTATCCCGACCCCGTGACAACCGCTCGCGAGACACGAAAAGTAACGATTACCTCGAGCGGGAAATGGACAATGACTCTGACTCTGAACCTGAAATCATCGGACTTGACGATGAGGAAGATGARGACGAGTTTGCTGTAGAGGCTGAGCCTGGAGTCCCTGTTGTGCGTGGGCCAATAAAGGCTCACGTCCTGCCATTGTACGCTGCGTTACCGACCAGTCAGCAAATGCGCGTTTTTCAACCCACTCCCGACGACTCGCGACTGATCGTCTTAGCTACTAACGTGGCGGAAACCTCGTTGACCATTCCCGGTATCAAATATGTCTTCGACTGTGGCCGAAGCAAGGAGAAGCATTACGACATCTCAACGGGCGTGCAGGAGTTTCGCATCGACTGGATCTCCAAAGCCAGTGCATCTCAGAGAATGGGTCGTGCTGGTCGAACAGGCCCTGGCCACTGCTATCGGCTCTACAGCTCGGCCATCTACGAACAATACTTTGAAGAGCATACTCTGCCAGAAATTTTGAGAACCCCCATTGAAGGAACAGTCTTGCAGCTCAAAAATATGGAGGTTGACAATGTAGTCAACTTTCCATTTCCAACTCCACCTCAAAGTGCACAGCTTTCGCAAGCCGAGCGGCTGCTGAGAAATCTCGGAGCGATTGATACCAGAGCAGGCAAGATTACCGACATTGGCAAGAAGCTGATCAACTATCCTGTTAATCCTCGATTCGGTAAGATGCTATTGCTAGGCCTTGAGAACGGAGTTCTTGCTCATACGATTGCACTTGTCGCTGGGCTGGCGGTAGGTGATCTGTTTATCCCGGAACCGCAGATCGCTTCGAGGAATGATGAAGATCGCAATGGAGACTCGAGCGACGATGAGTACAAGGCACACAGATTTGCCGATAACGCTGCATTCACTGCCGCGCARCAGCGTCGACAGGCATACGGTCGTGCCAATAAAAAGCTGTCTCAATGGGACAGTCAATCCGACGCCATTAAACTGCTCACTGCGGTGGCTGCGCATGCACAAGAAGGCAATGATCCGGCATTCTGCACAGAGTACTTCCTCCGCGAGAAAGGCATGGTCGAGGTTCAACAGCTGCGTCGCCAGCTACACAATATCATGCAGGCTCACGTCAAGAACGGCCAAGATGCCATCTTCAACAATGATCTTCCCCCGCCCACGACCAAACAAATTGCCGTTCTGAAGCAGATTGTCGCTGCGGGCTACATTGATCAGATCGCCATTCGCGCAGACCTACTGCCTAATGTAGTCCCCGGAAGGAATCCTCGGCGAGCAATCGAAGTGCCATACCGCACGCTTCTATCGACAGTCAACGAGACAGATCGGGAGGCGACCATCGAGGAACAGGAACAAGCAAAGAACGTCTACAYGCATTCCGGCAGCGTCCTCTCTCGACTCTCAACGCACGAGATGCCTGCGTATGCAGTCTACTCAAGTCTCAGCCGTGCTTCCGCAAATGCGGTGGGAGAGAAGCAGAAGAGAACTCGCATGCATGCTTTGGCCACGGTGGGACCCAAGCAACTCGCTGCTCTTGCCGAAGGAACACCGCTCTTGGAGATTGGGAAGCCGATTGGTAAGATTGTGGAGAGAGATGCTGGGAAGAGACAGGAATGCTGGGTTGGTGTTGCGCTGCGAGATCCTGCTGCTGTCGGGACGAATGGCTGGCCGCTTGGTGCTTGGAAAGTGGTTCAGGTGAGAAAGGGCAAGGAATGGAGTATTGAAAAGGTCATTGATCGGGGTGGTAAAGCAGCCTAGTGGATTGATTATTGCCTGTAGGAATTGCACAAATGTCACGAATGAACAAATTCAAGAACGCTATGTATGACAGACAAGTTGTAACGATGTGATGAGACGCTCTTCTTAGCGTTCTTGATCTCTGAAATCAACTAGGATCCCTGATCTGAGTACCATATTGAATTCGACGGGTCTGACGCTATCAGACACATTACTTAGTAAAATTATAATCAAGCCAATGGATCTGGGCTTACGACTCAACATCCATGCCGCCATACTCAGCGACTAGTTGTAGCAGGTTTAGGGCAGATGAACGAACCTTTGATGACACTGGGAAAGCCCTAGATCCCTAGTTAGGTGAGAGTGGTGTGAGAACGACGCGGGTGTCCTTGTAGGGCTTGGTGTGGAAGTCAATCAATACACAAGGATTCGCATTCACTAATGCTAGGTATCACGACATTTTCATCTCCATCTCACAACGGCGTGGAAATCCATTGCTTCGTTACTGGATCCAGCAAATCCTTCTCAGCAACTTGCCATTCCCTCCTAATGACCTCTGCTCGTTCCTTTGATCGTGGCGTAATCTTCGCTGGAAATTCAACTGGCATGCATACGAAACCTTGCGTCAGCTCATCGGGATTTGGGATTATCTGGTTGCCCTTTGCGTCCACGACAGGCTCGATGTTGAATGCCCACAGCATTCGTGCGATTCCTAGAAGCAAGCTACGTTCGGCGACGTGCATTCCTGGACAGATGCGTCGTCCGGCACCGAATGTGAACATGTCACGCTTGGCGCCGTCTGGATTGGAAGCGGAATCGTATAGACCGAGATGATCATCTTTGTAACGAGTGGGATCGAACTTTCGACCGTTGGGTGCTCTGTTAGGGTGGTGGTTGATTGTCCAAACATTGTTCATTACTCCCGCGCCAGCAGGTATGATGAAGCCTTTGTAGGTATCAGCGTTGGTGGCGGCGTGTGGGACCGCACCAAGAATGGTCGTAGGCATCCAGCGAAGAGTCTCTTTCATCAACATGCGAACAATGGGTATGTTTGGCATGTCATCCATCGTAGGTAAGCGCGAAGTYCCCACCACGTTATCGATCATTTCTTGGGCGTGGCGTTGCACGGTAGGGTAGAGAAGCATAGCCTGGACAAATGCGTAAAGGGTGCTTGACGTGGTGTCCGACCCAGCTTCGAGCAGGGTCCCGCTCACGTAGGCAGCTTGTGCATCACTGAAGCCATCTTTCGTCTGTGATTCCGCCATACCGACGCAAAAGCAACGGTTGATGGTTCCATCTTTGATCTCCTGTTTTGCTCTCAGCCAGTGCTTAAGGTACAGCTCTCGTTCGACGTTGTGGAGCTCTCTGGCCTTCGCCTTCGTTGGTATCAAAGCATCCGGCAGCTTCCTTAGCCATGGGAAGAAGTCTATCRAGGCAGCAGTTCCAGTCTGGTTGATCACAGCAAATTCAGAGAAGCCATCGAAGAGTTGCTTGATGTTCTCATCCTCGTATGTAGGTGTCCGCCAGCCAAAGACCATAGACGTGGTGAGTGCATTGCTGTATCGCCGGATGTGCTCCAAGAACTTGTCAGGCGTGTCCAGCAAGTCATTCAACATTTGCTTGTTTTCCAGTATCTGATAGGGAACGTATTCGTTGGCAACATTCTGGTTCAAGAGCAGGTGAAACATCTTGCGCATGCTACGCCATTTGGCGCCGTAATGCTACAATGTGTGTAAGTATACAGCAAACATGTGACTGAAGTATGCATACCATCATAAGCACCCGAAGGTTGCCGGAGCAAAGCTCCATGCCGATGTACAGCTCAGGACGATCAGAAAAGTTGCTACTTCTCTTGTCGRGCAGTTCCTTGACAGCTTCGTCGCTCGAGAGCACAATCAGAGTCTTCGTGCCCAACATCAAGCTGTATATATCGCCATACTCTTGTGCCCATTTCTCAAATTGCAGGTGTGCGTCTTTGGTTGGCATCTGCAGGATGTGAGCTGGCGTACGGGATAGATAAGCTACCATCTCCTCACCAGATGGATGTTGCCCAGGATTGGAATTGTAGGCGGGCCAGGCGGATATCCTTTGGGTCGTCTTCCTATCGACAAAAGTCGATACAGGCCATAGATCAACAAAGCTCCCAGAGCCGCAAGGCCTGGTGATATGTGCATCATTGTGAAGAGATCGTGTGAAGGAGGAAGAAAGATGTAGGGCAATAGAGGAGACCACCGCGATCAATATATACACGAAGTCCGGGAGCAGGTTCGAGCCGCTGCTCCTGTCCGGGCTTCAACGGCTCGCCGAAGGAGGTACTTCCTACACGGCCAGCGAGCAGCATTCTGAACCTTTTGAATAGGACTAATCTATTCCTAGTATTAGTAGCCAATGATGTTCGTGCTGACCACGTTACTTCAACAGCAAGTAGAGTATTGGCGGATGCGGAGGTGGGAGCGGCGGACGGGGAGGTGGGAGAGGCGGAGCGGTGGTGGGCGTGGGCATGTCGATCACTTGCCGTCGATCATGTATCCTTGTACCGCCAGCTGTTTGGCAACTATGTCAAGATCCTCTGAAAGTCGGTAATGAGTTCATTTACTTGACGCATGCTCGTCTCGTCGTATTTGCCCAGTATATCATCTTTCACTTGTGCGTCGTCCGTCGCAGGCTCGTCGCCGATTGTCCTGTTGGCCTCAATCTGGCTGCTGATAGCAACACGGTCAACCATGAGTTTTGCAAGCATCCAGTATTCATCTGCTGAGCGATAAAACCCGATGCGCTGCCATAAACTACCAAAAGCCTGGTCGTCTGTTGATCGTGGCTGATGTCTTTGGAGGACAGCGTAAATCTGCACGTACTTCTGCCAAGTTGTTACCCAGTTCTCCAGTCCAGTCCGAATTGGTGTCATTTGGTCGTCATATCCAAAGACTTGCTGAGACTGAAATATCATTGAATGTAATGCTTTGTGCTGGTCAGTGCCCAACTTTCCATCCTTGCGTGAAGATCAATTACCTGAAGTCAAGACGAAAAGGTTCAATGAACCGACGTCTGCCAAACTTTTGCTGCTCTCCTCACTCAAGCGCTGCCTGCACATCATCTCGCAGTACGAGGTCAGTACGATTTGAGTGTTGGTCGTGCTGCTCAGTAATAGCTGAAAACAGGCCTCACGGGTCAGGGCCTGGAATGCACCTTCGTTGAGTGCAAGATGCGTACGCATTTCTTTAATGGCCATTCTMGGCGGGTGGTTATTGAAAATTACAAAAGCAGTGTCGAGGAGGAATATCCAGAGCAAGGTCCGAATGAGCTCTTCCCGTACGACATACTCGTGCCAGTCGAAGGAAGGAAATGTCTTCGGGCTATAGATTGGGTGTCTCGCGTGGGCGATACCAATGTCGCGAGCTACCTGTAGTCTTGTAAGCATTTCTCAATCCTACTCAAAAGGAAGACCTACCGCTATAACGGTACTATATCGAAAACTGCGGATGCGCCGCTTACTGCTGTCCGTACCTTGCCAGTTCTGGAAAAGGCATACAATGTACGAGGCCTGCAGAGCTTGTATCCTACTCTTGGGCGGAAAAGCGGACTCTCTACTACCATCGTAGTAGAACTCATCGTCCCGAAAGACTGCTTCCTCTACGCAACAGAACCACGCTTCTGCACTGGATCTGTCATGCTCTTCGGATGACACGGATGCGCCGATAACTGCCATGGCTGCCAGCAACACTGGCCTTGCAGAGCCAATGTTAAAGGTTGGCCGGTGGAGAAACGGTATGTTTGGAGACCATATCGTCCAGTAAAGTTCGACAAACAAGGAGAGCTTAGTAGGAGAGAAGAAAGCGGCACATTCTTCTTGCACTGCAGCAGACCATGACTGCGTCACAACACTATTGCGCGGCTTGACGGTGATGACTTCCTGAATCAAGCTCACAATCTCGCTGCATTGTGCGGCTACCGGACTTTCAGCATCAAAGCGGCAGCCAAGGTGCTTCGCTGCAGCTAGGTCTCGAACGGCAATTCTCTCTGTCTCGGTACAGCAATCGAAGGAGGCCACTAAGCCTTCGTTTCTTGTGAATCTCTCCAGAAACTGCAAGGCGACCCGACGCTGACCATACGACATTGGTTCGATTGGCCAATCAGGACCATTCCACGAGCCAGGCGGGATCGCATAATCAAAGTCAGACCATGAATCTGCGAGATCTTGTTGAAAGTCTTCGGAGAGCAGATCCATGTATCCAAGCGTAGTCAAGTCCTGTGTCGGAGTATTGAGATGGTTGGCATCAACAGGCAGATGATCCATGGGCTTTGGGTTCTCCAACTGCTCGCCTGAACCGTAACTACAATTCTTCTGCCTCCTTTGACAGTTCAAGCACGGCTGCAAAGAGTTGCACGCTTTCTTGCTGCGGACACATTGGTCACATGCGGATCTCGATGAGGAGCTGCCTTTCAGCATCGAACCAGTGCATGTCCTCTCGTGTCGGCGAAGGAGATCAGAGCGTCGGAAGGAAGCCTGACAGAGAGCACATCTGTGCGGTCGTGCTGACAGATGGGATGCTTGATGGCGTTTCAAATGCTCCGGTCTTCTATACTCCTTTCTGCATTGCGAGCATGAGTATTTCGCCTGGTCTTCGGAACCAACTGCGGCCGCGGTGGCTTCCATCAGCTAGTAGCAGAGCGGGGAGGTATCGATATCGACAGGAGACACAATGTGAGCACGACACGTACATGATYATCTCAGAGGGATATGCAATGGAGATGAGATGACCGCTGCATTGATGGCGTACATGGTCTGGCCACGGCGGCAGCGGGAACATCCGAGGTACTGCCGGCTGTGAAATATTTGATGGGACCGTGCGCCTGAATTGAACGGCAAGGAACAACAATGCATTTGGTGAAGAAACTAGGTACCACCAGAAACAGGAAGCCTCTAGTTAATCTCTGCAAGGCTGCTTCTTCTTGTGCTTACAGACACCTGTTCACTCGCGATGTTGTTGATTTAGTACGAGGAGATCTTTGGATTTCACCGGCCCTTGCTTATTCACTGATCAGCATCAGCATCATCTTCATGTCAATTTCATCAATTTTAGAGTGCTAGAGCCCATGGAAATAAGCCGTGCCAGATCTCAACCATCCTTTGCTCTTGAACCTCAAAAGCTTTTCCGCATGTCTCTCGCGCAGGCTTTCGTTGCACGTTCTCTTGAGTCACTGCAGAGAGCTTCAGATCTCACCCTGCTCGTAAGCCTCACATCTAGCGATGTGCGGCTCTGCAGTCTTGAGCGTCTTGATGGCCGCCTCGACCGCGGTCTTGATCTTCTCCACAGCCACTGGTGATATCACCCTCCTCCTTGACCTCATCCTTCTGAAAGTGATTGTCAAAGTACGTGGCGATCTTGCCGTATCCGGTCTCGATAATGCCGTTGCACTTCTCAGACCACGTCTTCAGATACGCCGTGAGATCCTCCTTGGCAAGCTGACCGACGGTGAGGAAAATGCTCTTCTCGCCGCTTTCGCCTCGAAACTTGTTCAAGATCACCTCGACGCGGGCTGCTCCAATGGTAGGCTTCTTCGCCCGACGCTTACGCTTGCCACCAGTGCTGTTCTTCGGTGGAGATGGGAGATCCTTGGGAATGTGAGTCTTGGCTGAGAGTAGCGTAGCCGCCTTGTAGGTGTCTCCCATGCCCTTTGCGAAGTAGCTCCCATCCACATCAAGAGTCGCAGCATGGCGACACTGATCGATCTTGACCTTCAACTCGTCAAGCTCATCCACAATCTGCTCGGCGATCTCGATGGCCGTGCCGTTGACGAAGCTGAGGAACGGTCCAAGTACACTGCCCTGCGCATCTTTCGAATAGCGAATGTCGCCGCACAGTCCCTGGAAAAGATCCTGGACATCATGTGAGAAGACCCTCTTGATATCTTCGAGGTCACTGTTGAGCTTGTTAAAGGCCGGATGGWGTTTGTTGGCTGAGATCTCAACGAGGTCGCGGTTCCATCTCATGTCGCCGTGGGTCTTGTGGGTCTCCCACTCCCCACCCCTAGCACAGAAGCCTTTGAATGTACCCGCGTTCATTTCCGCCCATCGGGACAACTGGGACTGTGCCTCATCTCGCCACTCGGGAAGGTTATTCGTTATGGTTCCAGTAACCTGCTTCTCGAACGCCTGGATGATCGAGGCGATGAGGACTGCGACCGGCTGAGTGTGCTTGTGAAGGACCCTGTCGACAATCTTGCGGACCTCAGTGATTCTCTCAAGCTTGGACTTGGTCAGAATACCAGTGACACCGTTCAAGATGTTTGGAAGCTGGTTCGTGACAATTTGTTTGAGAGTTTGCAGCTTCCCTATAGTCGGGATGGCGAGAAGCACTTGGCGTAGCTGTGGGATCCCGGTGGCCTGCAGATCGAGGAACGGCGCTTCTTTTGGATCGGAGTCCTTCGGATCGTAGCCCTTGACGTGGAGCTGGTATTGCGTGTTGGAGATGAAGCTGACGGGAAGATCAGGGGTGTCCTTCGACTTGTCGATCGCCTTGAGTCTGCCTTTCAAATTGTTTTGGATGTCGCGGCAACGAATCTCGATCGTGGCTTGTTTTACCGCTGCTGCTGCCTTCGCTTTAGATGAGAGCAAAAAATCCAACCGCCCGTCCATGGCCTCAAATTTGGCACTGTCGACGCCCTTCGCCTGCTTCTTGGCAGCTTCAGTTTCCTTGATCTCGGAGAGAATTCTCCTGTGCTTCGTTTCTACCCTCTCCAAAGAAGCCTTGCCCTCCGCATCCAAGTCTTCCAAGTCCAGAGGCTTCATCTCATCGATCGAAGTGACAACCAGACGGATGTTGTTGGTTCTGCCAAGAGCGACACACTCGCGTAGAAGCTGGTCCAGCGGTGAATTTTGATCGATGCGCTTGTATGTGAGGAAGATAAGAATGGTGCCTGCAACCTTCAGGTATCGCATCGTGTTCTGAACGACAGCCAAGTTCTGGTCATTGAAGCCGGGAGTGTCTGCCAGGATCACGCCGCGGTTGAGGACGGGAATGTTCTGGTGTACCACGACCTTGCGAATGATGGGCCAGGGTGAGCCTTTCTTGACTTTGGATCCTCGGCCCTTGGGTGGACGGCACACACGCTTGAAGACGTCCTGGAGTTCCAACTCGCTGTTTACATCGTAGCGCTCCTCGCCATCGTTGCTCACCTCCCGAGTGGCGAGAAACTCCTTCACAAAGCCGTAAATCTTTGTGCAAACCGTGTCCATCTCCTCTTCGCCGTTGTCACTGAAAAACTCCTCCGCAGACTCGTCATTTTAAAACTCTTCCCTGTGCGACAGAAGATGGGTGAAGAAGCACAGTGCAGTCTGGAATTTCTGCTTAAGTGCGCTCTCACTGCCTTCAGAATGCTCGCCAGAATCTTCAAAGATCGCCTCGTTCATGTCGCCGTAATGCGTGATAATTTGTCTGTTAATATCTTGCTGGGAGTAGTAGGTTGCGACGACGCGAAATGTCGAAATCTGGTCGGGCATGGCAGATTGGTACTCGTGCACGAGATATGTACCTCGATCATCTCCATCATGCTCGAAAGCCACCTTCTTCTGGCTCATGATCGAGTTGATCGCACTGGACTTTCCGCTACCGGCTGGACCAAGTGCTGCGACAGAGCCTGGCTTCTTGTATCTGTCGGATGGGATCCGACAGTCAGCAAGGCCAGAAGGCCCGCATACAGTCTCCATCGCCTCATTGTAGTATCCGGCAAGCTTGGCTTCGGTATAGGTTTGTAGAACATGTTCTACAACCTTCGTGACGGTTTCCTCTGCTAGGATGAAATCAGGAAAGTAGGATCCGCAGGCCGGCAGCCTCTCCTTGCTGGCATCGTATCTGGGGACACGGCCATCCTTATCCAGTAAAGACTTGCCGCTCTCCGATGGAGAATCGGCGGAAGTGAGTTTGAAGGCATCCTCCACCGGCTTATTTGCAGCGAGATCAGGATGTCTCTCGGACGCATCCTGGCCTACGAAGAGTGAGTCTGGCTCTGGAGAGACGATCCGGCTGGGCTTTACATCCTCACTGCTCGGGGATTGCGCACTCGTTGTCGAGCTAGCATCAGACATGCTGCGTAAGTGAGAGTACGGTGACAAGGTCGTGCGAGCGATTGGGTGAGAAGCGAGGATGATTCGTTGTTATGAGAAGCGACGATGTGTTTTGGCGACAAGCGGTGATGTGTCGATAGAGTTGGAAGAAAGTGAAATGGGTAGTCGAAGTGCAGGCCAAAGTCTTGTGGTGAGTGAGCTCAGCGCTTTTCACATCGAATAGCTAGCTCTGGAACAGCTTCGAAGGCGCCACAGAAAGAGATGTGACGGACTAGCGGTAGGCGGAATGCCAATCTTTCTGAAGAAGCAGGAAGAAGAGCGGAGTGATTGGCGAAGTAGAGCTGATCGATGGAGAGATGGTTGATGAGAAGATGGTTGACGCAGAGTTGGTCAAGCGTTCGGCTTGTGACAGTCCACGCAGCAACTTCACAAGTGGCACACACGCCGCCTTGTCGTGTATGCGGTGCACGATTCGCAGCGCGTCGCGGATGCGCTGCGATCGATGATGCTGCGTTAGCACAGTACGATGTTATGCAGGCAACTCAATGGCCAAGGAAGAGAGTTGCGGGAAGAAGGCGTTGTTGACGATGTTGGTGTAGTCGAAGACGTTGTTGAAGGTGAAGAGAAACAGGAGGTGATGATCGCAGCGGTGATTGGAGTAGTCAGAGTCGTGGTCAAGTCGCGGCGGCAGTCGATGCCTGACGGCAATGTGAATGAACCTCGCTTAGTCTGTGAATGAACGCAGCGGCGTCACAGAACTACTACTAGTCAACTTGTTTGTGCGCAGAGGATGTTTCGATGCGTGGTCGCTTCACAACAGGGGACGATACTGCTCGATTGTGCGTACATCAAGAGCCGTCGCCTACCTGCTGTGAGTCGTCAATCTCCGAGACGGGCGGGTCTGCAAAGGGAGATGTTCGCGTTGTGATGAGAAGATCTGTAGCTCGTGAGAGATCAAACCATGACCCAGGGAACAGTAGATTGCAGCCCCGAGGGATGGAGAAATTGAAAGTCGCTGGCTCTCCTAGTAGTCAATCGGCGACCATGCTCGCGAAAGGGTAGCTACGGTAACCAAAATGGGCTGTCTCGCAGAGAGTCAAGTGCCCTACTGAGAATAATATCCTCTTGGTCGTGTTGCCGCTTTTGCAGAGAATCCAACATCGTTAATCGCGGCAAGTAGTGCCCGCAACCTCAAGCATCGGCAACAGCAAGGGGCGCCTAGTTCGGAAACATGGGAAGGGCAATCCAGAAGAGCGCGGAACCGCGTAAAATCGTAAATGTTCTCAGGACAGTCCTGAGCAACCACTCCCATTCTCATTATTCGCTAAATTTCCATCATCAATCATGTCAGCGCAAGGGTCCATCCTAAGACAGCAGCAAACGCCAAAGCCCGCCAGACAGGCATTCCGGCACCAGCAGCAGCATTAACATAATACACCGCTCCCAAATAGCTGCACGTGACCCCATTGGAGCTTCTCACCCCGTAGCCGGCCTCCAGTCCTCGCCCGCGATATGGACATACAAATCCAATGGACGCAGGACAGCTCTGCATAAGACTATAGCAGAGATCTTCGCAAGGCAAGACTTCCTTATACGGCCCCGGTTTGATTATCTCGTCGATTTGCTGATTACGGGACCGGTTTGTGGCAAAGCTCGACATGTAGGTCTGGTCGAATGCATTGCTACCTTGGATGGAAGGCGCATTAGGCATGGCGACGTAGCGGGAGTTGAGAAACTCCGAATCCAGCATCGAATCATTGTTGTAAAATGGCTGACCAACATTGCGGATTTGCAGATAGTCTGCGTCATTTGTGAAGTCCTGACATCGAGGAATTGAAACAGCGCAAAGCCATTCTTTGTACGCTGCTGCGCAATCATTGCAAGTCTTCGCAAGCGAGTACTGTGCATCGGCTGTCGTATTGCAAGGAATCTGGGCCAGGGTCCAGTTGAATGGTGCCCACCACGTGGTAGTGTAGTTCTCGTAAAAGGATTGCAGTTCCTCGAACGTGGCCATTGTGTTCGGATTGGCGGGTACAGCGTATGCTACCTCATCGCAGAACGTCATGTTATAAAGAAGCTGGCAGTTGCCGTCAGACTTCGTTGTGAAGGATACTGGCTGCCAGACCTTGCCGCCGCCGCCAACCACGCCATCCCCGTAATCAGTTGAATTGCCCCTCATGGCCAGAAATCCACGATATTCACTGGAGCTATTGAGGTTGGTGACAAGGAACTGCTCTTTGGGCTTCTTCCCGAGGCCACGCGTGATCATGCCCATCTGCACGTGCGTCTCCTGGCCAAGTAAATCTTCTCGACTTGCTTCGATCTGGTCGTTGGCTTTAACAAAGGTATCAAGGCCGCAGTAGGAATTCTCCATGCCCCATAGACCAGTGAGATTTGTGTTCGCTGCAAACATGATAAAGGGTGCGGTGAGATTCATCCACTGCTGGTAGACTGTGTCCGATGGCTCGGATATGGTGAGGTTGTCAGTCACTAAGAGCGCAGAGTTGTGATCTGTGTCAACGAGGAACAGAAAGGCGTCCGAGGTCTCAACAGAGTGGAAGTAGCCATCGATCGAAGCCGCTAGCGAATAGGTCCAAAAGCCTGTGAAGCCTTCTGGCAGCTCCGGTGCAGACACAGCCAGACGCCAATCACCAGTCGCTCCCACCACTGAAGCATTAGCGAATCCGCCATTGAATGGCTGGATCGTTTGAGAGATGTTGCCCGCGCCCGGCCCAAGGTCGGTGTTGTTCTCTTTCGTCGACACATACAGTGTCAATTGGGGCGGTGCTTCGATTTGAGGTCCCGTCCCGTTCCATGTTGGCTGTCGGCAGACGTTGGCCGATATGTAGATCGTCCTGTTCAGATCACCTTCCTGTCGCGTTTCCAAAACGTTGCCCATTTCGTTGCCCAGTTCGTTGCGCTTGCGCAAGTCGGCATGCCTCACGCTATCCAACCGTCTCTCCTCTAAATCGCTCGGCAGTCCATCGCCGCTCTCAGTGCGGTTTCCCTCCAGAAGAGTGCGAGGGTATTCCAAGATCGTTGTGTTCCCCGCAGCGACATCGTACTTTGTGTCCACGTTGTTGCCTCGAATCTGGGTCGGCTCCACGGCTCTCCTCTCGTAGGAATGATGTTGATGATCACCTTCATCCTCGCCCGTGTCTGATCTCTCATCGCTCTCCTCCAGTCCGACCAGGTCCTCTATTCTGTGCCAGTTGTGGTCTTCCCCGCTACTTCTCGGCAAGCCGCGGCCATCTAGAAACAATTCGGCCGCATATGCAAAGTGTGGACTTGACAAAGACCAGTACACGAACGCCAGAAGGGCGAGCGCGGTCACAGACGCAAAGAGGCGGGCCTGCAGAGGCGTCAACTTTGGGCATTGAGGAAGCATGTTGTCAGAGGAGCGGCGCAGGGGCGCCGGGCGCCGCGATTATTCTTGGTTCTCCAGCTTAGCGAAAGTATTGCGCAATACAGGTGCGTGGGGGGGTTTCAAGTAGGGGGAGGAGGAATATCGTTTGGGCTCGGAGGTGTAGTTATGTTTTGGTCGTCGTGTAGTCCGGAGAAATAGGTGGGTACCTTACGCATTTCCGAACGTGACGCGCTCAGGGTAAAGTTTATCCCGAAATATCATTTGCGTGTGAGAAATACAATAGGCAGGACAACAACCTCATTGACTGGGTTTACGACCTGATCTTCGAGGAAACGATTACCATGGCATGGTAACAACGACGCATCGACCGTGAAAGGGTGCTCCAACGATTCTGTTGTTCTCGACTGCTATGTCTCGCTACCCCAACCCTAACCCTCAGGGGACTTATGGCGCGGACAGGCCACGGTATCTCCTATAAAGGAGAGGTATTCGACTACTCTGCGTCTCCCAGAGCGCCAGAAGACCAGATGTAGCCATAATCGCAGAATCGCCTTAAACTTAAATATTCGGACTCATGTTCCCTGTCAACGCACCGCCTGCCTTCTTCGGCGAAAGTACGAAGTTGCCAACCGGAGGAGGCTTCCTGGGCGGACTAGCCGATGAGGATGTGTCCGTGTCGTCCTCACTCGGTGCCTTGGCCCTCCAGTCTTCCGTTTCATCGAGCAAGCTCCTGAAGACCATCTCCCTGGCCTCAAGAAGCATGTCGCTAATGCAGCCAGCATCAGTTCTAGTGATGGCTCCGAAGCGCTTTTTGGGCTTCTTAGAAATCTCGTTGGAAAAGTACGCGTGCTCTTTAGCAATGAAGACCATGGAGTGGGAGTAGTACCAGTTTGGCAAGTAGTCGTTCGTCTGAGACTTGCACGACAAAAGGGGAACGTCCTCCACAAACGAGATGGCCTTTGTAATCATACGCTGAGCGCGTTCTTCATTCGCCTTGATGAAGCCCGTGATAGCTCCATGACCTATGTTAGTTCCGAGGAGGAAGACATGGGTGGCGTCGCTGAGCTCGACGTAGTTGTCCCACAGATACGTCAGAAGTTCAGATGCCTCCTTGATCCGTGCCTCGGTGCTCGCATTCTCTTGGTGATTATGGGCATCCGAATCGTCTGTGACATGTTTTGGAAGATTGATGTCGATGACGGCAAATTTGTGGCTCACTGCTTCTTGGATGTAGGTCTTCACGATATCAGTCTTCGATCATGTCAGCAATCTGTCTGCAGAAGCAGCAGAGATGTATTAGTGTCACTTACCACCCACGTGTTGTGCAGCTCGATCTTCCCTGTTCGAGGGTCAGGTGAGGCGATCATCTCAGGAGGATCATGAAGGATGACGAGGAGTGGCCGAGCGTCCATATAATTTGGTCTTTTCGTTGTCAGCACAATTCATCGCATTGACTGAAGCAAGGGTACCTACGTCGCGAGAACTTGTTGTTCAAACTCCTTTGCGAGCCGCTCCCGATTAATGAACAACGGATGCATAGAGTAGTCGTCGTACAAGGTCTCAGCTTGCCACTTCCGCACAACGTTGTGCATGCGCTCTCCATGCAGCGGTCCGGCCAACCTTGCGGATATGTCCTTTGGATACATCGACGCCCAAAACCTGCTCTGCTGACGCTGAACGAGCTTCACGTCATCCACGCCCGAATTGGTAGGAGTTAGACTTGAAAGTCGATCTGGTGGCTCTCCCATTAACGTACGACCAACAGCAAGAGCGGAGCGAGCAATAGAGTTGAGGTTGTATCCGCCTTCCAAACAGACGGCAATTTTGCCGTCGGCGAGCGACATCAGCATGTGTGTCATGTGCGCGTATCCAGCAGGCGTTACGTGGCAGCCTCCAAGCATGTCGCCCTCTGCAGCGTCGAAACCAGCCGCGATGATGACAAGATCTGGGTTGAACTCGGTCGCTATGGGCATAACAACCTGCTGGAAGGCGTATATGTAATCGGCGTCGCCCATGCMTCTTCTGCTCCATGGAATGWTGACGTTCGTGCCCAAACCTGCACCTTTCCCACAGTTGAGATGGTCTCCATAGACAGGTCGATCGTCTCGGTATGATCCCTCCGGATAGAATTTGCCCTTCATGTGTACATGTAGTGATATGTACAAGACGTTGGGATCGTCATAGTTGGCTTGCTGAATGCCATTGCCGTGATGTACATCCCAGTCCAAGATGAAGACCTTACGACATTGTGGGCCTGTATCTCCACGAAACTCCCTCTGGCATACCTTTGCGGCAATGCTCACATTGTCGTAGAAGCAAAATCCTTTGGCGTCCTCGCGCTCGGCATGATGTCCTGGAGGACGGATCACCGCGAATACGTTCTTCACTTTGCCTAGGAAGATGGCCCGGCACGCCTCAATGGCACCGCCTGCAGATAGCGCGGCGCAGTAAGGCGTGGTTGTGGACAGGTAGATCGAATCGTTGCTAACGTCCGGATGCTGTCGTTCAACCTTAAGCTGGTCACTGGTCTTACTGGCCAAGCTTTGCACCCAGTCCCAGTGTCGCTCGGAATGGACGAGAAGGACCTCCTCCTTTGTGACCTTGCGGGTGTCTATACGCCCCATGTAATAGGCTCCAGAAGATTCCGTCTCAGTTTGACTGCTCCAGACGAGGCCTCCGTTCACGAAAGCCTCAAAGATGGCATGGATGCGGCGCGGATCCTCCGGATGGAGATCATCTTCGGAAGGTTCGCTCTCCACATGGAATCGCATTCGAACGTCGTAGACAAGTCCGGTCTGGGAGGTCGAATATGGTAATGCAGCAAACTTTGCGGGCCTTGGTCCATCTTTGCGAACCAGCAGACCTTGGTCAGGCAGAGTCACTTCTCGCTTCAGTCCGCTTCCCTTAAGTGGGGCGACGGCGGCCTGGAAGGGCGGTCTTCCAATGGTACTAGGAACTGGGGATGGGTGCGTTCCAAGTCCAAGCTTGGCTCGACTATCAGCATCGTGAGCTTGGGGCTGAGTTTGAGTGATGCGCGAAGAGAATTCCGTCGTTTCTACCACGTCGCCATCGTGCATCAAAACGTCTTGATCCGTTGTAGGCTCCATGGCCGCGGCCGCAGAGGAGCGAAGGCCGCAGAGTTGCACCTCGTCACCGGCTCATTCCGCAAAGGCGAAGAGAACGTCTGTTTGTGGTTTGTGGCAAAAGCACCTGCACTATCACGTCAATATGTTTCAAGGTAATGTTTACTCTGCTTTGCGAGTTGAAATTCAAGAGCGTGGTGAAGCACTTGTAAGGATAGCGGGATTGTAACAGTTGTGGTTGACCATTGATTTGTGGAGGTGAATTGAAGCGAAGTGAAGTGAGGTGAGGTGAGGTGAGGTGAGCTGGCGGTGTTTGTCATTGGCTGTGATTGAGGGCGGTCGTTGTAGATTGAGCGCGAGGAAGGAACACACGGGCTGACTTACCGTATGATAGACACGCGTAGCCAGGTCAGCAACTCAGCGACAGGCAGCACTTGAGATGGTGTCACACTCGCGACCTAGCCAATCGATGGTGTTATCTCGCGCGGACGATTTAGTAGATGGGCTGCGGTCTGAGTCGATCGCGCGTAGTGCGGTAGTAGTAAGTTAATGGTAAATTCAGAGAGGACTAGAAGTTTTAACCGTATCTCATTGCACCGCCATTGGAAACACTTCAGCTTACGTAAAGCTAGCTTCGCGTCTTTGCAAACACAGGTACCTAGGTAAATCCTACTAGCTTTGATCTAATAAATGTCTCCAACATTTTCTATACGCCTATTCAAATGCATGTAATTCACAAGTAGATATCTACAGTTCCTTGCTTTGGAAATACGCCCGCTTCAAAATGCTACTTTTCGTACCTCCCATGCAATGAAAACCCCCCCTTTAACCCACAAAGCTTTTCTGCATCAAAGCAGCAGTCATCTTCAAAAGTGTCATCCACGTCCATATTGGCAGATTTCGTTGGTCGGGTGACAAGAACGCTTCGAAGATAATCAAGCAGCATGTCCCGTAGGTCCACTGGAACTATAATCCGTCGTAACAAAGGCCCGATCGATCTCATCAAGGCCCTCGCAACAATACTGTAGCGTCTCCGCAATATCATGCGACCTCGAAAGCTTCGTGTTGGGATCCAGAAGGATGTCAAATTCAGCCCAGACTCCGTCTCCCGCATGGTAGGCCGTCACGCTTTTAAAGCCCTGAACAACCGGACTKAAGCGGTAAGCAAGATACATGAGCTTCTTAGTGAGGTTGTCGTCCGCTGCTTCTCCTGAAAGTCGCGTGACATTCGCAAAGGAAGTGGATGCCCAGTCGTAGATGATATACAGAGAAAGCAGGCCAGCGCCGGCAGGGTCCAACCACCATACATCTGCGACGGAGCCGATCAGAGGAAACGCGAGGGTGAGGGTATTAAAGATGACATCCGTTTTGCAGTCCTGAGCTAAGGCTTGTACTTGTGTCGTCTTGATAGGAATACAGCCGAAGAATATAATGCCTTTGATGAGTATAGTGGCCCCCATGGCTCCGATAGCTACTGGCGGGAGAGACTCTGCTTTGCCCTTCAATGGCATTAGTTTCTCCACAGACTCCTGCAAGATTTGTGCAAAGGAGATGACCATGATGATAGAGAAGACCAGAATCCCCAGGGGCTCCAGACGTTGTCTTCCAACTGGAAAGCGTCGTTGTAGTGCGTTTAGTCTCCATGCCACCAGTTTGTTGGTAGTCCACACGATGAGCGTGCAAAGCAGATCCAGAGCAGAATCAACCAGTGATGCGATGAGCGATAGAGAACCGCTGCTGAACGCAGCCACGATCTTTCCAATCAGCAGAATAATGTTTGCAATGACGTTGATGTTAATCGCCCACTTCGCCTTCCAGGCAGCATTTGCCCGTTTATCCTGCTCCTCCTGAGGGAGCAGTTCTTGAATGTGACCTGCATGGTCTTGAAGGCCTCCATGACGCTCTGCAATACCATCTCTGTCAGGATCCGGATCCATAGATTCAAGGACATCATCAGCGACTGCCATCACAATGGCATCGACATGTAGCCAGTCATTAAGCCTCTCGTTCTGGTCCTCATAGAACTTCCGCACAGCTTTGTTCTTGATCTCCTTGAGCTCTTCATCACTTTTCCGGAAACACTCCAATTCATCTCTTTTGACATTGTCCAGCAAAGCCTTCTTCAGATCGTCTCGGTGTTTATCCTCCAAAGCTGTCCTCGCAGCATCCTTGAAACGCCAAATCCTGGGACGAGGTCTAGCATTTCCTTTGGCATCTGCATATCCGTTGCCATTACCGTTTGTCACCTCGTCGTRATAACTGTTTCCTCTCTCAAGATCTCTCCGACTGCCAGCACTTCGAGAGCTCCATGGTCTTGGTGTTTTGCTCGAGTGTTTGCGTACGGGGTCCACTCCGGCTGGAAGAGCTCTCTTTCCGACCATGTCTTCTCGTTATGACAGGGTAGACCTGGTTGGCAAGGGCGAGTCAGATCAGGGGATAGTTCGGTCAGGATGTCAAATGTAAGTTTGAACAGGGAACATCGCTGATGCTCGGGCTGAAACTGCTCGCGTCCTCCGCGGCCAGGTTTGTTTCTAGGACATGTCATCATTGGTGACGTGTTGGGCACGCGTCTGCTTCCGGCGTCCAAGTGCCACGTTAGAGGGCTCGGCCCGGGACAGGAAAATGGCGGCCTTTGAAAATGTACACCTGCAGTCGTGCCGGGATCCGCCCAAGCCTGATTGAAACGGCGGTCAGTCAGTTGTGTGAGGAAAGTTGAGTAATAGTGATTCCCAGCAACCGGAAGACGATGCGCCAGCTGGGCAGAGCAAGACTTAAAGACAATATATCCATCCTAAGGGCTGGTGAAATTGAAGATTGCCGCCTCTCGATGTGGTGAATCGACGACAACGCTCACGAACAGGTAGCTACAAGCACAAATAGCAGCAGGCTTGCGGAGAGTCAACTGTGGAGAATCGAATGTCTTACCGAATCATGTCTTCTTGTTCGTGCTGTGGTTTTTGCACACATACAATTTTTTGCCTGCTACAGGTAAGGGCGGCAACCTTCAATTTCATCAGCGCCTACGGATCCCTTGCAGCCTTCTTTCGCGTGCTCCATACGAGTTCCCCTGCCCAGACTCTGACTGTTCCTACCACTTTCAATGGATAAACACCGCTTCACACCATTTCAAAACCCACCACTCTCACCCTGACGGCGGAAATCACACGGCCGCTGCCCTCAAGGACATTACATCTGCTCTACGCTCTCGGATGCTCGCAGCGGTAGAGTCTGCCTGGTTGATAACAACTTTCACAACAACGCCGACAAAGCCCAGGTACCCGCCTCATCCACCAGAACCCTCTTTTTTCAAAGGGAGCATACACTGATTAATCTTTCAAAAACATCGTGATCCATTGTTAAACGCCTACCCACCAAGACCTATCGTGCTTCTTTTCAGCATCGACTGGAAAGCACCATCGCTAAAATCATTTCGTCGTGACCAATTACTCGCTCCATCATGACTTTAGAATCTTCTCCATCGCCTCGAGGAAGATGTCTGCATGCTTCTTCTGGAAGATGAGCATGGGTCGGAGACGTACAGCACGCTCGCCAGAGCCGCCGACGTTGATACCAACATTCTTCGCCTTCTTCAGCACCTCGTCACGGCGAGGGGAGTCCCACGCAATGAAGGTGCCCTGGCCCTTTCCACGGAGGTTGTTGATCTCACCGGGGTACTTCTTGGCGAGGTTCTCAAGGCCTCCGTAGAGGTATGCACCAGTCTCAGCGGTGTTCTCGACAAGGTTAAGGCGGGCGATCTCGTCAATGATGGCGCGGAAGAGTATGGCACGGGCTGGGTCGCCCATCCATGTCTGAGAAGAGTGTTAGCATCCTCAATTCTAACTCGAAGTAACTCCTAAACTTACGTTGAACTGGCGGTAAGGCTTGTTGGGCCTCAACTCGTTGTTGCCGAAGTAGTAGCCAGCGGTCTGAGCCTTCTTGGAGAAGGTGACCATGTCAGGTGGGTCCTGGAGGTTCCAGTGGTCGTGAGCCCAGAATTTGCCAGTGGCACCGACACCAGTCTGCACCTCATYGACGATGAAGAGAACGTCGTGCTTTCTTGTGATCTCACGAAGTCCCCTGAAGAAAGATGGACTGGCGTGGTTGTCGCCACCCTCGGACTGAATTGGCTCCACAACGACAGCAGCTGGAGGAGAGTGGAAGGTAGTGATAATCTCCTCAACCTCGGCCAAGCAGCGAGCCTCCTCACGAGCGTTCTCCTCAACGTGGTCCTCAAGAGGGTACTTGAGCGCTGGGAATGATGCCTGAGGCCAGTCGAATGCGGGAATGTCGAGCTTGTGAATTGGCTTGGAGCGGGTGGTGGAGAGAGAACCAAAGAGACGACCGTGGAACCCAGTCTTGAAGGACAAGATGGACATGTTGGGGGCACCAGGGCCTTGGTTGTTCATCGATGAGGTGATTTCCTCGTTAGTGAACTCAACGTCTGGGCCACCACGCTGCTGGCGACGCTTCCACATGAAAGCGGCCTTGTACGCAAGCTCGTTGGCATCTGATCCAGCTTGAGCGGTGAATACCTGATTGAGGCCCTTGGGGGCGACCTTCAAGATACCGGACTCCAAGATCTCCGCCCAGTCGTGCTGTGGGAAGTTTCCCAGAGCAGGTCTGTTGATAATGGCAGAGGCCATCTCTGGTGTGGTAGCCGCCGCGAGAAGGGCTGGGTTGCTATATCCGATAGGGATGGAAGCAATCTGAGCGTAGACATCAAGCAGAACGTTTCCGTCAAGATCCGCAATGTAGTTTCCGAAGCTGTTCTGGTAGTTTGCCATCATGTTCAGCGAGCGTGTGTCAAACACCTTGTCCAATGCAATGATCGCCTCTTTCGACTTTGGCCCGGGGATCTCAGTCCGAATAGTGGGAGCAATTGGCTCGTCTGGGAAGTAAGATTGCTCGACTGAGTCGGCGACATTCGACTTGAAAGCAGCGGCTGCGCTGGCGTTGCGTGTCGTGGTTTGGGATGCCATGGTACGACGAAGGGCGGGCTGGCGGAGCGATGCTCGCGCGGCGGGCTGCAGTCGTGCTGCAGATCTGAAGAGTGAGGCCATTGTGAAACGGGTCGCGTGAGGTTTGGCGAGAAGAAAGAAAGGAAATCGGCGAGATGTTCACGGTATGTTATTCTGAACTCTCTAGGGCGGCATTGTAGTGGGGTCAACATGCAGCCCAGGTAGCTGATAAGGCAATCGCTTCCGGGCATTCGCTAAGCTTCACTCGCTCCACTCGGCCTAACGTAATATGTCATAGTGCAGACATCCACAGTGTCGGTTCCGCCTCCGCCACCGGCCCGGGTGCGCGGTTGCTGTGCAGCTAACTTGATTTAGCAAGACCATGCGAAGCACATCCTCCGATGAACATGCCCTGTGAACACTGAACACAGCTTGATATCCACAGGTCCTCATGTTACTCATAATCGACCCTCACCAACACTCCCATGTACTCTATACAAATCCAGCAGCAGTGGCCTTCTCCCTATACTCCTCAAAGGTCCTCGAAGCACCTCCCTTGGAATTATTCCGTGCCCGCGCCTCAAACTCACTCTCGTTGCCCTGAATCCGACTCTCCCAGGCGTCCTCCTCAGTAGCAATCATGCCGTGAAAAGCGCCGTGCTGTCCTCTCGCAAAATATAAAGCACCGGCTCGCTTCTCCGCTACGTCCTCATTGACAAGCACATGCTTAATGCCGGTTCCGGGAGTCTCGAACATGGCGTCCGCCAGCAGTCGCTCCATTACTGTTCGAAGTCCTCGTGCACCCGTTCCCATCTTTGAGGCTGTTTTCGCGATGGCGTGGAGTGCAGGTGTTGTGAAGCGAAGCTCGATACTTGATAGGGCGAAGAGTTGCTGATATTGCTTTAGGAGACTGTTCCGCGGCTCTGACAGCACCTTCACCAGTGCAGGAATGTCAAGTGATGACAGTGCGCAGGAGAGGGGAATGCGACCGACTAATTCAGGTATAAGTCCAAACTTCTGAAGGTCTTGAGGTTCGACGAGATCGAGAGTGTTGAATGTTCGCTTCGCCTTGGGGCGACCAGCATGGCTTTCGTCTGGCGGGGATGGAGTGTAGTAGGGCAGGTGCTTTTCGAACAGATCATCTTCGCCTTCAAGAATGGTCTCGTGCTGATCGGAGCCGGAACCTGAGCCTGGCGCCGCGCGGACGTTTGCGCCAAAGCCGATGCTTCCTTTACTAATGCGGTCAAGAATCGTTTTGTGAAGGCCAGAGAAGGCACCGGCGCAGATGAAGAGGATGTCATGGGTTCGCACGTTGTAGACATCACCTTTTTGGCCTCCCGAGCCTGATGTCTGACCCATGCTTCCGCCAGAGAGAGGGCTATTGGTAGGAAAGCCACCTTGGCCACGATTCCTATCACTCGCGCCATTCCTCTCTTGCTTGGCTTGAACTTGCAGTGTGGTACCCTCGAYGATCTTCAACAAMGCTTGTTGGACGCCCTCTCCACTCACGTCCTTCCCATTGGCAACCTTGGCGGTGGCAATCTTGTCAATTTCGTCGAGACAGATGATACCTCGTTCTGCGAGAGTCACGTCGTAATTTGCGGCAGCAAGTAACCTTTGAACACACACTTCCGCATCTTCTCCTATGTATCCCGCTTGAGTGAACGGGGTGCAGTCAGACATACTGAATGGTACCTCCAACACTCTGGCCAGAGTTCGCGCCATCAAGGTCTTGCCGACCCCAGAAGGACCTAGTAATAAAACATTGCTCTTTTCAATCGTAAGTGGGGTGTGGTCTTGCAGAGTCGGTTGCCCCTTCTGCGACTGCTCGACTGGCTTGTGTGTCGAATCAGATTCGGGAGGATATAGATTGATGGTCTGTTGTTGACCAGGAAACTCGTCTTGAACAGCCCAATCTCTCGTCAGCGAGGGCACAGAAATTCCCCGCTTCAAATCCTCCTCCATACCTTCTACAGGATGTCTCGGGTGCATAGCCATTCTCCTCCGCTCCGCAGCCGCCAATTGCTCTTCCAGCTCGTCATCACGGCGTTGCAGCTCCTGTATTCGCTGATAATGATTGTAGACCGCCGTAGCCAAGGTCTTCTTTGCTCGCTCCTGACCGACGACGAATTGATCGAGATGCTGTTTCAATACAATGGGCGTGATGTGTGGCGCTCCAATGTTGGAGGCGTCGCTGAGAGGCCCTTGAGTAGGTCCACCCGGCTCATATGCTCCAGTGTACGGCTGACTGGTGAAGTCAGAGCGTTGATACTTCTCCGAGGAATTCCGTCGGSGAGATGAACTGAGATGTCGTCTGACGATACTCGATMCTCCCAGACACGTCAGACGAGCTTGTGGCGCATAGAGATATATGGATGTCAGAGTGGCCATTACTCCTACAGGCGACAATGTTGCATAAGCGAGCAATGGCGGAGCAAACCGAATTCAGCTGAGCCAGCCAGCTGCCGCGTAACACACAGGGGATAAGTTGTAGCGGTAGAATACTGTGAGGGAGGAGATGTGTGCAGTACCTTAGTTGCCCCAGCAGCTTCGAAGCTCACCTCACGGGCAGGCACAGACAGGCACAGGCCATCTCCGAACCCTGCCCGGACAAGATCACCCCGCGGTCCCTTGACGCCAGCTCCACAATTTTCTCTCCACCAGGAATCAACTCCAGTGCCAGGGCCCAACGCCTCCGGTCTCACTCGAAGCAGCGGCGTGCATTGATTTGCGCACGAGCAGGCGAAGTAAAGCAAGCCGCCACCCTACGCTCAATCATCCATCACTTGTGGGCTCCTGCTGGGTGGTTGGCAGATGCGGTGAGGGCTGAACATTCAACCAAAACCATTGAAGCGTTGCCGTTGTCGCGTTGAGAGCTCATCCAGAGAAAACACTCGAACGTCATAGCTCCTCCCATCTCCAATTGCTTTGCTGCAAGTATTCTACCGGGTTGGCCTGGTCCTGCGTCCTTGTGCTGCACACTTTTCAATTACTTTACCTTACTGTATTCCCTCCCTCTTCTCTCTCCTGCTCTGCTTATCCTGCAATCCTCCCACGTCAGACAACACACCATTGCAAAGCCATCGCAATCATGGACAAGCTCAACGAGGCCTCCGCCGACAGCGTAATGCAGAAGCCGGCGAATGGCCAGGTTCCCAATGATGGAACTGGTATCGTTGACCCCTCACCACACTGGCACCTCCCATTCAACTGACATCTCCATCCTAGGCGTCGTGCAGCTCGACCCATGGCTCGAGCCATACACCGCTGCCCTCAAATCCCGATTCTCCAAGGCTCAGGACTGGATCAAGAGGATTGAACAGAGCGAGGGCGGCTTGGACAAGTTCTCGCGCGGATACGAAAAGTACGGGTTCAATGTCACAGCAGACGGCACCATTGTCTACCGCGAGTGGGCGCCCAATGCCCTCCGAGCATACCTCATCGGCGACTTCAATGGCTGGAACCGCGACAGCCACGAGATGCAACGCGATGACTTTGGCGTGTGGGAGATTAAGCTGTCGCCAGTCAATGGCCAGCCCGCCATTSCCCACGACAGCAAGCTCAAGATCAGTTTTGTGGTGCCCAACGACCAGGCGCGCGCAGAGAGGATACCCGCGTGGATAAAGCGGGTGACCCAGGACTTGTCCGTCTCACCAATCTATGATGCTCGTTTCTGGAACCCACCGCACGCGTATCAGTTCAAGAACGCTCGTCCACCGAAGCCCCTCTCCGCTCGAGTATATGAGGCACACGTTGGTATTTCGAGCTCGGAGCCCAAGGTGGCATCGTACAAAGAGTTCACGCAGAACACACTTCCGCGCATTCGTGATCTGGGATACAACACCATCCAGCTCATGGCCATTATGGAGCACGCATACTACGCCTCCTTTGGCTACCAGATCAACTCCTTCTTCGCTGCCTCCTCTCGCTACGGCCACCCCGATGATCTCAAAGAGCTGATCGACACTGCACACGGCATGGGTATAACTGTACTGCTGGACGTCGTGCACTCTCACGCTAGTAAGAACGTGCTGGACGGGTTGAACATGTTCGACAACAGCGACCACCTCTACTTCCATGAAGGCGCACGCGGACGACATGAGTTGTGGGACAGCAGGCTCTTTAACTACGGGTCCCACGAAGTCCTTCGATTCCTGCTTTCCAATCTGCGTTTCTGGATGGAGGAGTATCAGTTCGATGGTTTCCGCTTCGACGGCGTCACGAGCATGCTCTACCAGCATCACGGCATCGGTACCGGCTTCAGCGGTGGCTACCACGAGTACTTTGGCCCTAGCGTGGACGAAGACGGAGTGGTCTACCTCATGTTGGCCAACGAGTTGCTGCACACGCTTTACCCCGATTGTATTACCATCGCCGAGGACGTGAGCGGCATGCCGGCGCTCTGTATCAAGCTGAGTCTGGGCGGAATAGGGTTCGACTACAGACTCGCCATGGCAGTGCCAGATTTGTACATCAAGTGGTTGAAAGAGAAGCAGGACATTGACTGGGATATGGGCCAGCTGTGCTTCACTCTCACCAACCGAAGACACGGCGAGAAGACCATCGCATACGCTGAGTCGCACGACCAGGCTCTGGTCGGTGACAAGACTCTGCTTTTCTGGCTTTGCGATGCCGAGATGTACACCAACATGTCGACCCTATCCGCCTTCACACCAGTTATTGAGCGCGGCATGGCGCTGCACAAGATGATCCGCCTCATCACCCACGGCTTGGGAGGAGAAGCCTACCTCAACTTTGAAGGCAACGAGTTTGGTCACCCCGAATGGCTCGACTTCCCTCGCGAAGGTAATGGTAACAGCTTCCACTATGCCCGCCGTCAATTCAACCTCATCGAGGACAAGCTCCTGCGCTACCACTTCTTGAACGACTTCGACAAGGCCATGCAATGGACCGAGAACAAGTACGGCTGGCTGCACTCTCCACAAGCGTACATCAGCTTGAAGAACGAGAGCGACAAGGTCATCGTCTTCGAGCGCGCCGGATTGTTGTGGATCTTCAACTTCCACCCATCGAGCTCCTTCACAGACTACCGCGTGGGCGTTGAACAAGCCGGAACTTACAGAGTGGTGCTCAACACGGATGATGCAGCCTTTGGTGGTCTGTCAAGAATCTCCAACGAGACGAGACATTTCACCACGGATTTTTCATGGAATGACCGCAAGAACTTCCTGCAGGTTTACTTGCCAACGAGGACGGCAACAGTATGTTCATACCCTCCGTTGCGTGCACATTTCACACTGACCAAATCGATAGGTGCTCGCGCTGGAGGAGACTCTAGATCCAAACTGGAAGTCCAACGTGTCGCTGGGGTTCTRGAGGAGGTGGTGCTTGAGTTGTGACCCTTCCACCGAGCTGTGCTCAAAAAAGTCAACAGCACGAGGGAAGGCATGGGCATGTAGAAGTCATCCACGATATAGATTTGCACCGTCGCAGGCCTGCGTTTGACGAGATATGAAAATTTCCTTTTCGGTTTTAAGTCTTGAATGTTCATTGTCGTATTCCTTCTAGCCTTCACCACTCCCCGACTCTGTCCCTTCCACATCGTCCGATGTGATTGCATTTCATGTCGCTCGCTCGTCGAGCATGTTCTTAGCCAGATCATTCCCGCCCATTACACCTGCCCATGAACTTGCTGGCATCCCTCCTAGACGAACCCATGCGACCAGATACCACCCATTGCCTCGTACCTTATCTCGCTCTGCTATTGCCTCATATCTAAACCCGCTCTGCCGTCCCTCTGTCTGTCTGCTTCTCTCGCGCGTGCTGTGCTGTGCTGTGAAAGGGGATTGGTACTTACCGCATCTGTGACCGGAAGCCGCCCGAAAAACCCTGAGTAACAGTGCGCGGACGCCTCTCCACCTCATCTTTGTCGCGAAAACTCCCRTGACGTGAAGGTCCTGTGCCTTCTCCTCCCTGTCTCTCGCACGTCAGCTCCGGAGCCAACACTCTCAATTCTCATCGCGACGTACCCTCAATGCATGGGCACGCGGGGCTTCTTTATCATAGATACTGAAGCCAAGCAGCTCGCTCCGATCAACATCTTCCTTCTCTCGCAGATAGTCCGCATAGTTCTGGAGCAGCTGCGATTCGCGCTCGTTGTTGATGCTGCTTCCCTCGCGTTCAAACCCCTGGGCTTTCAACTCACGCGCCCGCGCTATCGCATCACGTGCTATCGCATCACTCTTGTCCTTGGCACGCAGGGAATCACGCCAGTAGGCGATCTCGATGTTCTGGTCGAGTTGACGCAGCCGCTTGTCGATCATAGAGGGTGTGAGCACGCCGCCGAGTTCCGGATGCAGTTGGCGCACCTTCTTCACTATGCGGGCGTGGTCGAAGCCAGCGATATCTACCTGGCAGATGAGCTCGTCAATAGTCTTGTCCCAGGCCACAGGAAGTGCTGGCGTGCCTGGGAGGCGGTCGATGAGCGGCGTCGTGCTATATGTTCTTGGGTAGGTTCTGAAGCTGTAGCCACGGGCCAGCGAGTCATCAGAGGCCGGCGTCAGCTGGTAGCCATCGACAGTCTCTGGGCTGCGGTGAGGGATGTAGACGCGGTGAGGAACCGCGTTCTCGGGATCATAGTTGTTGTAGCGGCGAGCGATGATGGAAGACTTCGAGCCGGTGGCGTGACCGTCGGCATTGGTGAGCGGAGAGTTTGACATTGACAAGTCGGAATGCCGAGTGGCGGTTGGACTATCGTTGCTGTTGTTGTGTGTGAGTGGTGGTCGAGTGAAGTTTGAACTTTGAGTGGGGGTGGAAAAGCTGTGAGGGTACATGCCAGGCTTCTGGAAAGTAGGCATGGGCGGGGTGGAGTGAAGGGTGGGGAGAAAAGTGGTCATGCCCGCTGTCGGCGTGCTGTTGTAACTGGCCTCGTGATTGCTGATGCTTAGATCGGTGCAGGCGATTGACGATGTCGTCGTGGTAGATGAGTGTTTGCTGCGGGCATGTCGTGGGTGGAGTATGTCCACGCTGTTGAATGCGTTGCGGAGCAGTCTTGTCGATGCCGTCGCACGTGTTGAGGATGTTCTTCGCGAGATGGTGCTGACGATTGAATCCCTCAAAGCAAGTCCCGTATGGTGATCGGATCTGTCTGCTGAGGTGTAGCACTGCTGATTCACCGTCAGTGGAAAGATGCCCCACTGCATACGTCGTTGAATGGTTCAGCGCTTGCCAGTGATGCGATCTTTTGGGCCTGATCTGGCACCCGATCGGTCTGARGGTCAACACCATATTGTCTTTGCACTTTCGTCGACATTGAAATGCGAGACCTGCTATCGGTGGGCTGCGAAAAGTCAACTATGGAGTGAAGTTGGATGTGTGTGTTCACCTGCCCGAATTGCCATACTTTTGTGTCATTTTCAGCAGGCGCTCCTGTGTTCTGTGAGGAGGAGAAGGAGCATGTGGTAGAGTGACCCAGCTTTTCATCATTCTAAGATACTTAGTACAAGGAGAGCCCGTATGTTACAATTACGGCGGGTATGGTGGATATGCACAGCCTCCATCTCCGATGCATTCCTTCGTCGTCTGTTCGTCCTATGATTGGAGACCCCGAGAGTCGCAAGCCTCAACGATGCATAACGCCCTGCAAGATGCTCCTAATTCTTCAGCCCGAGCCTGTTCAGCAGACCGCCGCTGCTGGAGCCACCCTGCTCAAAGACATTGAGCATGTTCTTCCACACCTCGCCGGGCTGCTTGCTCGCATCCAATTGCGTCCAGATGCCCGTCTTACGGTAGTAGTCCACAACTGGTGCGGTCTGTTCGTGGTACGTCCCTAGTCGCTTCTTGAGCGCGGCCTCATTGTCGTCGGATCGCTGGATCAGTGGCTCGCCCGAAACGTCATCGGTCATGTCTTTCTTTGGTGGGTTAAAGATCTTGTGGTAAGAGCGGCCAGAGGCTGGGTGGACCAAGCGACCGGTGATACGTGCAACAAGGAGGTCATCGTTGATCTTAAGCTCAATAGCGTGCTTGAGCTTCTGCTGCTTTGCTGTAAGCATGCCATCAAGCTTCTGCGCTTGCACGACAGTTCGTGGGAAACCATCGAGGATGAATCTAGCAGTGCCGTGTCAGTCCACCGATCGAGCAGCCATTGACATCCATGTCTCTCCAACTCACCCGTTCTTGCACTCCTTGTTGTTCTCAAGCTCCTTCTCAATCATGYCAATCATGATCTCGTCGGAGACCAGCTTGCCCTCATCCATGATCTTCTTCGCCTGCTTGCCCAGGTCGGTCTTCTGAGCGACCTGCGCGCGCAACATGTCTCCCGTAGCCAAATGACAGCAGCCAAACTTCTCCTTGATCTTCGGCGCCTGGGTTCCCTTTCCTGCAAAGCAATCGCAGAGTTAGCGAATCCGCTGCGGCGCATCCATTGCATTCCCAATGCTGTGCTTACCGGCACCAGGAGGTCCAATCAGGATCATGCGAATGCTCTCAGCGTCGGCACCGCTGCCACCAGAAGACGAGCCATTGCCCTTTAACCGCGACTCCAGGTCCTCGATTCTCTTCTCCAGCGTGTTCACCGTCGCCTTCAGCTGCTCCACTTGTTCGGACATGTTGGTKCAGTGACAGTAGAGACTGGTGCCGGACCGAAGCGAACTTCGTAGAAAGAATGCAAAGGTCGCGTTTGGGGTATCCGGTAGAATGAGGAATCCTACGAAAGCAGTGAGGTCGTGGCCGAAAGCTAAGCTCTGGCAAATGAGACCAACCGTGGACGAACCCGAGGTCGTGACGTGCCAAGTTTCTGTCCGGAGCACATCCGCTGAGACTCCGCTCCACTCAGCCGATTCGGTCACAGCAGGTCAAAAGGCACTTACAACAAACCAACTCTCTTACGATCTCCAACGTTGGACAGAGGTACATTTGTTTTCACAACCACCACTCGTAGTCTCATGTTCCAGTTCCAACAAGCTTATCAGGTTTGGTGTCTTGGTAGTTCACTTTTCATACAAATGGGTGGGTATCTATCCGTAAGTCATATCCATACCCAAACCCTCCGAGTGTCATCACCTCCATTTCGATAGCCTGGTATCCTGACACACCATCGGCTCTCATAATTCATACAAAGCGGAAAATAAAGTTACTGTCTCCAAATGCCCGACCCTGTGTGCCCGGTGATTGCTCCTCAACTGTACGCCAGTGTCGCACTTCGATGTGCATATTCCAAAGTACCATCACTCCCCAAATATCATCGTATGAAAGGTTTGAATCGTCACGTTGTTTCTACAGGTCAGTAGAAATCGTTGCTCTGTTCGCTGCCTTTGCGAATGGCAGAAGCACCYTCGATGGCGTCGCCGTTGACGCTTGGGACACGGGAGCTCTGGAGACTCTGAGTATCGGCTGTGAGTGCTGGCGGAGTCGTTGCCGCGGAATCGTAGCTGGTCGCAAAGGGCGGCGCAGGCATGCCCATGGACATGGGCGGCAGCTGAAACGAAGTCCTGCCATATGGATTCACACCAGGCGGCAGACCATTGTGGTGCTCTTCAAATCGATGCATCTTCTTCTCAATGGAAAGAACTTGCTTTCCACAGCCTGATCGTCTGGCCTGAACCATTGCTGGGCGCAGCACTTCGAGGAACATGAAATAATCATCTCGACACACAGTATCGAGCAGTTTTTCTGCGCAGGCATTAGCATTCATACACTCCGAGTGACGAAACCGACTTACGAATGACATAGTTGCCAAAGTTGTCTTTAATCATGTTCACAAGAACGCCCTCGCTTTCACGAGACATGTCCATCATTCTCCTTGGATCTTGCTGCGCACGAGCAAGCTGGAGGACGACATTACGCCGCCAGGCATCGTCGCCTCGCTCGAGGCACTTCTCAACCACATTGCTAGCAAACTTGTGCTTGCTGTAGCCTTCCAGCCCTCTTGCGACGATGTACATTACTTTGCGTTGGCCTTCTCCATCATCGTGAGCGACGATGTGTTGGACAACATAGTTGCCGAACTGGTCAGAAATCATCGTTGGAATAGCTTCCAATAGTTCAGACATGATCATGGCCTTGGAGGGGAGATCACACTTTTCCAAGCAGCGTTGAATGACCCGGCAGCCGTAGGCGTGGATGCTGAGCTGCTGAACTTGACCGCGGAAAGCAGCGATGATGAACTCAATGGTAGCCGGCGGACAGCGCTCAATAGCCTTTTGAATAACATGGTTGCCATTCTGATCCTTGACGCRTTTGGTGATGTGGTTCTCCAGTTCGCCGATGAGTATAGCTTGTTGATCTACAAGGACGTGATCGAGCGCTTTTTGGACGACACGGCAGCCGTACATTTGGAGACTGAGCTGCAGCACGTGTCCTCTCATCTTGTTCGCCAGAATCTTCTTGTGCGTCTGGTCGCCATGCTCAAAGAACTTTTGAATCACGTAGTTCCCGAACACATCAGTCATGAGTGGAATTGCGTTTGGCTCGATCTCTTGGAAGACACGCTGCTTCTCGTCCGAGTTGGCGGTCTCAAGTTTTGTCTGGATGAACCGCGAGCCGTGTTGATCTCCGCTAAACTCTGCGATGTGGTCGTAGATGTCGCAGAGCTCGTACCGCTTGCTCTTGGTGTTGGATTTGAATTCGTACATCAATGCGCTTTGCACACCTTCGCCGGTCAAGGTCTCCTGAGGTGCCGCAGCAGGTTGGCCGTGTGAATTCATAATCATATTCATGTTGAATGGCAACAGGTTTTGGTATGGTGACGCGGCGTGCAAGTGAAGGGCATTTTGCACTGCGAACTCATTGTACATAGCGTACGGGTTGTGGTACTGCGTAGCCATGTATTGCTGAACCCGAGGATCGTGGTAGACGTGTTGTTCTGGCAGCCCTGCAGAGCGCCTGGTCGCTGATGACGCACCATTCGAGAAGTTCCACTCTGGTGGCTGCCTTGACAACTCGTAAGGTCGGGACACAATCGAGTTGCTCTGGTAAGGATGACCTGGGCGGAATTCGAACGCACCGCCGGATTGTTGAAAACGCTCGGTGTAGCGTGGGCCCGAGTTGGAAGAAAAGCCGCTGGGCTGTTGTGGGATGCTGTATTCATCTTGAACGGAGTTGTTTCTGCTGAGGCGAGGTAGCTCCGTAACGCTACCATAACTGGAATTGGCGTTGACAGAGTACGACATGGGACTTCTTCCCACAGATCCGTTGCTGTATCCGTCAGCGAAAGGAGATCTGTGTGAAGTGCTCGGCCGGCTGTCGGCATTGAAGCTGAGCTGTCCAAATTGCATGCCCATTTGGTCACCATTGGCATGGTGCAAGTCATTGTATGTCGCGTTTCGTTTCGAAGAGATGGATGGTTCCCGAGAGCTGGACCTCATTTGAGCATATTCATATTGAGGATACTGGAAGACTGGCTTCTGGTCGGAGTCGCGGGAGGGTGGATCGCTGCCATCTCTGGAAGTTGGCATGCTGGGTGTGCGGCCATTGCTGTGCTGAATGGGGAACTGCGGGCGTCGCTCGTCGGTTGGAGAAGGTGTTGATGACCATACCGCGGATCCAGAATCGTGCTTCTTCAGCGACATGGGATCGCTTGGTCTGTCAAACTTTGTGTAGACGTTGAAAGGCGCACTCTCGCTGCCGCGGGAGCTTGTTCCGACCTGATGCGCAGATCCGAAGCTTGGCCTTGCTTGTGCGGGCGCCGTCGAGTTCGAATTGGCCATGGACGGGCGAGAAGTGTAAGCGCTCGCGGTCGTCACCATGTTTGCCTGGACATTGTTTATACCACGTTGCTGCAAGAGCGTGTTGTCCGAGAATCGCGGAATTGACCGGCTTGAAGCACTGTTGCGGGATGCGCCCCACGTCCGAGAGCCGTACTCGTCGCAAACGGAAGACTCGACAAGGATGCCAGAGCCCGTCTTGCCTTCAACATGCCTCGACGCATTCGTCAACGGCGGCTGAGCGACACCTCGCGACACCGAGTTGCCTCTCTGAGCCGCGGTCGAAGCCATGCCGTTGAATATCCCACCAGCCCATACGCTACTCGATCCCCAAGCATTCCCTCTGCTTCCGAAAGCTGTGCTCATGTTGCCGTTTGTACTGTTGTTCTTTTCTGTTGCAGTTGCGGTGCTAGCGAACGATCGTGGCTGTGGTGTATTGTCACTTGCGCTGTTGGCGGTGCTGTCCCGTCGCCCTCCGACGATTCCAACACCCAATTTATTTGGGAAGGCCATCTCTAGTGTGCTCGTTGCACCATGAGACATTAATCAAAGTATGTATTCGAATAAAAAGCGGGATTATTGTAATATGTTGTCGGGCGAATCGTGGTTGTATGTAGTCTAGTCGAGACGAGGATGTTGGTGGGAGCGCAAAGCGACAGGGCTCTCAAGGTTCGAGATAAAGAAGGTACTGCTTTTGCAAGTCAGCATGACCCAGCTTAAGGTATCTTGACCGGAAGTATGAAGCAAAAACGTACACGCGAACCAGCAACTTTTTGGGGGAGAGTTCGTAGCCGCAGGAAGCATGCACTGTACACGTCGCATGTACAGAATAGAGGTCGAGCGCAGTGATTGATATGAATGACACACCCAACACCAGCCAGGGAGAGAGTGGTATGCACTCCGGCGACGGGTCGACGTGTATGTGCAAAGGAGGTTGTGCAGGGCTGATCCCTCCCGCAACGAAAGTGTATCTCAAGTCAGGCAGAAGTACCAGAGAGCACCTGGCGGGAGGATGGGAGAGTGATACGGCGTGTCAATGGGTCACATCGAGGGTTCGATTCGCGAGTTCAGGACGCCGTTCGCTGATATGTATCGGGCAGTGCTCCAGGCATGCAAGGGGATCACGGAGGTGGAATGCGTTGGAAGCGAGTGTTTGTTGCCCGCAGGGAGATGAATGTACAGTGGAGCTGGTGGCCCGCGAGCCAAGGGTGTATAAGAAAAGGGAGCGGCGAATGGAACATACTACAACCAGTGTAGGTGGGCAATGATAAAGCGCATACGATTAATTCCACACGCTCGTGAAAGGTTGGAGGACGCCAGGGTTCCCTCCCTAGCTTCGAYATGGCGTGCACTAACGCGAAGGCGGCGGGCCGTTGGGGCTACGTTCCAGGCTAAAGATGCATGGCCAAACGAGATCTGGACCTCGACTGCTGTTGCTCTCCATCATCATCATCGTGATGCCCAACTAAACCATGTCCGTGGGCCACCGCCGCATACACCACCGCCCGTCTGCGAGGCTGGCCACGGAGCCTGTGTGCTGAGCAGACCTCGGWCCGCTGTTCGGCGGCGCTGCGGACAGAGAGTGTATGCCTTTTGTGGCATTGAATAATCCTCCTGCGATCACCGCAAGGCAGAAGAGCGGTCAGCCATTCCGAACTGGCTCTCTGCCTACACGATGATGAGACACTCGTTTCAACGTCCACTGATTTGCGCTCAATCACGCCGTAGGTAGAACGCTATTGCCTTGMCCAAGTCTTGCGGTTGCACAGCATACGCCCCCAAAGCTCACGCCCGGATTACTGTCCAACGCCGCGCTTTCACAGGAGGCGTGCAAGGGTGTCGCCATAGCTGCAAATCATCTGTGGYGCGAGTTGAACAGAAAAGACCGGGTCAAAGTAACGCGAGTTACATGAGATGCCGCTGGAGCCGCCTATCTGGACGCAAGTTGTTTGCTTGCTCCACTCGCAGCAACGCATGCCAAGCCCCACGTTTTGACCTCCGAATTCCGACTGCGAGAATTCGGACTGCACCATGGCATGGTGATGCTGCAATGGGCGAGTGCCGAGGGAGCAAGCGTCGCGTCAAGTTGGGAGAGCTTTCGGAGTCCGGACGATCTTCAGCAGGTGATTTGGTGAAGTTGTAGGCCTCACCACCCCATAGAACGTCATGGCCAACATCATTAGTGCTACCTCAGCACAGAAGTGCACACGACATATAGGTGGYCGTTAGGTTAGCAACGCTGGTGCCCCAATTGCGACCCGTTAGTTGCACGATACTGTCCAGTCTGTCCTGGATGCAGGACATCGGTATCATCGACCAGATCGCGACCCAGCAGCTCTTCGGTGTGAGTAGCCATTGCTGTACATGTTCCAAAGATCGTAGCGTCCACGCCAAGGCGTGTATGCCGAGTCATGCATTGAGCTGAAACAACAGCCAGCGTAAGCATCACTCCGTTACGTTCTGCCAAATATGACTATCAGTATACAAAAAGCCGTGCACACGGACTCCGGCACCTTCAATGTGGTGTGAGTCGTGGGTGGTTGGCGGGAGAAATCACCTCCGACTACTTCTTAAGGTAACGCTATGCGAGTCGTACAACCATTACGGGCACTTGTTTGTGATATTGATATGCCGTTGACATATCAGGAGCTCATGCTGCTCGCACAATCAAAAGGCCACCAAGGGATGTTCTCTTCTGTAGGTCTTTGGACATGAGCTCCGCCCTCTCCTGTTGCAGAATGGCAATCAATATGTGCCACCTCGGGCGGTGTCCTTTTTCGCCGAGGATTCCGTGCCCGGCTCAAACTTCGAGACTGCTGTTGACTCATCGATTAGAAGAGATCGAATGAGAGACCAACGAAGCAGATCCGTCAAGATAGGATGGATGGCTCATCAAAAACGCAAAGATGGGTAGGGAACATGTATGGTAAGGTAGAGTCACACTTGCAAGTTGCCCGGCTCATCCCACCCCACCTGGTTAGCGCCGCCCGCCTCCAAGGTACTTCCATTTTCTTCAAAAGGCGCCCCAAATAATACCAGCACGAGCAGAAACACACCCCCCAACTTCTACTCACTGTTCCTCAGAAATCAGCAGGAGACAGTAGCAGCACGAGCTAAAACCAAATACACCAACGGTTTCCACTACCACTGAATCGCGAAAATGGCCGTCCGCGCAGCATTCGAAAACTCCAACGAGGTCGGCGTCTTCTCCACCCTCACCAACTCCTACGCGCTCGTGGCCGTCGGTGCCAGTGAGAACTTCTACAGCATCTTCGAAGCCGAGCTCCAAGATGTGATCCCCATCTGCCATTGTACAATCGCCGGAACTCGCATCATTGGTCGCCTCACAGCAGGCAACAAAAAGGGCCTCTTGGTCCCCACATCCACCACCGACCAAGAACTCCAACATCTCCGAAATTCCATTCCAGACAGCGTCAAAATCCAGAGAATAGAGGAGAGATTATCAGCTCTCGGGAACGTCATCTGCGCAAACGATCACGTTGCCCTCGTACATCCTGATCTCGAGCGGGAATCCGAGGAGATCATTGCCGATGTACTCGGCGTGGAGGTCTTCAGACAGACAATCGCAGACAATGTTCTGACGGGATCATACATGAGCCTGAGCAATCAGGGCGGAATTGTGCACCCAAAGACGAGCATCCAGGACCAGGATGAGTTGTCGAGTTTGCTGCAGGTACCGCTCGTTGCTGGAAGTGTGAACCGCGGTTCGCCGGTTGTTGGCGCGGGCATGGTGGTCAATGACTGGATGGCTGTTACTGGACTTGATACCACGGCTACTGAGCTGAGTGTCATCGAGTCAGTATTCAAGCTCGGCGAGGGCATGGCTCCAGGTGCCATTCATGCCAACAAGGAGTCCATGGTCGAATCGTTCTACTGAGCTATCTTTGCTTTGGTGACTTTTCACGGCCTGGTCACTCTCATCAGGCTGGGCATGTCGAAACGATCGGTCGGACGAATTGTAGATGGATGATGGGAGTCATGACAGCATTGAGCGCGGCGTTCGGATGGCAAGGTACCTTTCGACAAGGTACTGTTGCTATGATGGTTTTTGTCATGTGATATTCTCACAACGTAAAAGACATCAGTTCATACCATTGTTGGTGAATCATTCTCGCTGTAGACGTTCAATCGTAATATGCCGCAATGCTCGGCTACACTGTATGAGTGCATGTTCTCTCGCGCACCTTCTCTCGTCACGTTAGGCTGGATGAATATTGCGGGTTCGCCTTGTCCCGCTGCTTCGGTCCACACCTCTTACGGGCATCCGCAATCTCTCACCCAAGGAAGCCGGATAGCCTCGGATAGCCTCTTGAAGGCCTTAGTAGAATCTGCTCGCTCCTCGCGCAGCGGTGAAGGAAGACACAACCTTTCATCGTGACCTAATCATCATCGTCGTCAAGCTTCCCGACATCAATTGAAACGCCAGCACTTTGAGCAGCTTTCTTCCATTGCTCGCACTCGTTCCAGGCTCTCTGACATTCATTCTTGAGCTTATCGCAACTCGAGCTTAGTTCCTTGATGGCTTCTTCAGTGAGCATCTTCTCCAGCGTCCACTTCTCAATGTTCTGGGTTTCGTTCTCCTTGAGCTGGGTGATGAATTGTACTGCACGCGCAAGTAWACTGCCTTTGTTCTTCTCACATCCTGGCACGATCTTCGAGAGTTCGTTAATGCCCTCGTTGATGGTTTCACGACGGCGGCGCTCGACTGGAGAGGTTAGTAGACGGACCGCGGTTAATGGATTGTTAAGTGCTCACCTTCTTTGTGGTTATCTCTCCGTACCTTATGCCATTCTTCTGTACCCACAGCAGGTTTCGATGAGCCGCCTGGCGTTTGTGATGGTGCAGTGGGAGATCCTTCTTCATTCGAGGCACCTGTCGCGTCCTTCAAACCAGAGACGTCAAAGTCAAAGCTTCCTGTTCTTTGCGCGCCTAGACTGCCTTGGTCTATGGAAGCACTGTTGGGTCGATCGGATTGAGCAGAGTCCACTACTTGGCTCATAAACGCCTCCTCCGTTGATTGTGGTACTCTCATGTTATGGAATTGCGCCATGGCCGCTGCCGCCGTATCGCTCGCATTCCCTCCACCTGCACCGTTGACTTCGTCTTGACCCGTTCCGTGGCTATGGCTGTGTTGCTGTGAGTCATGATCGTCATCCAGGCCAGCGTTGTGTTGCGATAGCGCAAAGCCCATGTCGGCGTCGTGGTGGTCCATCGGATTGTCGTGGCTGGGCAGATAGTGCTGGTCAAATTCGTTCATAGCCATCGCTGGATGCGCGCGGGTCATGGGCATATCACTGGTCTCTCGCTTGCGCTTCGTTGCGTGAGACGCCATCGTTGCGGGATATGTCGTGGACAGTCCTTCCGCGCAGATTCAGACGGCCGACGCAGATGAACCCGCGTGCTTGTAGATCCTAGAAGGAGCCTGTGTAAGTCTAATGTTCGCAAAGAATTAGCCCGGAACCTGGTCAGTTGACCTCGAGCAGCACTTGAGACATAAGTTCATGCGGCTGCAGTGCGATAAGCCGCCAGGCATAGCGAGCTCCACGAGTCCATTGCGCGCTCGAAGCTGGCCCCGACTGCGTCCCTGCTCATCCAGACGATTGACTTTCTGGAGCAACGCCTTCCGAGCTGAGAATACACACGTCGGTCTGGGCGACGCCGCCCGTCCGCAGACCGCAACGATGCCGGTCTTGTTGGACGGTCGCGTGGCAGGTCGACGAGCTGCTACATACAGCTCGCGGGCTTGCCAGAAGGCGGCGGAGGGGCGTCGCGGCTGGCGCAGATGCCACAAAGATTCGCCTAGAAGAGAATAATGACCGCGACCGACTCACTTGTTTGATCCGTGATCCGCTTTTTGATGTTATATCAGGTGACAGGTGACGCCGCGGCTCGCCGCTCACGTGGATTCGTGTTTTTGTGGAAGATCGAAGGTTGGAATGTCGCAAGAGTTGGCAGTTACAAGATTTGAGACTGCGCAAGCCCGTCAGATTAGCTGTTCAGATTGGTGAACGATCTGTTACGCGCACTTTTTGAAGAGGAGGAGTGGGAGGAAGTGGGTGTATCGATATCGGATCACGAGACGTGCCGGAGGACGACAGCATCCATACTGCGTKACAGCCAATCACGAGAGCCTGCGTACCCACCCCGCAACATTCACTCGGGGTGCCAAGACTTCCGCAGGCTCGTTGTATATGGAAGCATCTGCTACCTTCAACAGTCACCTGATCAATAACTGCATTGACGGTCGCCTGACTCTTTGTATGCGAGCGTGCATATGACAGAGGTTGCTTTATCGACGATGAAACTCCATTACTGCTTGCGGTACAAGCAATCCTTCACACATGGTGAAGAAGGTCTCGCTTGAGGCTCATTGCATTGATCTCAGGACTTGAAAGTGTTGTAAAGCATGAAGTCGGCTTCGCTCGGATAGCGAATGATGAGGGATGGCAAGACAAGAAGTCTCGACAATGAGGAGAGTCTGCTGGGAACGCTGCGTTCACCGCCGGACTTCTGCCCAGCTTATCACTCTTTTTCATCATCCTCATCCTCATCCTCATCCTCCATCTCATCCTCATCCATCTCCGCGTCACCCTCAGCCTTGCGTCGCACAACTTCCTCCAGAGCTGCATACAAGTCCTCCTTCAATCCCTCCACCCGCGCWTCCTTCACTCCAAACATCTTGTCAACATCCTCAGCCAAGCACTCAACATAGAAGCTTGCTTGCTCGGCATACCGCTCACTCTCCGTCTCCGTGTCAATGAGCCACACCATCATGAGATTCGCCCGCGCCTTGTGAACTTGAGGCACAATGTCTTCGTTTTCGAGAAAGTAGCAGCAGGCATCCTGAAGGTCCCATTTCTCGCGTTCGGATGGAGAGTCAGTGTCTTGATCAAAGAGGTCTGGATCGCCGCTGCTGTCTCTACCGAAGACGACGCGTTGGAAGACTTCGCGCATGTTGTTGAATATGATCTACAATTTATCAGTGAGAGAGTCTTGAGAAGAGGTTGCGCGATGCAACAGACCTCCAACTTCGGCATATCAAAGCGGTCCCATGCCTCAGCCTCCTCAGAGAGTGACATCTTGTGGGTGCGCGAATCGTCCTCGGAACCTTCGATGTCTTCTTGTTTGATGGCCACCTCGGACTCAGGAGCGGAGTAGTCCATATTTGGTGTTGATATCCGACTCCTCGTCCTTGACGAAGAATATGCCGCTGACTTTTGGTTGATAATCAAGCTGGCGAGTGTTCAGTTGAGCAAATGTGTGTTCAGGAAGTGGAGAGCGTCTAAACGTGGGGGAGTTGAGTGAAGTCGCGGATTGAAAAATGTCGCGGTACTTAGGAATATTCTCAAAGGGGGTCAATTCTGGTCCCATCCGTCGGCCTAACAACTGCATGCCAATGGAACCTCCTCCTACCTTCTTGAGGGACATGTGTAGCCCAATTGACTTAACAACGTCCAAGTACCAGCTTTCAGACATAGGCGCCCCCGAAGACCTTGCCATTGCAGGGAAAAAAAGCAGCTCTTTGCTGGCCACCATGAATCACCCTTCCAATACACATTACGTATCTCCCATAAAGCCGTCCGGCAAGCACCATCTGCTCATGCCGAGTTTGGCGATTTTGATATCCTGAACTCCACGCTGAACCGTTTCCAGAAATAGCAATGCGCCTCCAAACCGCCTCCATCAGTTCACAAGTGGGGCCGTAGCAGCTTCACTCGCGACCTCCTGCGCTGCAGCCGCAGTCTTATTTATAGCTGCCTGATATGCAGTCTGCGCCCATGTTGTCGCAGCGTCCAGGACTGCGGTTCCCGCTTTCGAAGCGGTCTCCGCTGCTTGTCGCGAGGTAGAGTTTGTCGCGTCGCCGGCGAAGTAGTAGTACGTCCGTCGCGAGATGGTCATGATGTGGTTTGGGAGGTAGAGAATTGTGGCTATGAGGAGCATTGAGACGGTGAGAAAGAGGACGGAGTCTGTCAGAAGACGTTAGCTGGGAAAGATTGATAGTGACAGGAGAGGTCGTACTAAAGATGAACTTCTCGGTGGGCGTCAACATGTAGAGGGCGAATGTCACTTCATATTGGTAATTCTTCTTTTGCAGCCACTTCACCAATCCTGTGGGCTGTAGAAGGAGGAAAGCGGCCAGGAGCGCGACGACGGAGATGACTGCTGCATATCGGGTCGTTGAATCGGAGAAGTCCATGTTTTGGCGGCGCAATGGGTGAATCTGAATGTCTCTGCAACGAGTCAAGGGCTGTTGACTGAAATGGTATACAAAAGAAGAGACAGAGCGGAAATGGCGGTATCGAAGAAATCACGCTGTTAGGAGGTATTTCACGGAAGTCGCGAAGAGGGGAGGCGCCGTGGCCGTGGTTTCCGTGATTACGAAGTGGACCCTGGAAAATCAACGACACATTTGACATTGTGCCAGGTTCGCTCGGTTCGATCACTCCTCTTCCATCTCTCACGTTTCAAAAGCACTGTTGCAGAACATACGCTAGGCGGTTGACAATAGTTTTGCTGTGTTGAGAATGACGGCGATAATGACAGTTTCCCAACTCACGAGGTGAACATAGCATGGGCGATCTCCAATGATGAGATCATGGAAGGTTTGCAGAGACATGGAACTCCTTGTCCCGACAGTCGATGCAATCCCGACCTTTGCTGCAACTCTGGAGGCGGAACGCGAAGAACGCAGCCAGAAGTGACCTCAGCGAGATGCAGATCTTTGCAATGCAGAGCCTGAACTGGACCACTACCACTGCAAACTACTTTCATCTGGTGAACACCATAGTGCCAGGACCGCAGAGCTGGACTTTTTTCGTCCCACATATCCTTTTACCTGCCAGCTTACTAGCACCCCCACACATCCTTTCCCACAATGCCCTGGCTACGACCGTGTTCCCCGTTATTCTGGCCTCGACTATTCACGCAGTCGTTGCAATGAAAGGTCCAGATGTCATCAGCATGGATACACTATGGTGGAGTCTGTACTTTCTAGTACTTAGAGATCCGAGGAGAGACTTTAAGCGAGTAGTAGTGGAGAAAGAGGAAAATGAGCCGAGACCTGCTGGAGAGTTGCGAGAAAGCCATCAAGGACTGCGAGCATCTGACAGCAAGCTTGTCGATTGGCCATACCCGTCTTCCTTCTTAGCTCGCCTAAGATGGACTTTGACACTCATCTCCGAGCGGCCCCTCACTTCATGGAAGACTGGTCGTCCATCTCACGACGCATCTGTCTCGCCACTTTACCTTCGCCGAACACGGATCAGATTCGTGGGGAACATTATGCTCATCTGGATCCCAGCGATGTTGATCATAATGCCTCTGGCCCTTCGGCTCCACATGATTGAGACCGTAATATTGCCGTATGACAGCGCCGACGATTCGAAGGGCAGCAGCGCCGATGTTCTCACTTATCTTTTACCAACGCGATTCAGCATCCTTCGCATGCTCTACCAATTAGTTCCAGCTCGCCTCCTCCGCTCTCTATCCATCGGGATGTTCCTCTATAGCTTTCTTATCCTCCACTTTCTTGGAGTATACCTCATACCACCCTTCCTCTCTTTCTTGATCAATCCTGCGTCAGGAGCTTATCATACATGGTCGACTCACCTGTGGCCACGTCCTCATTTCGGTCCCTTCGCAGCGGTGCTTGATTCTGGCTTGCGAGGTCTATGGGGAACCTGGTGGCACCAACAAATGAGACATGCCGTTAGCGAACCTGGGAGGTGGTTGAGCGATCGTCTCGGACTTGGAAAAGGAACCGTCAGATATGGAATAATCTGCGGAAGTGCATTCCTGTTGAGCGGAATCACCCACATGGGTCTCGTTCCACCAGAGGCTGCGAATGCGTGGAAGTTGAGATGGCTGATTGGTTCTTTCTTCTTCGCGCAGCCTGTAGGAATCTTGTTGGAAGTTGTGGTGGTGGAGAGAATCCTGGAACGTCTCGAGACTTGCTTGAGCAGCTCGRGGACGCGAGCGTTAGACATCAGGACATTKAGACTGTGCTGGGTCCTGCTATTCATGAGCGTACCTCTGTCGTTCCTGGCGCTTCCCTTTGAACAATTAGGGTACTGGAGCATCTGGCCATGGTTCTTCCTGGACGAAGGGGTCAAAAGTGTGCTGAGGGGGGAATGGATCCCGTAGAGCGTAATCCGTCGGGAGTCGCACGCCAGCAGTATCGTCATGGCCTACTCAGACCCTTCCTCTACAGACAGTGACAAAGCAAGGTATCCTCGTCGTGAGATGATCTCTATCGGTTTGCTACCACGGCAAGTATATGAGCTTGCTGTCTTCCAATTCTCTGTTTCTCCGGATGCTCACAACATCCAGTTCTGGATGGTACATCAATATCCCAGATTTTACACAACTGTTGAGTGAGTTCGATGTATACCAGGAAATACGACACAAGTGAATGGCCATGATAACTCGATTGGGAAGAGGCACGTGTTGTCGCACCAGGACTCGTCATCCCGGTCCGCACTCCAGACACCTTGACTTTATATCTCAACTTGGGCTTCGGCCTTCAGTCCAAGACGAGCTGCTCAAGAGGGCATTTTCCAAAGTGCAATTCGGAAACGTTGATCGAGCTGGCGGAGACCCGAGCGATTATGAGGAAGAGGGAACGTGAGTAGGGCAGAGAATACAGAATATGGCGACAGGATATGCGCGAGATGAAGGCAGGCTTCGAACGATTATCACAGGAAATCCTCAGACCGTACGAATGTCAAGGTTTGTTTCTGGAAATGCCAGCGTGTGGAGTCGAGTCAGTAGCTGTCAAGAATTGTTGCTATGAATGATGAATGATTATGATGCGAATGAACCGGCAGATTTCCCACTACACAGAGGATGTGCTTGACGAGCCTCTTCCCTCTCATAGTTCCGAAATGTCGTGACTACTGATCAATGATCTCGGTGAATCCACTGGCCAGCTTCTGGCGCTCTGGAGTTTGAGACGACTCTGTGCCAAAGCGACTTTCATTCAACCAGCCAAATGGGTCTTCATCTACGCACAAAACCTCTGCGCTCGGCCCTTGTTAGCACAAGTTGACTGGCAAGGGCGTTGATTTGAAAGCTATCATCATTGAACGGCCCATAGAGCTTCACGCTTCATAGACTGTGTGCTTTCAAGCACCATCCCCGTCCTTGCGACTTACTAATACCCAATCCTCATCCCCAACAGGCCAGTGAAGCGTCTCCCCTTTTTTTGCCAGAATCCGCCCATCGAATCCAATTGCTGTGATCTGTGCCTCGATAGTCCCGTCCAAGYCAACTACCCTTTCTGTATTTCCCGGCACCACAAACTCCAGCGCATATGCCCTTCCAGCAGGGTTGCCATTGATCTCGACCATGAAGTACGCGCATGGACCCGTGGTGGCGCTGAAAGAGATGCCCGATGACTCCCATGCTTGCTCGTGCTTCCATCCGTCGACCTCCCAAGCCAACCTATGGTGCCTACGTTCTGCCTCGCCACGCTCCTCGAGCCTTAAATTAGTGATGTCACAGCATTGATCAATTCCAGAAGGCTGGATAGTGAGTGAGAATAGTTCCAGAATGCTGATCTTGCTCTTGGGAAGCATTCTCTCGTCGGCACATATTACCTCGAGAGAAATACCACTGATGGCCTCTTCTTTGGATGGTAGATGTTTTTTGATGTTCTGTACGTCGTGCGATTTATGCGGCAACTCGATACGATGTTGATGTCCCAATGACCATTGTACAACGAGCATCAGTGTGCACGGCGACATCTCAGGATTTCGGAAAGATACCGAGAGCTCATGAGTGTTGCTGGCTGAGATGAAAAGGTCGAAAAGCGGTAGGATAGCAGTGACCCGATTTGACAGAACGGGTTCTTGCGGGCTGTCTATGGAAATTATCAGTCTCGCCGGGACGCTGGATAGAGAAGCCGATACTGATCTATCGTAAATGCGATAGCTTCGTGGTGTCTGCTGGGAAGTTGAATCCAGCACAGCTGTGCTTCGCAATGGCAGTACAGACTGAGCTCCAATGTGGGGAAAAAAGGCCCTGCTTGTGGTCGGGTTCAATGCTCGTGTGAAGTCTGTGTGGAAGAAAGATCGCGTCCCTGAGGGGTATCTTTCCGCGTGCTCAATGATGCCATTGTATCTGTAAGGGACAAGCTCGTGTGGAGTCTCTGGAAGACAGTCGCAGGCTAGGTCAACGGGTAGCTCGTCGCCCAGCCAGATCGATCTCTCTACCGCTCGACAGCTGGCCGTTGGAAAATGTTCGAAAGACCAACCAGGTGCAAAGATACCGGTATTCAGTCCAAGCTCCTTCAGTGATTTTAGACCAAGTCCGGTGCCCGTTCCACCACCGCCTTTGACTGGGTATGTCACTCTACGATGCCGACCAGTCTGTATGTTCTGTGCCCACATGTCGATTCCGAAGTATACATTATCAAGACCTAGCCCACTCTTCTCCGCGATGTGTCGAGCTGGCATGGCCAGCTCTGGAGTCCAGGCATAGTTTGTCAGGATGGAGCCTGCTGCAGAAGCAAAGGCCAGATTGAGAGAGTTGAGCGTGTTCTGGTACCATACGAAATTAAGCGTCGTCAAGGCGTCATACCCACATACGGTGTTAGTTGGGGACAGATACAAAAGATGGATGACAGGCCTACCATACAAYTCTTCGCTGAGTGCCGACATCTCGCCTCAACTGTCTAAGAAAGCCTTCCATTCTGTCAATACTCCATGATAGAAGTGGAAACGACTCTTCAATGTTGATCAGCCAGCCGTCAAAGCCATAGATCTCGGCTATTTGAGCGAGTTGGCTGGCAACCCAGAAGCTGCCCAGCTCATCCGCTTCCAAGATACATTGCATGTCCTTCGTTCCGGGCTCAACGATGAAAGTTCCGAGACAATATACTCCATTTCGATGACAGCTGTTGATCCACGTCGGCGGAGGAATGGTGACCAGTTTGTGTGAGAAGTACACGAAAGTTTCGACGTGCTGAAGGTATTCACACGAGTACATGTCCGCATTGGTGAATGCTCCCTGACATGCTTCGTAGCGATTGTATCCTCCTTGGTAGTCGTGGATCAGCATGACTTTAGAAGACTTCCCTGGCACAGACTCAAGCCTTGGTTGACGTTCCAGCAATGGGGTATTTGATATCGATATGGGATCGACATCATTACTACACCACCTCCCCAGCTCGTCGAAAGATTCGAGATAAGTGAATCCGAGGAGACTGTCAAGATGGCGTTGGCAAGCGTCGGAAGACTGAAAGTTWTCGGAGTTGAAGCTGGGGTCAGCATGATTGCGAACATGTTGGGGCATCGCTTCCGAGTTTCCGTCTGTTGAAGTAATGTGTAAGGCCGTGCGGGCCATGGTTCATGCGTTTCCGGTGGCAGTGATAACGATGCTGATAACGCGGGATGCTTACATAGCTTCTCACACGCATCGAAATAGCAAGAGAAGGTCGCGGCCTGCCAGGATGAGAACAGAATCCCAAAATTGTTGAAGCGACGATTGGTGGGTGCATTAATAGAAGAGGACGGGATGTACTACCGCTTGCCMCTAGATTGCTTGTTACGCCCTAGTGTTACGTAATGGCATGGCCTTACTTCTACACTTGAGTTAGCTAGCTAGTCCCGTACACACTTTACTACTACGTTAGGACACGCTACCTTATATATAGTAGCTCCGTACGATTCTAAGAATCACCTAGATTTACCGTACTAGTCGCTATACTAGTAGCTATAAAAAGTACTATTACCGCCGTATTACTACCCTTAGATAACGGCGTTAAACTAACCTTCCGTACTAACTCGTGCCGATTACTTAAGAAGTTTAAGTAAGCGGTATATATCTACTCTCGAGTAGAACTCCTTTAAGACCGGCGACGACTTTATCGCGTCTACCGGTATTATATATATCCCGGCTATTTACGCTTATCCTCTAGATATCCGAGGAAAGCGTAAGTATTCGAAGGCGTAGTCGCGGGAAGTCTAGACGACGTAAGAGTAACGAGACTAAAGGGATACGTCTACCTTCGTCCGAACTTTAGGTTAGCGCTAGAACCGGAAGTTATATCGTACCGATAGTATAAAGTAGTCTCGCCGAGTCGGTAACTACGGGCTATAAAGCGCCTAATACCTTCCGGCTAGCTAACGGCTTCTACCGTAACGCTAATACTCTTATATTATAATACTCGATATTCCTATATTCGCTAGAAGAATACTCTACTCCCGACCTTTATAGGGGATAGCTATAGGCGAGCGCTTAATAGGCTTATAGCGAAATATTACCGACCCCGACTTAGGTATTAAAGTTAGCTATACTAGCGTCTACTACGTAAGACGTCCTCGAGGTAGATATACTAGTTACCTACTAGGCCTACGTATATATCGAGGCCTCTAATACGTCTACCGTACGAGAACTTTATACGGCTAAGGAGTAATAGTTTATTATATATCTCGCTACGTAGTACTCGACCCCGGTAAGCTATAGACTAAGGTCTAGTCTACTAGCGCGTTAAACGAGGGGTAAGGTAGTTAACTAGCGTAGATTCCCGATATCTTAGCTCGAAGGAGCTAGAGTATAAAGCGGTAGGCGATATATAGGTAATGTTAGAAATTAATCCGTAATAACACAAAAGCGCATCTAGATCTCCTAGAGGGTCGTAGGGTAAAGGTAGAGATAAGAGATAATAATCTTTAACTAGCTAATAGCCTAATATATACAGTACTTAAAGTAGGAATTAATATAGTTAATTTAGTTAGCTATTAAAGCATCTTAAGGTAAGGAACATGCAACTATAGGATACTTAGTATTACTAAGTATACTAGCTAACTATACTTTATCTCTCCTTTCTATACCTACTTATTTTAATACTTCTACTTAGGTTAGAAGGAACAAATATAAAGTAAAGGAAACCTACTATATTTATATATACTATTACTTTTATAGTAGCTTCTTATCTTAGTAGTTAGGACAGATCCTTAATCTAGTTCTAAGAAGGGACCTAGCTTCTAATAACCTAAGAATGCCGGTTACTAGGGTTTAAATCCTTATAAATAGCAAAAAGCTATTAGTTTAATAAGTAACTACTATTACTAATGCCCTAAAAAGGTTTATATTTAAATACTATATTATAAGTCTTACTGCCCTTACTAAATTATCCTACTAATTATTACTTAAACTATCTAAGATTAGGACCTAAATACTATAAAGCTTAATTACTTTATTAATAGGGTTAAGGCTAGCCTTGCAGCTTTCTAGTAGCCTACTAAGTTTAATATTAGAGCTGCTATAGAGGAATCCTATAATCTTATCTTAATTTCTAAGTAGTTAGTAGATATAAAGCTAAGTAAGATTCTTAAGGTACAGTAGGTTTAGTATAAGGACATTCTAGGTAAGGAGGCTCTTAGAGGTATATTATTAGGTCCTTAAGAGATCTAGATAAATTTAGAATTAAAAAGTTTCTTTTTCTTCCTTTCCCCCTTCCTTTCCTTTTACTTAATAGAGTTTAAGATAAGATATAAAGGCCTAGAATCCTAGTCTACCTAGGGGCTTTATTAAGCTATTTATAACTATCTTCTTTATAGGAAGGTACTTAATACTAATCTTCTTTTCCTACTAGAGTCTCCTAATATAGTTATAGGTAATATTAATATACTTTAACTTTTTATAAATATATATATCTTTTATAAGTGTTAAGTAGGCCTAGTTATCCCTAAAAAGATAAATAGGTCTTAGCTAATTAGCTATTTCCTTCTTTATAATTATCTTTAGCTAGAAAGCATATTCTCTAATTAAACTTAGCTAGCCTATCTCTCTTAGAAGTATAGAGAGGAATTAGAATTACTTTACATAAGCATTTATTACTATAAACTTAGCTTCTATTATTAAGATAGTTATAGACTTCTGTTTCTTACTTATTTAGGAGATTAGTCTATTATAAAGTATAAACATATTTATAAGCACTAACTTCCTATCTAATTTGTCTATAGTAAAGTCTAAGTTAGAGTAACTAAGAAGGCTTTTAGATCCCTCGGCTAAGAATATAATTCTAATATTAGGGTTTAATCTTAAGTACCTTAAGACCTTCTTTAAGGCTCTTATATATTTCTTAGATAGGTTACTTAAGAATAAGCTTAGCTTATTAATAGTAAATGTAATATTAGGCCTAGTAATAATAGCGGGCTATATCTAAGTTCTAATAGTTATTTAGTACTCTTCCTTACTATATCTCTTATTATCTAGTTCTAACTTCTTAAGTCCTTTATAGCTATCTATTAAGGAGAGGGTTAGCTTTACTAACTCCTTTTTTATTCTAAGTTTTAGAAGGCTCTCTTAGATATAGTATCCTTAGTTAAGTTTTAGTATCCCGGCTTTTCTATCTCTTATTATATTTATTCTAAGAATCCTAGATAGCTCTCTAAGATCCTTAATTTTAAAGATCTTTCTAAAGCTCTTTTTAAACTAGTTTATAGAGTCTATTAATTTTCCGGCAATTAGGATATTATTAATATATATTATAATTATAAGTCCCTTTTCCTTTTAGAATATTAAGTAGGGATCTACTTCTAATTAAATAAATCTAAGGTCCTTAAGCTTTAAGATATAGAGCTAGTTCTAGTCTCTTATAGCTTACTTTAATCTATATAAGCTTCTTAAGATTTAGAGGATATATCCTTAAGATACTTTAACTCCCTCTAGTAGAGCTATAAAGATATCTTCTTAGAGATAGCTATTTATAAATATACTATCTATATTAATAAGGTAGAGTTCTAGGTTCTTTTTATAGACTACTGCTATAAAGGTTCTTAAGGTCTTATACCTAATAGTTAGGGTAAAGGTCTTTATAAAATTAATCCTAAATTTCTAAAAGAATCCTCTTACTATAAGTCTTACTTTTAATTTATTTAGTACTCTACTTATAAGTCTCTTAACTATAAATACCTATTTAAAGGTAATAAAGTTTACTCTTTTTAGGAGTATAGTTTACTTCTAGGTATTATTACTTATAAGGGAATTAAGTTCTTTTTAGATTGCCTCTTTCTAGAGTAATTCCTATTCCTTATCTCCTACTACTTCTTTATAGCTTTATAGAATAGGAATATTCTACTAGATTATAGTATTCTAGGTAATTACTAAAAATATAGTTTTAAGAATTTATCTTCTATTTCCTTTAGCTAGATTTCTAAGGTAATTTAGTATATTTTAGGAATTAGGTCCTCTAGCTAATCTATTCTATAAATAAGTACTATAAGTTCTTATAGGATCTTCTCCTTCTTTATCTTAGGTTCCTTAATATCGAAGTTATTCTCCCTTACTCTTTTTTAACCTCTAGTCTCTATAGGGGAGGAAGATTAGTTTTACTTCTCCTAAATATTAGGAGATAGGTACTTAATATATTCTCTAGTATTAAAGGGTAGAGATAGAACCTTTATAAAAGCTTAAAGAGGAGCTAGTTCTAGGACTTTCTCCTTCTTAGGTTTAGGAATAGGTCTTACTTTAGGTCYAAGTACTAGTTTAGTAGGGTTCTTTAATAGCCTTCTAAGTAGTTTCCTTTATAGTACTTAAGATAAGAGATATCTGTTAGAAAGTGCAGTTATAGAATAGCTGTACATCTAACATAACAGAGAGCTAAGTAGCTATAAGGTTATATAACTCTATATAGGGTAAAATCTCTTCTTAGGAGATAGAGATATATCTCTAGATAATTAATAAAATAAACATATTAGTTCCTACTTTTAAGTACTGCCTATCGGAGATAGTAAGCTAAGTAAAGATTAAGATACTCTTTTACTCTACCCCTAAAAATCTGCGAACCTCCGACTAATATTTAATAGGTTATAAGCCCGGGTTTGCCGAAGGAAAAAAGACCTTAACCTTAAAGTAGTAAAGGTTTCTCCTACCTTATAAAGMTAATATAGAAAGGACACTAGTTTCTAGTACCCTATCTTGCACTGCTAGGAGTTTTAATAGCAGGTTAGATAAGAAGAAAACATAGAAGATAGATTAGTTCCTAAGGGTTTAGAACATTTAACTATTAGGACTAAGGGATTGTCTAATAGCTATAAGGAGTAGAGGACTCTAAATCTAAAGCCTTAAAACATATAYACACCCTTTACTTTACTACTAAAGCCTTAGTAGGACTAAGCTATTTATATACTAAAATAGAGGAAGAGAAGGACAGTTAGACCTATATTAGGATTCTAATCCTAATAAGAGAGAACTAGAAAAGATAGTTTGAACTATAGAGGGAYAACCTAGAAGGAAAAGGCATCTTCTATAACATTAAGGGATTAATTAATTTAGACAATTTATTACTCCTTAATCTAGATGCTAGGGTTATAAGAATAGCTAGCTAGCTAAACTTT